TTGTAAAATAATAATCAACTTTTGAACAATTTATATTCTCGTTTAATACAAGTATTAAAAAGACTATTCCAGCCAATCAAGCTTTATCATTCTAGGTACGTACTGTTACGAGGTTTGTGTTACGAGGTTTGCCGTCTAGATCACGTGGAAGTGCTCTAGGCTCTCGAGGTGGTTTATAACTAGGCGTCAAGCAGGGACTTAAGTAATGATAATAATGCAATTCGTAACTAATAGTAGAGTATACTAAATGATTGATCTTGATGTTACGAGGTTTGCCGTCTAGATCACGTAGAAGTGCTCTAGGCTCTCGAGGTGGTTTATAACTAGACGTCAAACAGGGACTTAAAGTAATGACAATAATGCAATTCGTAACTAATAGTAGAGTATACTAAATGATTGATCTTGAGCACGAAGCTCTATACAAAGGAAATCCATCTTGATTATATAGACCATCGTGGCATGCGTCCCAGTGCTCCCAGTTGTCCCAGTTGTCCCAGTTGTACTGGGACAGCTGAGCCTACTGGGATCCTCATATCACATGATGCTAATCACGTGATGTTAGGTATGTGAGATCCGTCGTAACACTTGAACACAAAGCGTTATATAAAGGAAATCTGTTCTAACTATATAGATCTTCATACTATAGACCTTCAGGACCCCGAAAGATCCTGGACCTAAGAATATGTTGGACCTTTATCTTTCGTGCATATTATGCAGGGTCCTATCACGTGATTGAATCACGTGGTAATGGGCTTGTGGAGTCCGACGTAACACGTACTCGACTACATTGCACAGACCACCCAGATTTCCTGAATTCGCATTCTTCGGGATCTCCACGGAAAATAATTAATACAAGTGGAATTTCCGATTTCCTCCATAAGGTTATGCTGACTCCTCTACTCAACAATATATCAAAGGAGAAATTTATAATACAGATATATAGATTCACATAGTTAATTCAAAGAAATCAAGCCAGAACAGAACAGAAAATTTGTACATCAATTTCTTACCCAGATATTGGGTAGGGGTTGAGGTTGGAGTTTATCGAATCGAATCGGACAAAAAGATTTACCTTAACAAAAAGGGTGAGGTCATCCATCCTTATCCGACCACATCATCAAGATATCGATATCGATTTCAATATCAATATCTACCGAAGCTTAAGGTTATTGAATATACGGAGAAAATCGGCTGGCTGTGTTGGTTTTAAATTCACCGTTTTTTGAGTTTTTTTTTAACTCCTATTTGTTCTCCTTTTTATTTCGATTTCCATTTCGATTCCATTTTACGATTGTGATTCTGATTTTGATTTTGGTTTTCAGTTGATGGTTGATTGATTGAGCACTCCGAATTCACATCACATGTATATGATGAATTGTAATCTCAGAACAGCGAATTCGAAGGGGATGACGGCTTGGCGTGCTGGGAGATCTGGAGCTAGAGTTGGAGTTTTTAGGTCTAGATTATTTGGGAGATGTGAGAGGGTGATAGGTGCAGGCGCTGGCTTGGGAAGTGGCAGGAGATTTATATCGACACGTGAATTGGATGCTTCGAAAGGCGGTCCGTATCTTTCCTTTTCTTCAATTTCTTTCATTCAGATATATACACATTTCGCATATTCCCCTCCTCCAATATAAACACACACCCTAACCACATCCACTTCCACATCCACTTCCAATCTCCCACGCATCCATTCTCACTCTAACAAACTCAACAACCCCAGATCGCGAAAGAATCCTCATCCTTGGCTCAGGATGGTCGGGTTTTACACTCTCTAGACAATTGGATCCGAAGAAATATCAGACGGTTGTTATTTCTCCGCGATCGTATTTTGTTTTTACACCGCTTTTGGCGAGTACGGCGGTGGGGACGTTGGAGTTTAGGAGTGCGCTTGAGTGAGTATTTGTCTTTTTTTAGTGGGGGTGAGTTGGTGGGGGTTGTTGGTGTATTTACTTGGGGTTTTGTTGGGGATTTGGGGATTCGATTTTTGGAGGGAAAGGAGAGGATAGAAGAGATGTGGGGGGCGGGGGCAAGGGAAGGGTAGGGGATGAGCGTAGGGAAGATTGAGGAGATGAAGGAGGTGTGGTGCTTTGGTTTTATGATCTTGCTGAGGGTCTAGTTTTGGTTGATTGTACAATTGCTGACACAATAATACATAGGAGTGTAAGAGGAAGAGGAAGATGGAGAGGATGGGGTTTAGTTGGAGGTGGATGGGGAGGGTGGGGAGCAAGGAATAATGGAGTTGAATTTTGGCAGGGAGTGAGTTTGAAAGTTTCTTTTGTTTTAAAGTGAGAAGTCCCCAAGTACTGCTTCTACTTCTTTCTGAAGAGCAGGAGTCCAGCTTCCAGTTTCAGCTCCTATATTTAAACCAACGTCCAGTCTTCCCTGAAAAGCTACTAACCAAATCTCTAATACCACAGTGGGCAGACGACGTTGACTTTGACAAAAAAACTATCAAAGTAGAAGAAAATGCAATTGAAAGACCTAAAACCGCAAGTACGGCCATTCAAAAGGTAGGAAAGGGAAGAGTTTTTGAAGTTGGTTATGATAAGTTGGTGGTTAGTGTAGGATGTTATAGTCAAACGTTTGGAATTGAGGGAGTTAGAGAAAATGCGCTGTTTTTGAAGGATATTGGGGATGCGAGGAAGATAAGGAAGAGGATTTTGGAATGTGAGTCTTATTTTGTCTTTGGGGTTGGGGTTTGGAATTCTGTCCTTTGGTTCGGGGGGTGGAAATGGGGACTAATGGGAAGAGTGGGAGAATGGAAGGGACGTTGCTTCTTAGGGAACCGCTTTTCAAGACTATCGCATGATCTTCTTCCTCCTCTAGAGCGAAGCGAAAAAGCCTCCACGGCAGTGGCCCAGCGGAGCGTCATCCACAGAAATGAACGGAGTCGAAAGATTAAGAGGAGAGTTAGGTTGAAGTTTATAATTGCTAATCGTTCAAAAACATAGGTTTCGAAACAGCTGCACTACCAACCAGTTCCGAATCCCTGAAAAAGCAACTTTTAAATTTTGCAATCGTAGGCGGTGGTCGTAAGTTTTTACCTTTTGACCCCCAATTTCCCTTTCCTTTATACTTCTCTAACACCTTTTATCTAGCAACCGGTGTCGAATTTGCAGCCGAACTATTCGATCTCTGCCACGAAGATCTCTCAACCCTTTACCCCTCTCTAACATCCTACATAAAAATAACCATCTACGACGTTGCACCTAAGATTCTTCCAATGTTTGATAAAAATCTCGCAAACTATGCATTAGAACATTTTAGCAGAGATGGTATTGATATTAAAACAGAACATCATATTTTAGGATTGAAAAAAGGATTTCCAAAGGATAGTCTTGAGGGAGAAAATGGTCACGAAGAAGATATTGGAAAAGGATTTACATTGAATTTGAAGGAAGAAGGTGATGTAGGTGTGGGTATGTGTGTTTGGAGTACGGGATTGATGATGAATCCTTTTATTGAAAAGGCGTTGAGTTCAGTTCATACTTTTCCATCCAAATCGGCTATTTTAGCTACGAGTGGTGAGAAGGGAATTAGCCAGAAGAGTGAAAGTCTGGAGAACAGAAAATGGGAATTAAAAAGAAGTCCGAAAACAGGTGGTTTAATGGTTGATAATTTTTTCAGAGTTAAACTAGCTACTCGCTCCTCAGCATCCACATCCTCGTCTTCCACAAAATCTCCATCTCAATCCTCAATCAAAGAACAAACCCAACAAGAAGCAATAATGGATGATGTTTTTGCTCTAGGGGATGTAGCCGTATTAGGAGATATGGCACTACCAGCTACAGCACAAGTAGCAAATCAAGAAGCGAAATGGTTAGGAAAGAGATTGAATAGGATTTATGGAGTAGAGAAGAGTGCAGTTGGGGAAAGTGGAGACAAGGGGTTTACGTTTAAGAATATGGGAGTTATGACTTATGTGGGTGGTATGAAGGCGATCATGCAGACGGATGCAAAGGGGGAGATTAAGGGGTAAGTTGAATTTCCTTTCTTGAATCTTGTTATGCATTTGGGAGGAAGTTTTAGTGTTGGTGGCGAAGGGACATGAAAATGATGAATGAACAGATGCGAAAGGATTCGTGAGATGCAATTGCTAACGATCTATATGAATCCAGGAGAACAGCATGGTTAATCTGGAGAGGTGCATATCTGACCCAAACAATCAGTTGGAGAAATAAATTGCTTATTCCTATGTATTGGTTAGTATCTTTTATTCTCATTCATCGCTTCTTTCATATATATTTAAAAGATACGAAAATGAAACTAACAACTAATTATAGGGTAATCAACTGGTTCTTCGGCAGGGATATTTCGAGATTTTAGAAGGAATTGAAAGCTAGAGGGTATGGTTTTGTGGTTGAGAAATGATGATGGGGAAAGTAATGTATGTATTAGGTTGGGTGGTGGAAGAGGAAAACGGAAAAATAATACGTCCCGTCGTGATGAGGTGAGGTGATGAATTTATATATCTTATAAATCATATAAACCTATCCTGTGAGGGTGAGGGTGTGGTATATTATATATTATATTCGTGTATTTGTATATTATAAATTAAGGATAATTCTACTTTTTATATTCTATATTTTATATTCTTTGAACCAATCCGATCTGTATAATAAGATTAATGATCGGTGTGTTTGGAGTGGAGTGATGGAAGACCCCCTCCCAAAAAAGGGGCTTAGTTGATGAAAAGAGTTATATGGATAAATTGGTTACTTTTTTCTTGTTCTGTTATGGCCGGATGGATTGGGAGTTGAATATATGTTGTTTGTGTGTTTGTTTTGGCGTTCAAGTATGGAAGAAAATGAGTGGATATTAGATAGACAAGTTAGTAGGTCGAGATCAGATAGAATAGTATTATGAGGGGAGGTAGCGGATTATGAGTTATGGATTATGGATTATGGATAATGAAATAAAAGTATAAGGTTATCGTTTGAAAGATAGAGTATAACTCAAGGATAAAATAATATATGATATGGTAGTTTATTGTTTTTTGATTAGTTAATTCTTATTGAGTTATAGAAAGATTATATATGAGTCTAGTATTCTACTTTGGGGCCACCCCTCTTTTGGGTCACTTTCCCCTATCAAAAATAACAAAAATCGACTTTTATAACTTTTTTATTTATGAATATAATTTCATAAAATTTGGATCATAGATTTATCACTTATATAATAGTAAATTCTGAAAATTTTGGATTTTTCGCGGTTTTATTAATTGAGATATTAAAGATTGAAATTTTAAATTTCAATTTGTATGTGACGGAAAAGTCGTAAACGGAGTCAATTCAATTACTTAGAATCTAAAACTAAAGAACTAAGAAGATTCTAAGTAAGAAGGTCTTTATATAAAGGGCTAGTGCACGTGAGCCACTAGTGGGTAACAACCGTCACGTAACATTATATAGGATTTATAATTAAAATTTTAAAATTTTAAAATTGAAAAGTTAAATTTCAATCATTTATTTTCTAATCAATAAAATTATTAAAAATCTAAGATTTTCAGAGTGTATTAATATCTATATAATAATTCTATAATTAAAATCTCAATTGTTTTTGTTTATTTATTATTCAATTATAAATAAATCGTCATTTTTGGTGTAAGAGAATGGCCGGAATTAGGGGTGGCTGGAAAGTAGGGTACTAGACTTATGGATAGATAGATAATCAGGCTTCGAAAACTACATTATTCTACTCGCGAAAGGGGTATGTTTTCTTTTAGCTGGATAGACGGATAACATGGAGCAGGGTTGGGTAAGAACAGTAGGTACTTTAATTCTTTCGAGCAGTCGGAGAATCTCAAGTGAGAATATATCTTACGAGTATTAATAGTGAAAGGGAATCTAGCGACGATGTAAGATTAAGACTATGTTGTCTTTTTGTTTTTGGAATTTAGTGCTTTATTGCCAAATTAGTAATATATTTACAGCTCATAATCTAGATTCGTCCAATTCAAAGTTGAGATTGAAGTAGAATTTAGATGGGATTAAAAGGAGGTTGTTGGCTATAGATATATAATCTGTATTCACAATATAATGATTCCTTAAAGTCACAAGAGACAAGCTATACATCTGCTCCCTCCCATTGGTTCTTGCTAAGAAGTTCGAGGGACTTGGAAAACTTGTGAAGAGAGGGATTACACTTAAATAGATACCTATGGTGCATATGATCTGAGTTGTAGGGATTGGTGTTCGTATTGGTTGTGATGTTGGTCGGTCCATGATTTGCGGATGTTGGGATAGATTCACTGAGAATTCATAGGCTTAATTGTATTGCATGAAATAGTGCCTCGGCACGAGGGGCCACATATTATATATCTCCCCATCTTATAGTTCTACTTTCACATCTCTACAGTTGTAGTTCCCCATCTCTATAGTTCTAGTTCTTTAGGCAATCAATACGAATATTGAAGGATATACATTGAAGCTTCACTTCCCCATACCCCGCCACTATCGACAGAAAGCAATCTGATTTCCAAAGGAGAATATTGTAATAAAGGGGTTCGAATTGATCTTATTGACTTTTGACTGCTAACAGTATCTTGTCATTATCGTTCTTTTGAATCTATTTTATTTTTATTAACAGTAAGATATCATCTGACAGTTCTTCCATCTGTATTTGAGTGACGAAGAGACCTCTTGGTTGATGTATGAGAACCAGATAACCTTTTTTTACATTCAGGTCAACAATTTTCCGGGTTTGATAGTTATATATTACAACGAGAGGCATTTTTGGTAATGGAACAGATTAATACATATGTGCAGAATTGTATCGTCCTACAACAGCTTATTTGAGAAAAGATCTATTTGGTTAACATCTCTTATATTCTTATTAGGTCTCACCTCTTATGCCAGGATAGAATTCAAATCTTAGTTCGTATGCTAATTAGGTGAATAGCATATACCTCTCTTAGTATATGAGTGAATACCATTCAAAGTATATAAAATGATGTTTGCAGAGAAGACATTACAACAAAAGAGATTATTACCTTTCAAAGCCAAATCAGGAGAAATTTCACCAATCTTCTACGAATATGAGAACTTGTATCTGGAGAGGCTTGTTCTGGCCTAGAGGTCATAATCTTGAAAAGAGTTGCAAATCCAACTTTATAAAAATATAACAAGATAAAAATAGAGTTTAACAGCAGTGAAAAATATTGACAATAAAAAAGCAATGTTAAAAGCATATTTAGATGAAAATCATCGGATCTATCATTTTAGATTTGTGCTATATCAAAAACCGAAACAACCCTATGGAAAAAAGTCGATTCATCTGTACATCAACTCACAAATTAAACTACCAGGCGGTACCTTATCAAGGGGGTTTTGCCTGAATCCATGCTTGTTGCTCGTCATGAGGAATGTAAGGATCGTATTTTACATTTTGCTTTGAAACTTTCCTTCGTTTTCACATGTCAGGTATCGGAAATGTGATGAAGTGTGAAATTTATAATTCACTTCCAAGTTGCATATTCAATTATCTCTATTTGATTGCTTGTTGAGGTAATGCGGGGTCGAATAGTTACTTTGCATGTATTTACATCTCTAGGTTCTCATCGACTAGCTATTTAAACTCTAGATAGTTATTGAACGTGGAGGTTGGGTTTATCCTAAGACACCAGAGCCAGGTACTCCGTGATGGTTAGGAGAACAATGTGTCACAGAAGATAGTAAGTTGGCGTCAAAGGTCTTGGGATAAAGGTATTGTGCGGTTGAGGAGTGACCTGATAGCGTCGTTCTCATCTTAAGACTTTTGAATATGTATTTATTGCAATGCATACCAGAAACGATGATAATGAGTGGCACTGAGATATGATATTGTATAGTGATAATCACTACTGTTTTATATCATCACAATTCTTGTCCGTACAAGAGGCGCAGAAACTTACTTGTACGAAGATGGGCGACAACATTAACGAGTCACGAAAATAAGAAAAGATGAAATGATAGTAATACCACCCTCGAGATATTTCCTAGAATACCAAATGCTGCTAAGTTTGAGAATTTTGGTGTCCTGGCTATTAGAAAATTGCTTTACTCCCAACGTGGAGGTGGATAATGATTATTTGTGACATGCCGATGTGTTTAGGAGACCTTGGTAGGCGGGCTTTATATATTAGTGTTGACAGAGAATACTTTGGAGAACTCAACTGACCTTTGCAGGATCAGTGAATGGCAACCCGGATAATCACATTTCAATGCATGTAGTAGAGCTTTCGTGAGTTCGCCGAGGCTTCACAACTCTTCCGAGTAAATAAACTTAATGTAGTACAAGAATCTGAAAGATCTAGGTACATAAACCCTTAGCTTCTTAAAGTTCACGATATGTACAGAAACAAAAATGAAGAATTTCTAGTCAAATGTGTCCTGGTCTCAGTTACCGGGAGAAGTCCTTCGATTCAAAACTCCCGTCTTTAAATCTGGTTTGTCCTTTTTGCAAGTGAAGCTCCTATTAATGACCCAGAAATGCGTCAAAAAATGGTAGCAATAGAAACTTAGACGGCAATAAGCAATCGTCGTCACTTACAGCAATATCTATACTTGATCAAAAACAGAACAATCTATCAAGGGGAATGACTCTGAATTTGGAGCAGAAATGCCATTAAATTTCCGCAAGCCACGCCACAAGGCTCAACTGGGACCTTCACCTGGGGTCTCTCGGAGAATATTTGTGTAGATTTTGCAGATACGACCAGAGTCCACAGGAACCTTTTATCTTTCCCTAATCATCGAATTCACTGGATGGAAACTAAGTTGTAGACTACCTAGTGTTAGGTCTCTGTTCTGGGCCGAATAAAGCTAGTGGTAAATGAAATCTGCTGTGCATGGGGTGCCGTAGCGGAGGTTTCGTAATTTCTTGTCTATTTATATAAATCTGCGTTATTCAAATAAAATGAAGTACACAACTAAAAGATTCCAGATAGATGAAACACTTCGCAGGGCGGACAGAAGGTTTCAAGCCACGCCGATGATGGTAGTATTATCCTCCTTGACCTAATTCTTTGGGTTTAAATCTTAGTACGTAATGGCAAATCACCACTTGTGGTTTTCAAATGCCAAAAGTTTTGTCATATTCATCTCGATATCCATTATTATCATAGGGCATCAGACGACAGCAACGGTTATCAAGATTATAACATATATCCAGACGCAGCATTTACGCAGTTAGCTTCGCTAAACTTTATCTACTTGAGATGGTGGCTTTTATCGTTGTCAAACAAAAGAGTTATAAGGGTTATTTGGTTCCTGCGTGTATGACAACAATGTCTGAAGAGAAACCACAGAAACACAGTCATTGAAAGATTTCCGATGTTTTAGTAATATGCAATTACTTTTAGAAATCAATTCTCCGATCTTCCATTCATAATCATTAGCATTCCAAGACATGAACTGAATAACTCAGACTAGGCGATGCTATTTGGAAAAAGATTTTTGGATCCTTGACACACATATATATACAGGGGATGGCAAGTATACTAGTCACTAAAACCAACTTCGAACAACATATTGCGTAAAGTTATTGCTCAATCAATAAATGTTATTATGCTAATAATTGAAACGTTGGCTCGGATTTTATATTGCTACAAACGAGGATTGTGGTTTCTTGGTTCTGTCCCTTTGGAGCTCTAGACAGTACTTCTTTTGCATTTTGATTGTTGTGCTGATTTTTTTTTTTTCGTGATCTATTTTTGATCATTGTTGTTGTGTTATCGTTGTTGCTTCGCGAAATATATATGAACAGTGGGAGTGAGAAGCCTAAAATCCGAAGCGAGAATTGAGGGTTAAGTTAGGGGAGTAAAGAGTGAAGTGGCTCTGAGATGGAGATCAGTATACTTTCACTTGAGGTATGAAAGACATCACGGTCCATGGTCTGGCAAGATGGTCTGTATATACTTGCTAATACTCTTAAAGGGGTCTGAAGCTCCTGGATTTCATTTCATGTCCTGTGTTTCACTTCACAAATATAGCTCCTCGTCATATCTATACAAACAAAAGCAAGGTCCATCCTAGCGTCTTGTTCCTTCTAGATCAAGATAGTTAAAGACAGTAATAACATATAACAATCAAAGTTTGGACAGCAGCATCTAATCCACTGAGCTTTACCAACCAAGCCCAGACCGAACGAGAAATCATGTCATTCCATTCTCCCTTTATTAGGGCTAAACCAATTATGCACCACGATTAAATGCAGAATAACAATTACAACAGACCATACAAGCAAGGTTCCGGTGCTGAAAGTTGAAGATACTCTACACAAAAGAGCAATAATTCTGATGCTGTCAAAAAGAAACATTATTACTCCAGCTCTCAACAGTAGTGAACTCATTGCCATTATTTCGGGACTTTAAGATCAAGAGTGAATGATTTAGTTCGTTACATTACCCCGCTCAAATGTATTCCCATGAATAGAACAGTAGTGAGCCTATTAGTCGAGGCTAGAATGTGTCCTGTGGGGAAATGACGTCAAGACATCGACTGTATGACTGCATATTACCCCTCAAATAGGCGAGCGCCATCCACGGCAACACTGTGCATGTTCTTCACACGCTATCGTCTATCTTAACCCTAGCAGCATTTCCAAACTTAGAATTGAGTGATTCAATCACAAGCTACTGATAGGCAGGAAGATGCAAGGCTTCAAGCATAATGAATGAATGATGACAGACTCATCTTTAAACACGTGCTCAAGTCTGTACTCATCAAAAGCAAAATCCTATGTATAAAATAAGACAGAACACCCAACCCAGTCCAGTAAATAGATCAAATTAAACCTCGATTTCCATTGCGTCATCTCCCTTATGAAATCCCTCAGCCGCATATCTTTTGCGGGAGAACCGTAAATCAGACTCCTTTTTCGTACCCGCAGGCAGTAAGATATAGCATGTATCAATAAAATTCCTCACTCGAAGTATGAAAAGTACTATGGTCGCATCCTCAAACCAAATCTGCAATATCCGATATCCGTCCAACAGTCGCTGAAAAATAAAAGCCAAGCCGACAGAAAGAAATAATAACCCGACAATCATTACAAAATCCGACAACAAAAATAAACTATAATCGAACAGAGACGCAAAATGGCCTAAAGCAGATGTTCTGCCAATTAAAAGCCTACTGACTACTGATTAAACAAGGAAGAACAAGACGCAGAAAGCCAACACCACAACAACTGCCATGACTTGTAAAAAAGCGAGAAAAGGCTTTCTTGATCTAAGGGGTCAGGTTAGTGAGGAGAGAGTTTAAATACCCCAGTCGTGATTTTACAGTCTTACTCAGCTTTCTATTCTAGGATATGGCGAATATATGTATATAAGATTACCTACTAAGGGATTCTGAAGATGCAGTATGTAGATATATGAATATATCCCCGTCGCAAAAACATATACCGAGAAAAACTTTTGTCGTAGTCCATCATGGCGGTATAAAAACTGCGTATTATTCACGAGTTCTCCAATAAGCTTATGTTCCTAACTCCAGAGAGAAAAAGAATGCATGTGTTTGGAGATCCATTTCCGCTGATTTATCGTTGCAAAATAACAATCACATCGTGAGTATTGAGTAATTATTTGTAGTTTCACTCTCTTATATCCCTCTACAACCCTCCTCCCTGGTTTCGGAAGAGATATACGATATTTTGATAACAGTGATAAGACAACACAATTTATGACAACCACCACTAAATTGCAAGAAAACATCAGTTGATATCAAACAACATATACTCACTGTGAACTCAAAGAACCACAATTCCCCAACAAAACAACACTTTGCCGAAACGCATCAGCAGTATACAACTGAAGCTGGGAAATCAATCAGCAGTTTGTAGTTTTTATTAACTATTCTACTTTTTGTCCAAATGAGTATGAGAACCTTTAAATACCCTATACTCCACTTTTGAAAACCCAAGTAACCCTCTTAACTAAAGAAAGCATCTACTATTGACTTGCACCTGCAAATTGAGTGAATTTACCAGTAATAACAAAACAGTGTTTAGCCAGTAAGGCCATGCTTATGCACTCTTCATTCTATTAAAGAATTCATGATGTTATCGAGAACTTCTCCGCAATAATTCATCCTACCGCGTTCTGTGGAACCGGAAAGATTGATGTCGCCACTACCTAGGTAGTTTCAGATAACAATAGCACAATGAAAGATTGATAAAACCTACGTACTTACCTACATGGCAGTAAGATATATCCAAATATCCTTGAACCGAAAATCAAAAAACTATTATAATGCTACTGCAAGTACGTAGGCATCAATATGATCACTACACTATCATCAAGTCCACCAAGCAACAATCAAAAAATTTGATCTAACAGCAAGGAAAACACCGACAACACTCATTGCCGATAATAGTACAATAACGATGACTATGGGCTTTATCCTTAATTATACAAACTCCCCGCTTGGGTCCTGTAATCATACATTTAAAAGGAGTCAAGTGATATACTCCTGCAAAATACCTTTTGGTTAGTTTTCTCTGGACGGGTGGCATGGATGATGGCTCCCTAGAGCTCTGGGTCTTTTTTACTGAAGAATATAAGGGGAAGGTTTGTGCGTTTGCTGAAGGGGCCCCGCGAGAGAATGAATTTGGCTGCCCACTTGGTGCCAAAATCCACCACTTAGTCCTATGCACTTAAAGGATTGGAGAAATTTCCATAAATCAACTGGTCCAACAACGGAATAAGATATTTAGTGGGCTAAATCTTACACGCTTGCACAGAAAATTTTAGAACCATGAATATTCTTACAAGGATTGTATGTATTGAGAGACAAGAGCCATCAGTACCTCCTCTCTGTCAAACTAACCTCACCAATCTACAATCTCCCCCCTTTCTAACAATTTTCCAAAATCCTCATCTCTCTTCCCCTCAACCACACTCCTAATTATCAATCGACCTCTAGACGGATGTTCACACCCCATCTCATAAGCAAACTCCGGTCCAATCCTCAAGATTCGTAGCACACATTCCTGGTCCATTTGCCCAAACCTTCACTCCATCTGCAAAGTTATGATTCCAATCCATTACCAACATATGAAGTGCCGTTTTCGAACATCTATATTCATTTGTCTCGAACTCTATTTCTTTGCCGACCAGCTGGTTGTGGAGGAGTTGAAAAGTATTGTTGAGAGACTTGGTTGATTGCTGAAAGGCCTGTGAGAATACTAGAGGGAGATCTAAGGATTTTATAAGGAGGGGTCTGGATATTGCCGTTAGGACGTGTGTGCCGGCTACATTAACATTGTGGGCATTGTTGAAGCATTCGCGACGAGCTCATTTTCCGTTGATATATGCGACATCGAAGGTTGCACCTGAAAGAACAGCATTAGCATCACTTTGAAATATAAAAATTTTTGCATGCTAGCACTATTAACCAACGGATCAACCCTTCTATGCTTTTTTTCTACCCTCTCAGATGCCTTCTACAATACTCTCATCACTCACAGATTAACCTCGAGTGTCTCAATCATATTCTTGAATTTAGGAACCTCTTTCTTTAAATCATCCACCGCAGATTGAGCTTTCCCCAAAGAACCCGCAGCAAAGAGGATATGATATGGTTTCCGTAGACTGAAGGAATGCTTTCACGGCTACATACCCTATATCACTGTTTGCGCCGCCAATGAGAACGATTTTTCTGAATGACACTTTTTATGTATGATACCGGGATTGCGGATGATCGTTTGAACTGTTTGTTGGAAGGATAATTGATCTATTTCTCTGTGGTTTAGTAGCCTATTTGTCGGTGGAAAATACAGCATTTTTATAGCATTCCATCCCTATGATTTACATCGAGAGAGGACAGAAATAGGACCTAGCACAAAATCCTTGCGACTCTATTGAATGTCTTAATATTCATCGTCATCGTTGATGTGGTGGAGGGATTTTGAGGCTTCCTTCAAAGCTTCATCAGAGCTGCCTCATTACAGACTTGTCCCCTTTCGAAAGATATGGCGGTGGAAACAAGCTCTCTGTCCTAGCGAGTATACTCACAAGGAAAGAGGAGCATTGCTTCGAACCATACTGTAAATTGTATCAAGCGGTACTCCCGAGATGGGTTTATTGATGTCGAATTCCTGTCGCAGCGTCCAGGATTGAGCTTCGATAAGCTTAAGCTTAACCCGCTAGCGTCGGAAAACGATTCCCGCCCGCTCGGATTCAAATAATTTCACGTGCTTTACCTCCTCGCTTCCGGTTAACACCATATATATATCTACATCTCGATATTCAACCCGTATACAGGACTAAATTCTACCGAAATAGCTACGGTGAGTCGATAAGATTTTTGACTTTCTTAGCTTGTATTAAAGCTTTCGTCTTCCTCGTCAATGTCCAACATCACAACAGGTGTAGCTAGCGCGTGTACCACTTTCGTATCCTCAGGAGTAAGGCTTAGGTTAACTTACCAGTAACGTGGTTTATCAGGACCCTGTACATATCAGGACCCTGTACACTTTTACCTCAATTATCACCTTTCAACTTCAACATGCGATTTATCAATATTTAATTATGCAAACTACTTCAAAAGAAGCTCGAATCAATTTAGCTATTGAGGCTATTCGTACATCTCAAAATTTGAGTATTCGGAAAGCTGCAAAACTCTATAATATACCTTATACTACCCTTACTTCTAGAATGAATGGAATTCTGCCTCTTACTGAACGTCGATCAGCAAATCATAAAATGATAGAATTGAAGGAGAAATCGCTTCTTCAATATATATTGGATATAGATGAAAGAGGGTTTAGTCCTTGAATAAATGATGTGGAAGATATAGCGAATTATATACTCAAAATATGGGGTGCGAAGAAGGTTGGAAAGCTTTAGGTTTATCGTTTTATGAAACGATATACAGAATTAAAGATGTGTTTTAATTGTGTTTATGACTTTCAAAAAGCTTTCTGCGAAGATTCAGAGTTTATTGAAAGATGGTTTCGATTGATATCGAATATGCAGGCCAAATATGGTATTTTGGACTGCGATTTCTACAACTTTGATGAGACAGGCTTTATGATGGGACAAATATCATTATATATAGTAGTTACTAAAGCTGATCGATATGGAAAAAGCAAAGCTATACAATCAGGCAATCGAGAATGGGCTATAGCGATTATTTGTGTTAATGAAGAAGATTATAATATACCTCTGTTTTTGATAGTAAAAGGCGAATACCATCTTTCAAATTGGTATACCGAAGGTGATTTACCATACGATTGGCTTATTAAACCTACTATCAATGAATGGACAGATAATGAGACAGGTCTTGAATGAATTAAGCACTTCAACAAATATACTGAAAATAGGAAAGTGGGTAGATATCGAATGTTAGTGCTTGATGGGCATGAAAGTTATAAATCGCCAGCATTTCAGGAATACTGCAAGGAACACAATATTATATTATTTAGTTTACCACCTCATTCTTTGTATTTAATTCAATCATTCGATATCGGTTGTTTTGGTCCTTTAAAGTATTCATATAGTCGACAAATCGAGAACTTTATTAAGGTGTATATCACTTATATTACCAAAACCGAGTTCTTTCAAGCCTTCAAAGCTGTATATATCGAAGCAATATCTATATCAAATGGTAAAGCTGGGTTCCGCGGAGCTGGGCTAATCCCATTTAATCCGGAAATTGTACTTTCAAAGCTAGATATTCGAATAAGAACTCCATCAAATAGATCAATATCAGCTGATCCTGATATATAGCAATCTCAAACACCTTATAATCCAATTGAAGCTCTTTCTCAATTTACTTTAGTGAAAAGTCGTATTGCTCAATATCAAGAGAGCTCACCTACTCCAATATTTAAAACAGTTGCAACTTTAGCTAAAGGTATAGAGCTTTTAGCTTATGCGAATACGCTTTTAGCTGTTGAGGTTCATAATCTCTACAAAGCAAATGAAGCACTTAGTAAACGCTGGAGAGCTAGAAAAGCTTTAATACGAAAAGGAGGAGTACTTTCAGTAGAAGATAGATATGATATATTAGAACAAGAGAATGTAGAAGATCAGATACGATGCAATGAATTTACAAATGGTGATTCTTCAGCAAGAAGGCAAGCTATTATACGATGATATAGCAAATGTGGTAGTACTTCACATAATGCACGAACTTGTCAATTAGATCCAGCATTAGTTGATCTTTGAATTGTATATAATTTAATTCTAATTTATAGTATTGTTGTAATTTTATTTCAATGGAATGTGGGCAATTGAGGTAAAAGTGTACAGGGTCCTGATATGTACAGGGTCCTGATAAACCACGTTATATATAAAGATGAAGTAACTCAGATATAAACCATCAGACTGATCATAGACAACATTCAACCTGACCTATTTCGGTACAAGGATTTGTATCTAACCTTATCTATTCAATTCATCATCCTCAAAATGATCCAAGTGACACTTTCGCGAATATCTATTTTATAGTTTATATTAATACTCTAAGCTAGACTTCTGACATGGATGACAATGATTTAAACGACGATAACACTTTTGGAAAGTTCCTATAATAGCATCGACAATATATTATCCCCTGCAATTCACATATATATTCTTCCCATGACAACAAATAATTCGCACAACATATACACTTAACCACCACCCATCTCAAAAATCAAAGGATCCAGCGATCTTTTGTGATTTAATAGAACTATAGCCTAGTGGTAAATGTATTCTCCAAGCAATTGATAATGCGAAATCTTCGATAATTAAGTTCCTCTTTAAATATTAGATATCCATCTTTATTTTTGCGGGCTTGGTCCCCTAGTATTAGTTTTCACTTCCCCCATTCAAACATTAGAAGATTGAGGCTTTCAATCTCCCCAACCTGTATTAGCTACGGTCGAATAAGGCCAGCTACCCCCCATGTATTATTGTTAGAAGCCTACAAAGCTCCTAGCCGTCTTAGATAGTCATAGACTCAGTGTAGACGTTAATTTAATCAATCAATCAATCCATCTTTATTTCCATCCCCATTTACAAGCTATCCCCTCAGCCGGAGAATACCTACCTGTATCGTATTCACTCTATATGTATAACACTCATCCATCGAAGCCATGATAACCATTTACCTACCTAGGTATTTACCATGATCAACCTCTAGGTTAATCATTCACTCATCCCATCCCCTCCCCTTCCCTTCACATCAACATCAACACAAAATCCCACAAAAAACAAACAACTCAATACCTACCTACCTATAAAACCCTACACACCCATTCCCATCCCATCCCATCCCATCCCATTTCAATACATACCCACACATCCCCACCAAACCCACCAGTCAGTCCATTCAAAAACCTATAGTACCTAAGGAAGGATGGTTTTATTACAACAAAAACAATTAATTATAAATATATTAAATCACACGAAACAAAATCTAGACCTCTTCTTTTTTCTTCTCTTCTCTTCTTTTCTCAAATTTATCTATTTTCTAAATATATCTTATTCATTATTATATTATCATCTCAACTATTATCATTAATTTACTTCTCCATCATCACTAACAAAATCTTCCTAGCTAATCATCAAACCCAAAACCACCCATCAGCAAATTCTCACCCCATATTCTCATATTCCCATCCACACAACACAACACTCACTCACTCACTCCTTCCTCTCTATATATATTCTCTAAACTCCCTCGCTCTCACAATATCATAAATATTCCCTGTACTTCAGAGGTCTATCTATCCAGTTTTCATTCTCTATTATTCTCTATTATATTACTCCAAACACCTTATCCCTAATATCTTTACACACGCATACCCATTAAACACCAAGCTCCTACCAAATAATACCTGCTAGAAACTCTATATCGAAATAAAAATAAGAACTTATGGAAGTAAAAGTAAAAGAGTAAAAGAGGGTATTCTTTCTCCTGTTTACTTGTAATCTTTTCTGATATGATTTATTCTTATCTCCTATTTTATTCTATTTAATACTTTATCCATACCACATCATTACGAAAATCCAGCCAGGCTTTTAGATACTATGCACGCACTAACTATACTAGTAATATAAGTTTAAACCTCCTCCAAATCAGCCACTCCACGACTAAATCTTCTTTTTCTCAATCCCTGTCCTTCTGCCCCATCTCTATCTCCTTCTCTACCTCCATCTCCATTCCCACCATCTTCACCAAAAACCTCCTCCTCCCCATCATCCCTCCCCCTATGCTCCCCACCCTCACCACCCAAACCCTCCCCCTCCCACCCAGGCAATCTAACCGCCCTATCCAACGCCCTCGGCAACCCCCTATGCCTCCCTCTAACCATAACCGCCACCAAAACAACCTTACTCGCACTCTTCAAACCCCCACTAAAACTATAATCCTGATCCGGCAAACCCGTACTAATCCCCACACAACCATACGCACTCACCACCTCAAAGATAACATTAAACACACTATAAGTGACTGGATCTTTCTCAAAGGAAGAAGCTTCTATACAGACGATCAGGAAAGTAGCGAGAGTTAACCACCATAGATCATGGGAGAGTTGTGAACGGAGTTGGTGGTGAATAAATTGAGATCCTGTTGTTTCTTCTTTATCTTTTTGCGCGGAATTACTTATTACTTCAGATGATGAGGAAGTAGTAATTTCTCGACCGGAAAAGGATCGTTTTATTTTCTTCATTCTTCGTCCTATTCTTGAGGTATGATGAGATGGATCGATATCATTGGTGTAGATACCCAAACTACGTTCTTCGTAGACATTGGAATGACGCATTGTTATAACGACGGGATATACACTGATATACATCATGACGACGTATAAAAATTGTAGACCAATACGTAAAGTTGGTATACTTATGATATAAAATCCACCACTTCTAACGGCAATTGCTTGGAAAAGTCCATCGAGAACTCTATATCTAGGTTCGATAACTTGAGTTGCGGAATTGCCAATATTAAGGAGTTCAAAGGCGATCCAATCGATAGAGTTAAGTGTTATGACCATGAAGAGTAGCCACCATGTTGCGCGTGAAGGAAAGAGATTGGTATAGACACGACGAGGATAACGGAGGATAAAAAGGAGAGTTGCTTTGTGGTGTTGGAAAGGAGAGAGGAAGTTAGGGAAAGTATCAAGGAGTTTGAGGAGTGTATAAAGGATTAGGCGCAAGAAGAGTGGGTAAGCTGTATTTCCAGCGAGGATTAACAAACCCATTGTTAAGAGGGTATAGACTGAAGTTTGAAAGGGTATCTATTTTTGTTAGTTTTCCTTGATTTTAAGCAATTCTGAAAGATAGAAATAGAGAAGATAAAAAGAACAACTCACCATATTTAAATCCAATAAACTCATCCCCGAATTATTAAATGCACTAATAGCATTAAAAACTCCCAACCACCATGGATTAATTCCATTCTCAAGAGCAACGTTACTCTTATTATAAGCCATATAAGCACCCAGTCCTATTCCTCCAAGTACTTGCCAAAGAATAAAATAAGCAGGTACTAACCAGGCTAGAAATGATATAGCTCGATATTCAACACCACCTAAATGTTCTCTTTCTGCTCGTGATAGACCATGAAATTGAGCATTACGGCCAGTGGTATTAGAATTTAAGTAAGATGGATATTGAAGAGGAGCTAGATCTTGTTGACCAGTTTGTGAGTGGCGAAGTGGTGTATTTATTTCATTGATTCGATGTTTTAGTGTATTGGTTTCCGAGGTGGAGGTTGGTGTTTGAAAATTCGTAGATCGAGCTGCTGTTGAAGTTCCGTCATTTGAACTTCCTACTGTAATGTCCTTTGCTTTTCCTTTTCCATTTCCTGGGTATGCATCTGGTGCAAATGTAATATGATCTCCTGCATCTTTTGGTATACCGCCAAGAGGTGAAATTTCCGAAATAGCCGTCATACAATTTTCATCAGTCTTTCCTTCAGCTGGTCGAATTTTCAATCCTTCATTCATCTCAACAATATCTTCATCTCCATTTTTCCCACCTCCAATAGAAGGAAACTTCCAATTATCTTTCATAAATCCACTTCCATCCCCTACCCCCACACCAACATCTCCCCTCCTACTCTCTACAGCCTCTCTACTCCCACTCCTCATCCTTTCTCTCCTCCTTTCCTCTTTCTGCCTTCCAACCACCTCTCCAAACCTAACCTCAAAAGCCCTCTTCCTCGTTCTAACAGTCGCCACACTAACAAAGATTGCACTTCCAACCACAATCAATAACCAAAGAATAACCTGTTGAAAAATCGTCATCGTGCTTAAATTAACCGTATTAAGACCTGCTTCGGTCATTGCCGACGTTACCAAAAATAAAGAATCAACATAAGATATAGATTTTGAGGAACCCCAAAAGATTAGAGAGGTAATGAGAAGTGTGATTATAAAATAAGTGTAATGAATTGTTATAAAGTTTAGTGGTGGAAGGAGGGCGACGATAGGTGATATCCATCGTGATGAACAATCATACCACTTTTCTCCCATGAAACTTTTTAAAGATCTAGGTTTTTTATCCATTTCTTCTCTTGAAGGATGTGAATTAAAGAAACTTCCCCTTAAACTCCTTGGAAGAGTTTTCTCACTCTTTCCACCTGTGTTATGGGATGGAAGGAGTGATTTAAGAGGTCTTGGATTGATCGGTGAATGAAGGGCAAAAAAAGATCCAAATGTTCTTGGTGCCGATTGTGAAGCGAAATCTCGAGATTCTGTTTGTAGATTTGGGGAATCCAATTTTCGAGATTCCGGCGGTGATGTGTAAATCACGGGAATGGCAAGTTTCGGATGTTGATTATGATGATCGATATCATTCTCCTGTTCATTGATTTCCCTTGAATTCTTAGCTTTAGCTGTATTCTCTGCAGGAGATCCTATTTCCCAATGATCATTCATCATTTTCCGGTGAAGAAATAATAAATGAACTCAAATATTCGCATGGGTAGAGCACCCCGCCAAACAAAAACCTTTGCTTGTTCTCACCTGTTTGGACCTTCGAATTCCTGTTTATTCTTAAACTTAAGTCAAGACGGTTAAGAGGAAGGAAAATATAATTGCTGAATCCAAACTCTTTCTCAAAGTTCCAAGAATCAAATAATAAATACTAAATAATCAAACTCCTTCAACGCCCCGTGTAAAAATGTAATGAAAATGTGTGTGTGTTGGTGTTTGTGGGGATTTTTGGAGGAAAAAGGTCGGATTCCAAAACTCCAACCAACCAACCCTAGAGCAGAGGAATAAATCTTTCACCGATAGTCTCAACGTTAAGAGACGATAAGAAATTGAAACTATTGCATCTGAAAATCAACGACAATAGAAATTGAATGATATCTAAATCTTCAATTATATATACCCTTTCTATCCAGCCCAAGAATGAGACCAACGAAAAGAAAGACAAGAAAAGGAAATGTGATCTGATGTGTGTGGGAAAATCTAATCGTGGGTTAACCTTAAAATTAAACTTGTCTCCCTCCTTATCTTCATTATCGCACACACTAATTAGAGTATAATTACATCAAAGCTAGTATACAAAATAAAATCTCCCCTCTCACATCAGCTCAACTCAAACAAAACCTCCAACGTCCAACCTTACATCCGATCTCTTACCACACCTCACCATTACTTCCCCTCACCACCAACATCTAACCACAACTATAACCACTCGACCTGATCAGACTATCTGTACATTAAAAAATATACATACAGTCAACCTTTCTTTGACCACTGATTAACCGATTTCCCTACATCGTGTACGGCCCTGTATCTTGCACATATTTTAATTTATTGAAAATCATTTTATAAATTCAAATATAAAAGTTTTCTTATATATTAAAATCATTTTAAGAAAGAAAATCTTGAAAATTTTTATTCCTTTTATTTAAAATATAATATTTAAATTATTTTAGAAAAATATATATTTATAAAAATATTTTTTTGTCGGCTTGCCGACACCAAAACCTTGCTGTACGCGAGGTTTACCTGGTGTAGGTGATCGAAAATGAGAAACTCGTTTAAGTGAAGCTCGATCCTGACAATCTGATTGGTCTAAGATACCCCTGCAGAAAATCTGACAAAAAGCTTGGCATAGTAATGCTACAGCCTCAGGCATATCTGACTTGGAACTTTTCAACTCATTCAACTAAATCATTCAACTCAACTTATTATAATAATAATAATAATAATAATGTTACGAGGGTTGCCGTCTAGATCACGTGGAAGTGCTCTAGGCTCTCGAGGTAGTTTATAACTAGGCGTCAAGCAGGGACTTAAAGTAATGACAATAATGATATGCAATTCGTAACTAATAGTAGAGTATACTAAATGATTGATCTTGAGCACGAAGCTCTATACAAAGGAAATCCATCTTGATTATATAGTCCTTCGTGCCTATGGTTAACTAGGAATCGTCGTTCTTGGGAACGAGCGTTCCTCACCGTTCCATCACATGTTTTATGATCATGTGACATACTAATCGTTTTGGACGTAACATGTTAAAAGAAATGACCTTACACAGGGAATAGTGGGAAGTGTTACGACGGGCTACACAACTACCAAGACACGTGATCACAAATGATCAATAGTGATCATTAAGGATCACTAAGGATCACGGTATAGGTGATCACTGATGATCATTAAGGATCACTAAGGATCACGGTATAGGTGATCACTGGTGATCATTAAGGATCACTAAGGATCACGATATAGATGATCACTAATGATCATGAAGGATCACTAGTAATCATGGAAGCATGAAGGACTATATAATCAAGATGGATTTCCTTTGTATAGAGCTTCGTGCTCAAGATCAATCATTTAGTATATCCTACTATTAGTTACGAATTGCATTTCATTATTGTCATTACTTAAGTCCCTGCTTGACGCCTAGTTATACCCCTACTGGAGAGCCTAGAGCACTTCCACGTGATCTAGACGGCAAACCTCGTAACAGGAAGCTGATAGGGCAGAACTGAGGCTATATTGGCCTTCTATGTAAATCACTCATAATCTTAGTTCTACGGAAGTGCGAAGCTCTCCTACAGAGAGCTTCTCAATCTAGTCCTAATAGGACTAGTGCCCTGTGCACGTGCTACGCAGGAACCATTCACTTTAACAAAATAATTAAATATAATTTCAATAATTTAATTTAATTTTAAATTTATTCTTTTTATATATTTATATCTAAAATTACTTTTTTTTCCCCTTCAACATCCAACATCCAATACCCCAGCCCCCCACACCCCCCTTAAACCACCGTTTCAACCTCCATCTCACCTCACCTCCCCTCCCCTCCCTCACCTCATCAACTTCCAACCACCATCTCAGCCATCTCCAGCCATCCCAACCATCTCACCACCCTTTCAACCTCCCTCGCCCCCCCTCCCCTCCCCTCACCACCATCAACATCTAATCACTAAGCCCCACCCCAACTGTAACGATACTATACTGGAGGCAGCGGCTGCCTAAGGTTTCGTCTGGTTGGTAGTTGTGGGTTAAGGCTTTATCACTGGTCTTCACTTGGAAGTGAAGTCGTTACTAGATCAAGTAGAATGTAGGTAAACTAATTGATAACTAAGTTGAGCACGAAGCTCCTTAAGTACGAGACTAAATGAATGTTTATATACCCTATATCATCTTTTGAGGACCCTTGGGACCCTAAGGTCCAAAAGGTCCTCAAGGTCCTCGAGGTCACGTGAATTAATGAATCGTGACACCAACCCAACCAGATCAGATTCCAAATATCAAAAACCAACTACCAACTATCAGACTCTATATTCCATAATTCAAATAAACCATCAATATATAAAACTTTTATATTATTCTTTTATTTTATATATTTATACAACTCAACTCTCCTCATCCAAGTTTCCTCATCCAACTATACTCATCCTACTCATTCCATCCTATAACTTCAGATAAGATCTAGTAATATAATATAATGTAAAGTATATAATAATATAACTACTTATACCGATTATCTGTATCTACTAGATATCTATCTATCTCAGCTATGCTATGCTATGCTGTGCTGTGCTGTACTGTAACCACCCCCACCCTCTCTCATCTTCTCCTCATCTTCTCCTCATCCTTGTCCCTCCCCTTTCCTTTCCCCCCATCTTTTCCTCTTCCTTCGCTTCGAATATCCCAATCCCAATCCCGATCCAGGGTATATCCCAATTCTACCATTTAAATTCAATTCAAATCAAATCAAATCAAATCCAATATATTCATTCGACTCCTATTTCCGATTCCATCCCCGCAGGTTTTTCACCCATTCATCCTTTGATCCATCCACCCAGCCATCCATACACTCCTCGAATTTCCTTTCCTCCTCTCCTCCCTATTCCTATCCCATCCACAAAGCGCCTCCTTCACTCCATCAACCCAGACGCACAATAAACAAAGGAAATACATCCAACAAGTAAGTAAGTAATACTCCTCTTAGACATCATCTCAAAATCTCAACATCCACTCGACCTTAAAAAACGCCAGCTGTATAATAGCGATATCCAAATTCACTGACAGCTTTATCCTTCCTCCCTTTTCTCTTCCTTTCCCTTTCCCCTTCCCTTTCACCTTTCCCCCCCTCTTAAACAAATAAAATTATATATGTTACTAGGTATATAGTGTGAGATTCCAAACTCCTCGCATAATGGATGATATAACGATAGTATATAGCATAGCGTACACGCCATAATAAAACGGCGCTCAAATAACCATTAAAACGAGTGGAATGGTAAATCCTATGATGTGTATTAGAATCGAATGATAATGCATGGTTGCATGAAGACGATATCAATTCGTAATGCTGTTCATCTCGGAAGTATGATTAACATTGATTCGATGGATCCGAGGCTCGATTATTTTTCGTCTCGATGTTATGTATGGCATCTATGCCTTTACCCTCATTAAAGGATTCCACTCCACGAATCGATTTCCAATCATGTTGTTGTATAAAAGAATGAATTTCAATTAATCTCCTTAATTTCAAGGTCCATGTTGTGAAGGATCCCTTGGATGTTGATTTCGTCTTCCAGCTTCACCTCTAGCATTTGCCCATTCTTGTGCACCAGTTTGTCTACCAGGTTGTTCAGCTGGTAATTTCTGATCTTCTTGTCGTGGAGGTGGAGGTGTTATTTGTTGATGTGACGATCCTTCTGGTCTCAAATTCGATACGACGGATTGCGCAATTGATGCTACCACATAACCCCTCAATTCCTTATCTTCCCTCGCATCTTCCTTTTCCAATCGAAATCTTTCATCCTTATTCATATTTGATCTCCGAAGTCCCCGAATTTCGTTTTGAATATATAACATAACTTCTTCCGGACATCGATTTCGTGGGAGAGCATGATCGGGTTTGCGTACATATCTTCGAGTAACATCGGTCGCACCTTCCATTGAAAAAGCAATACAATAAGACATCTTCTTACCCCAACCTTCGGCATATAACCTTGGATTATCCCAAGCTTCTTCACATGCATCAACATGAATCCATCTCTTTTTCGTATCCGAATAAACTTCCGTCCAAACATGATCTTCAACATTCCAAACCCATCTTACACGACCTCCAACGGCGCGACACAACATACTGAAACAATTAGCCCACTCTCCCACTCGACCTCTTCTTGTTTGTAATAATCGCCAAACGTCACTATATCGAGGAAATCGTTCATATGCACCACAGTCCCCGGCCGAACATCTGTATAATTCCACCTTTGTCGCTCCACAAGCTAATTCATCAGGTGTTGGTGGTGTCATTCCTTGCGCAACGGTAGGTGACATGCATACATGACACGGTGGATTATTTACCCAAGAAAAGAAAGAACGTTTGAACCATCTGATGAAATGTTAGAGAAGTTGTCGAATCGAGATTGGACTCAAGACATACCTCAGTAAAGCTCGAATGACACAATCTTGATAACCCCATTCTGGTTTCCTTCCATCTCCCATGCTTTCGGCCTCAGCTTGTAAGATTTGACTTTCTTCTTCTGCTTCTCCATAAATTCTATCTAGTGGTAAATGTTGTAAAGCTTCATCCAATAAACCGGGATTTTCATATTTCGTTGGTGTTTGTGAGATGGAGATTAATAAATTTCGAAACTTTTGTGATTGAGCATCTGCTGGTGGAGAAGGAATCTTTGGTAAACTTCTTGTAGAAGAATATGCTGGAGGAGTTGGAGGTTTTGATTGATTATTTGATGAAGAAGTGGGTCGAAAGTTGGAAGATTGTGGTTGATTTTGTGAAGATGAAGCTCGGAGATTTGATGAAGATGATCGTTCTCTAGGTGATGGTGAAGGATTTCGTGATCTTGATCTATCCAATTCATTTAATCTTTTCGTCCTTAATAAACCTTCGAATTGTTGTCTTAAATCTTTTGCCCACGCATGATCATATTCACCATTTGAAGTATTTGACGCATTTCGATCAGCCATTTTGTTGTTGTTGTTGTTGTTGTTGTTGATGTGGTGGTGGTGGTGGTGGTTATGATGTTGAAGGTAAGAATTAATTATAGAATGTCGAGTCGAGTCGAATGTATATCAAAGGAAAAGGTATAATGCATGCGTATGTGTATTCGTATGCGTAATGCGACGTCCTTCAATTTCAACCTTTACAACCACTGACTCTCACTCTCACTCATACACTCTCTTCCTCTCACTATCTCTCTGTATAATAATGGCTTGTCCTACAATGGAAGAGGAATCCTATAATATCGTCCGAAATAGTTTGTATAATAATACGATTGATTGTCGAGGAATGGCGAAAAGAAAAAAGGAAGGATGTGTTGTAGAAGAAAATGATTGAGATGTAAGATTGAAGTTACTTCAGTAAAGTTGTAAATGGCTGTAGGAATATTTCCTTCTTCTCACTCTTACACATACACCACTTCACACACTCTCTCTTCTTCTTCTTCTTCAATACTGTTTGTCCCTCGAGCACAGCCCTCCACTTCACACTTCCATTACCTAGTACAGTAGACAGTAGGCACTTTTTTGGATGCAATCGCCACTTTTCGCTTATGAATTTAGGCTAGGGATTCGTAATTGTGTAGGTTACTCCGTATGTTTTGAACTAGGGGAAGGGGGAAAATGGATCTTGATGAAAATCTAGGGACATGACACTGAATAACTTTGACGGTAGTAGAATTTTAACTGATTAGTTGTTGAATATCATTAGGTGTTGTTGTCGTGTACTCCAAAGTGTAAATGTGTAGGAACTGTAGTTGAAAGGAGAATGAGTAAGGTTGAAGGAAGTAGTTAAGGCTCACCACCTAGATTGAAAGGATTCATTCGTTCGTATCATCAAGTTAACAACCTGGTAATTGGTATGAGAGTTTAAGCTGTATGGACTATACAAAGAATATCTACCTAGTATACGCAAGTCCTGTACAACAACAAGATGTTACTGCGTAAGTTTCCTAACCCAATAAAGTAAATTCCAAGATCTTTCCAGGGGCCAAAAAGTTAAAAAGTTAAAATCATGACAATTCATACATTCATTCATCCATTCATTCATACACTTACCGGTATCCCTCATTCATGACTTGCATTATCATACCTATCTACTTCTTGATCAACAAACAAATACATACAGCAAGTATTAATTATCAAATAATCATAAATCTAGTAAAATAACTTCTCTTATATCCTTGGCAATCGAATTTGTACGCGTGGTTTCAAGATTCATTCAACCAGAACCAGATACCTCCCTCCTCTCTCCATGTTTGATTCAATTCGGATCTTTTTCATCGCCAAGCATGCCAAGTTGAGCATTTATCAATCGGGATCCGAATTACTCCAGGTAAACAGGTGAACAGGTGAACGAGATCGTTTTCAACTATGGTGTTGGGATATTTACCTGGTATTTATTTTTATTGTTTTAAAAGGATAAATAAACTCATTCTCACTCACTCTTCAGACTTAATCTCTTGAAAGTAACAACTCTTTACCTAGACATACTTATTCCATTTACTCCATTTACTCCATTACTCCGTACTTGTCATCCACCAAATGCATAGACTTTCCTATCTAGTATCTAATAGTCTCATCGGACTTTTAAAAGAGTGTTGACGTGGGCCATGTATTTGAGTGACTTTGGAAAAGAGCTGACGACGACTTCATTTTCATTGTCATGTTGAAATCGTTTTTCTACTTGATGTGATTGGTTGAAAGTAATCTAGTATCTAAATCATTTGATAGAGAAACCTTGGAAATTAATACATAGAGCTTGGGTAGAACATAGAACATCATCTTCTCCTTATCAGTACCTACTCTTACTACCTAGGTAATTCAACTAACTAACTAACTAACTTATTAACGATGATCTTTTTTAAAATTCCATAGGAATGAATAAATGATTCTTCATCATCTAAAAGGGTTCAATTATGTCTTGCCTCATGTACGGTGTACTACGTACGATATGAACCATATTGCGACAACGAGTAGATCATTTTGCCTCAACACAAATAATCCATGGATGGATGAATGATAGATCGCTCCCGATTTTATCTTGGCAGTATATTTCGTATAAACATCAGATGATTTATATTAACGGAAAATGATCAACAGTAATAGTATAGTAATAAAGCCATAACCCTTCTAGATCTGTAACGCTTTCTTCAAGCACAGCCACATTAAAAACTTCATCGCCGGGTTGTTCGTCCATCCTTTTAAAGAAATGTATATAAAAGAGAATAAAAACTACCTGTTAAATATCCTTCAAAATCATATCATCGATTCAATCTATCTTATTTTCAAATTTCAAATCCCGAATTCCGAAGACCTACCTACTAGGTAGTATCTGTAGTACTAACGAAAAAAAGCATTCGTCACCAAGCGGCGCAGATCAACATCCGAAACAAGAAATACCACCCTTCAAGTTTGAGCCTCACGAAATTATAAATGCTATGCTATGCCATGCCATCGAACTTCGCAGTCATCTATTTATCTTGTGTAATTACTAGATAGTCTTTGATGCTCTAGATAGGTACTGAATATGGAAAAATTTGTGATTATTTATTTATCTACAGAGTATCAGTCAGTCAGTCAGTCAGTCTCTCAAATCCCGGAATCGATTCGAGGTGTGGAAAACTAGCACGATAAATGCTTATACTGAGTAATATAATCATACATCTGACATACTACCCATCAACCTGTCTGTCTACGAAGAGTATATACCATCTCCCCCCCTTCTCCTCTTCTACATAATTCTACAATAATCTAAGTTCCAATAACTCCAAACAAATCAATACCAAAAAAAATGAAACGTATCGCATTCTACTCTTGATCTTGATCTTAATCTTGATACATACATACACGCAATAAAAATCCTTGGCTAGGTACGAAGAAAACAAAGTTTTATCATTGTTTGAGGAGGACGGACAACGACGTCTTGACGGCTTGATTATTCGTATTCGTATCGTATGTGAAGTTGGTTGGTGCAAGCACGTGGTTGGTGTGAGGGAAGGGGAGGGAAGAAGGTGGTTTCTTCTCTTGCTTTCCTCTGCTCAGTACCTAGGTAATAATGAAATATTGAAATAGTGAAAAGGGTATTTTTATCATTATCATTATCATCTTCTCTACATCAAAAATTCCTAATTTCTCAAATCCCTAAAGAAAAGAAAAAACCCTTCAACATCTACTCATAATCATACATTATCCGCACCACCAAACTCACACTCAAACCCACAATTCCCATCTTAAACCAAGAAATCCCATATAGTAAGTACTGCATATATCTAAATCCACCAATCACCAATCAACATCACCATAATTTCCACTCAATCGGCCATTCAAACATTCAAACATTCAAGCATACGCGTTCGTTCCCGCTTGGCGTAAAAGAAAAGAAAAAAGGCAAAGCTTTGACTTTCTAAATCTCTCTGTAAATCTCTAAATCTCTAAATCTCAAAAAGTATCGAAAAAGGAATAACGTACAGAAAGAAAGAAAGAAAGAAAGTGGATGGATATAGCGGATATAACTAATACCTATGGGCCCTGGGTAGGTACGGAGAAGAGGGATAGATAGATGTAGATGTGGATGGATGTGGATGTGGATGTGGATATAGCGGGCGGATATAGAAATAGATAGTGGTACACTGGTAGGTATAGGAGTGGGGATGATTGCGCGGCTACTTTTACCCCCTGGCTGGATCTTGGGTTTGTGCTGTTGTTGTGTGTGTGTGGCTTGTGGTTTGGGTTGGGTTGTGGGTTGGGTTGTTAGGTATACCTATCTAGATGGTTAAAGTGATTTTGATGAGGACTGATGTGGTGATGGATTTTTGGTTGGAGGGGGAGGAGATAGGGAGATAGAGAGATAGAGGGGAGCTTGATGAGGGGTGGGATGAGGGAAGAGGGAGTTGGATGAGGGAAGAGATAAGGATGATATGATTATGGATAGACTCGAAGGATAATTGAGTGGAAATATAAGATATTAATAAGAGTGAGTAGTAGTAATATTAGTAATAATATTAGATTTTTATTTAAAACCCTTTTTAAAGATATAAAAGTATATTAATTGAATTAAAGACTTTTATATAGTCTATTAAAATTATAAAGAGAAAAAAAATATTTTTAAATCTTTAATTTTATGTTACGACGGCTTCGGATCTCGTATCATGTGACCAATTATGTAATCACATGGTCCCTTCGATCCCCTCGGTCTCTTGATCGAAGGGACCGAGGGGACCAAGGGGACGATTAGCATGAAGGTCTATATAACCAAGATGGATTTCCTTTGTATAGAGCTTCGTGCTCAAGATCAATCATTTAGTATACTCTACTATTAGTTACGAATAGCATATCATTATTGTCATTACTTTAAGTCCCTGCTTGACGCCTAGTTATAAACCACCTCGAGAGCCTAGAGCACTTCCACGTAATCTAGACAAAAACCCTCGTAACAATTAATAAAATTTCAAATTAATAAATAAAAACGGTTTTTTAAATTCTTGGGTTTAAAATTTAAAAATGAGATTAAATTATATATATTTCTTTATAATAAAAATAATATCAAGTGTGACCAAAAGGGTGTTTATAGACCAGCAATTGTATTTAACTTAGAATCTACAGGTGAAGAGCACCTGTAGATGGGGATAGCTACTCTATATATACACAAATGAATAGCCTAGCCGCAATGGCTAGGCAAAAAGAAGTCATATTTATTCCTCCAATGATCTTACTTTACCGATAACCATTGATACCTAGTACTTGTCCGGATCTGATCCTCAGGTCACCTAAATCGTATACTAATCTCGAGTAATCGTATCATGTGTGGACATGGTTAATGTACCTGAGGTTTCTTATATAATAAGGGTGGGAGGAAAGCAGGGATTTCCGTCACATCAAGTAATTTGAAGTTGTATAAAAGATTTATATAATAAAATGAATATATTAAGTGAAAGGTTCTTTTATCTTTATTTCCATCTCTATATTCATTTTCATCTTCATCCCTCAGGTCTCATTTCATTCATTCTTTCTTTCCTTCCAAACCACCAGTATACAAAGACCTCAAGCCAAGAAAGCTCTAAAATCTTATATCAAATACCCATTGCTTAATCTTTAAATCTCCCTCTATCACAGTATAATGTACGAAACACTGAAAGGATTCCTATTATAGGTGTGAAGAAGGTCTTCTATTATTAAGGCTACGGTACTTGCCATGTTAATCACACCAGCACGAATGCGTCTTGAGTCTTAACTCTTGACTTACTATTTTATGCTACTGGTATATATCCTATATTTTTAGCATAAATGTATATTATGACAGTATAAGGATTACCAAGATGTCGGGTCTGATGCGACACCAGGTTGTAAGCTGTAATTTGGAAAATTTGAATTTTGAGTTTGAGCTTAACTGTGGAAGTGCCATGCCAAGTCTAGCTAGCTTATGGATTTTAAGAGTTTGAGCTTTTATTTCTTGTTTTTAAGCGTTTCCTTATGGATGAGTTCTCATTATTACTGTTGAAGTTGAATTTTTGAATGCTGTGGAAGGGAAAAGTTATGTCTTTGAAGTTTCATTGGTATTCCTCATGAATCTGAAATCTGCGCAGTCGAGCAAGACCTGAAGTGCTGGCAATTCGAGTTGTTCATACCCTGCTTTGTTTTCGTCATATGTCTATCAATGAGTTGGTTATTTTGGTGGAATAATGCACAGATGAACACTTGGGCTCAATGTTCCGGTACTTTTTAAGGTCATCTATTACGTCGTCTTATGGATCACAGTGGATTTGAATACAATAGACAAGGGTATAGCATATTCTTGCTGTCTACTTTCATATTTTCAGATATTACTTCTCCTCTTCAACCCACAGTTTAGTAAACACATCACCATCAAACATCATCATCACAGCACTTACATATTTCTCTCATGTCCTCCCCCTAGACACTTGGACATGACTAACCTCATGGAGATATCTCACATGCATTTAAATTGTATTAACCTTGAAGTTTCCTCCTCAAAATTTGCTTGTCAGATGCTATTGTGTGGGCGTGATTCGTAAAGTACACGTACGCACGCACGCATATTTCAATAACCTTATTTTCAATCTGCAGCTTTCCACTTTTCACATCAGATTCATACTAGCTCAGACAAGACAAATGTAAGACGTATGACGCAAGACTCGAGTGAGCAGAGTTGCGACTCGGACCCGATGTATAGTAGTCCTTGTATGGCATAGTTGCACTACCTGTTCATTGTCACCGGTGTTTGCTTACTGTGAGGTTCTTATCGCTAGATGCACTAAACCGAATCACATTCTTCCATTCTTTCACGGGATGGAATGACTGGAGTGGGCATGCTAGAAATCTTATCATCTCATTCCTCAAACCCACTAACCAGCCCCAAGGCCAAACACACCACCACGGGCCTCTACACCTTGTATCCACGTGTAATTGTGGTTTGTCGTTTGATGGTCACCTGGTCATTGAAACTTCCAAATGGATTTAGAGACTAAAAGCATGAAAGTTGGATAGATCTAGTGAGTGAAGATAAGATTCAAGTAGAACTAGGAGTGCAGTTTCCTGTTGTGAATACTATCTTGCACGTAATAGAAGATAGGTGATGAGATGATTCAAAGAATAACATGTACTAAATCATATAATATCCGAATCTTACAATATTAAAATTGAACATAATTTATAATTTTAAATAGATTCCGATGATAATATAGGACAATCATATGATATTTATCTTATAATATTCTGATACCCGAAATATTTCTTGGGATGGTTACCCTACCCTATAGACCTTGAGGAGGGTAATATACCGGCGGGTTTTACCCCGGGTTACCCCGGGTTTACCCTACCCTTCGCCCATTCCTGCTGATAGTCCGGAATGCGGTTCAATAGTGAAAAGCTTTGAGTTCCTGAAATCATGTAAAGTACGTAATGAATTACACTCAAATACCTACAAACTTTGGATATTAAACATAATTAGATATTTAAAGTATTTGTTGACCTCCTGGGATCTTGGCAGCATATGCATATATAGTACATATGCATATAAGGAGCAAACAAAACTCAACTTTTAATTCATTCTTTCCTTTTTGGTATACTGTTTGTTTGCTTTCAATATTTTGATTTCAAAGCACTTTAATTCCGAAGGCCGAATACCCAACCTATTCCTTCATTTTTTTGAATATATGCTCGCAGCTTAACTGCTTAGCTAGAGAATAAGTCAATTCAATCTGATGCTCTTTCTAGTCTCAAGAAACCCAACAGTATTTGAAAATGTTGAATTGTCTTTTAAAAATGAATTGCATCCAAACATTAAATTATATCCAAACTTTGAATTCTGTTTAAAATATTCTATGATTTTCTCATCATTGAAAGCTTAAATCTAGATTATCAGTCTAGACTATTTGATAACATGTCCGTCACTCCGTATATCATGCCTTCGAACTACAAGACGGCTTGGTTCTGACATATTGAATGCGCGACTCTGATCAATCCTAGGGAAAAGAAATTAAGATACACCTGAAGGCCTCATGAAAAAAATGAAGTGTACGCGTTAGACACCCAGCCATAGAGATACAAAGCCAAGAGAGTTATACCATGCCTTTGGTAGCCTCGATCAAATTGAGGCTCCAAAGCCCTGTTAATAAACAGGGAGGGAGAAGATCACACGTTTCTTGTGGACTAAATGATACGGAACTCCAACCGTGAACGGGTGGGACATCAAGTACTGCGCTATTTGGTGTGGTATAACTAATATTAGCCATCCAGCTGGATTCAGAAGAGCACTTAAAGGATTTTGAGAGCTCTCTGGAGCAGAATCATGGGGCTAAGATGAATGGGTTGTAGTAACAGTAGAACAATATATGGGAGGTAAGAGCGGATATGGGTGCAAGCACATATATCTCTAGACTAACCCATATATCAGAGGATAGTCAGTGTGTTTGCAATATGCTTGCTCAGTGAATTCTCAGATGATCCAGAATATAGAAAATTAAATAACGCTGTGATAACCAGAAGAATTGCAGAGTCACTTGTTATCCCGGAGAGCTGAGCAGCACAGCAGGATGTATTAGATGAAGATGAAGTAATTACTAGGCACTTGCTCTAGCTGCCAACATTGCTCGAGAGGGGGGTCACACTTGATTTGCTAAATTAAACAAATATCTTTGAAACGGTCTTAATATCCCAGTCACCGGTTTCATTGCTACCCATTAATGTACAGACATCCACATGCGTAGTGCGAGAGCTCCAAGACTCTTACAAAAATGGATGAAGGGGAAGTAATTGATATCACGTGTCAAGGATCTCTCCACCGCCTACCATTAATGCACGAGCCACTCAGTATTTCCGGCAAAAAAACTTCTTGAGCTTTTTTTATTTTTTCTCTTGTGAATTGAATGAGAAGTCAATATCAAACCGGCGCAATGGATATTCACCGCTGCAGATTCGTTCCATACCCTCCGTCAACAATCAATGCATTGGCATTCACACACTCGAAGTTGACAAAAGGACAATCTGCCGTTTCCCCACGATTAGCCCTCGGTCGCGCAAACGGTGATATCGAGCTTTGGAACCCGCAAAAAGGATCATGGCTTCAAGAGACAATCATCCGGGGTGGAAAGGATCGCAGTATTGATGGACTAGTTTGGACTCAAGATCCTAATGAGGATGTTAATGGCACGAAAATAATTGGGAAATCCAGGCTCTTCAGCATCGGATACACTACAACTGTTACCGAGTGGGATTTGGTGAAAGGTCAGCCATTACGTTCAGCGAGCGGAAACCATGGAGAGATATGGTGTCTTGCTGCCCAGCCCGCAGAAGAACAAAAAGCTGGAGAGGAACCTTCTGGAGAATGTCAAAAGCTTATAGCTGGTTGTGTTGACGGAGCTTTGGTTTTATACTCCACAGCGGATGAAGATCTGCAATTACAAAAAGTTCTTGTTCGCCCATCCGCGAAAAAAGCAAAGATTGTTAGTGTTGCCTTCCAAGATCGCAATCATGTTATTGCAGGATGTTCAGATAGCAATATTCGAGTTTATGATATACGAACTGGATCAATGGTAAGACAGATGTCTTTGGGAGCTGGACCTAAAGGGGGACCCAAAGATATTATTGTTTGGGCTGTCAAAGCATTACCAAATGGAGACATAATATCTGGTGACTCGACGGGAGAAATTAAAATATGGCAGGGCAAAACATACAGTATGATGCAGCACATTAAAAGTCATACCCAAGACGTTCTCAGCCTTGCAACAAGCTCTGATGGGATGACAATTTTCAGTGGTGGTATGGATAGACGGACGGTCGTCTACAAACAAATAAAAGGGAAGAAGAGATGGTCAGAAGTGAGGCACAGAAGATTTCATAGCCACGATGTTAAGGCTATGGCAAGCTTGGAATGTCAGGGAATCAGTGTTGTGGTTTCCGGAGGTAAGCAGATCTTCCACTAATATATTTTCCATAAGCTAATTTTCATTCGCAGGTCCCGATGCCGCACCTACTGTTCTGCCACTGGCGCATTCTGGTCAAGAGAACCAACGTGCCCTGCCATTCCTCCCTCAACCATCCATTATTCAAAGTTCTACAAGAAAGAGATTGTTGATGAGCTGGTGGGATAGAGAAATAAATATCTGGCGCATAAACAAACTGTCGGATTCGATCAACGGCGATGAATTAGAAGCCGCGGCTGTCAATCGCAAATTGGTAGCGAAGATATTAATCAAGGGAGAGTCTAACATCACATCGGCGAGTTTGAATGCTGGAGGAAACCTGCTCGCTGTTTCAACTGTGTCAGATATAAAGCTATTCCGTCTCAAGGCACGGAAACCAGAAGAGGGTGAGGGTCTCAAGGTATCAACCGTCACTGTACCACACGTTTTTTCTTCTGGAGCGCGTTTGATTCAGTTCTCCCCTGATGGAAACTGGTTATCGGTAATTCGTGACGATAGCTCGATTGCCGTGGCACGAATCATTCAAGACAATGCCTCACCATCATCCTTCAGTATAATACCTCAGCTCTCAAAACTTTCTCGTCTTGATCGCAACATCTCAAAAGCCAAGCTTCTAGGTGGTCTCGGCGCATACGAAAGAACCGTCACTCAAGTAGCATTCTCATCTGATAGCAGAATTTTAGTAGTCAGCGATTTGGCAGGTTTTGTTGATACTTGGGTTTTAGAAGGAATCGAAGATCTCACACAAGAATTGGAGGAAACGCAGGAAGATGACGCATCTGATGATGAATCTGACGATGGCTCCGACGTCGAAGAAGAGAAGAAGCCAAAATTAGTTTTCGGTCAACATTGGACACGTAATCCTTCTGCCACTCGTTTACCAAAACTTCCCGCCGCGCCAGTTGTACTATCATTCCGCCCTTCAACTCGCCCGGCACTAATCAACGGAGCCACACCTCCTGCTACACGCAACAATCCTCGTCCTGTATCTCACGAACTACCTGTCGCCGAGGACCGTTTAGTCATTGTCACATCCACTAATGAAATTTATGAGTTCGAAGTTCTCACCGGTTCACTCACACCTTGGTCTCGTAGAAACCCCACCTCTACATTTCCACTTGCTTTCCGCCAAGTCATGGATTTGGCAAGAGGTTGCATATGGGATATTTCTAATGGTCGAGAACGTATGTGGCTACATGGTGTTGGCTGGTTATGGATGTTCGATCTATCACAAGATTTCCATTTTGAAGATGAAGAAGCAGAGGAGGATGGAGATTCTGAGATTTCAGGAAACAAGCGCAGACGCTTTCAATTAGGAAGATCTGGAGCAGGAGGTATGGTCGACCCAGAAGAGAACGAGACAGGCATGTCCCGCAAAATTCGCAAACTCATTCACGAGGAGGAGACGCACGAAACGGAAGTTGATGTAGAAGATAACAAATATCAAATGGATGTTGATTCGGACGATGATGATATTGGCAATGAATTGAAGTCACTGCTTAGGGAACGGTCGCAAAAAAGCGAGGATGAGAAATTTGGGGGACCAGCACAAACTTACAAAACATTCAAGTACAGGCCTATACTTGGTATGGTAGAGATTGGGGAGGGAGTAGAAGGTGGTCCTGAGGTGGCAATCGTAGAAAGACCAATCTGGGAAACTGACTTGCCAATGAGACTAGAAGGTGACCAGGAGTGGGAAAAGAAGTCGTTGTATTGAAGGAGGGAGGTACTAGATAGGTAATATGATTTTTGACGAGGGCTAAAGAAGCGTAGACTTGATGCATATGGATGGTTTGGCGTTCTGGAGCTAGGATGCAATGGATTGTTTAAAAGCAAAAAGTGTCTAGCTGAATGTGGACACAGGGATTTTTGAGAGATGTACATGCGCGTGTATACTCAAGAGATAGCAGAGTATATTGCCGATACCATTTTACAATACATGTCTCTTGGCTTTCTCTCTCTTTTGTGAATTTTCTCCTTAATTAATGTGGAATCGCTGAGTACCTCAGGTGCTGCAATTTACGATCTGGTTATTCATTATCTGTGAATCGCCCTTGAAGCATTTTGATATCCCCTTTTCGCTTAAATCACTGCATAGTATTTTTGAATTGATAAATCACAAAATAGCTTGTCACGCAAATGCTCGCTCTGTGCCCTTTGAAAAGCCAATCATCAAAACAATTTTCATTACTCGTACCACGGTATAAAATAAGTATGTCCGATATACTACGGCGATCGCTCAGTACTTTCGGTATACCTCCAGTGGTGGACCTGTTTGCACTAAAGTAATGAGGTACGAGTAGTGAGCAGCTTTCTATGATTCGGAAATCCTAACATACATATTTTAAAACATCTTTCATAATTCGATTCTTATTGATCTAGAAAGTATGGAGGGTTTGTGTGGGAACTTTTTGAAGGGATGTTACGACGGCGTAACATAACCCGCATCAGGTAACCAATTAGTTAGCAGGATCATGTGACAAGTGTCACCTGATCCGAAAGCCGACCGACTTCGTGAGAATCGATCGGCCCTGAGAATCGATCGGCCTCTCAAGAGTCGATCGACTTTCAGAACACGAAGGTCTATATAATCAAGATGGATTTCCTTTGTATAGAGCTTCGTGCTCAAGATCAATCATTTTAATATACTCTACTATTAGTTACGAATTGCATCATTGTCATGTTACGAGGTTTGCCGTCTAGATCACGTGGAAGTGCTCTAGGCTCTCGAGATGGTTTATAACTAGGTGTCAAGCAGGGACTTAAGTAATGACAATAATGCAATTTGTAACTAATAATAAAGTTTACTAAATGATTGATTTTGAGCACAAAGCTCTATACAAAGGAAATCTATCTAGATTATATAGATTTTTGTATTGATAATTATTTAATAAGATTAATATAACTCAGTATTAAGTTTATTAACCCTTACTAAACTAATTATATAATATTGATTATATATAAGAGTTTCCTATTACCCAGTGTAACACAAACCACGATTCGTAATATGAACTTTCTCAAAAAGCTAGGGGTCCAAGGAGCGCAAGCCCTTGGTGTAACGGAAACCCCTGCTTTCCTCCCACCCCTATTATATAAGAAACCTAAAGTACATTAACCATGTTCACATATGATACGATTACTCGGGGATTAGTATACGATTTAGGTGATCTGAGGATCAGATCCGAACAAGTACTATGTATCAATGGTTATCGGTAAAGTAAGATCATTGGAGGGATAAATATGATTTCTTTTTGTCTAGCCATTGTGGCTAGGCTATTCATTTGTTTACATATAGAGTAGCTATCCCCATCTACAGGTGCTCCTCACCTGTAGATTCTAAGTTAAATACAATTGCTGGTCTATAAACACCCTTTTGGTCACAATAATCAAGATTGAAAAGGATGAAAAATCGTTGATTTTGATATAATTTCCTTTAGTGTATATTGAGTAGATTTCAAAACTCTTAGAAAGTTAAAATAAAAAGTTTTAATTTAATTTAACAAACCTCAAAAGATATAAAAACATTAGATTAATATTATATATTATATTATAAGAAACAGATCCAAATATTAATTTATATAATAAATTATATAGATTTGATATCTTTTTGTTATTTGAATTCAAGAGGATAAATAAATGAATAATATAATAAATGTGACGGAAATCCCTGCTTTCCTCCCACCTTTATTATATAAGAAACCTCAGGTACATTAACCATGTCCACACATGATACGATTACTCGAGATTAGTATGCGATTTAGGTGACCTGAGGATCAGATCCGGACAAGTACTAGGTATCAATGGTTATCGGTAAAGTAAGATCATTGGAGGAATAAATACGACTTCTTTTTGCCTAGCCATTGCGGCTAGGCCATTCATTTGTGTATATATAGAGTAGCTATCCCCATCTACAGGTGCTCTTCACCTGTAGATTCTAAGTTAAATACAATTGCTGGTCTATAAACACCCTTTTGGTCACAATAAAGAAAAGAAAATTAGATTTAAAAATATAAATATAATCACAAGATACAAGGATTCAAAAAATCATTGTTATATAATTTAAATATTATAATTGTAATCAATCTATCTAAAATAATACACAAAAACTCTAAATGATAATATAAAAAAATTATATAATATTTACCCTATAGTACCCTAATATCCGTCGATATTACCAGGTAACTACTCTATAAAACCTTTACGGGGTAGAACAACCATTCTATAGAGATCGAATACCCCGGGTAGGATACGGGTGCCCATGCCCGCTATCGGATACTTTAATTATTAACGGAATCTAAAATATCTTTTCCACTATGCTAATCTATGCAGAACGTCCTATTTCACCTCTACATTCTACATAAGAGTATGCCAAACTAAGGATCCAGCCCACGCCCTATTTCTCTGCTTCCACAAACCCCCATAATTTTTTAAAATCTATTCCCACGACCTCAATTCCATCCAAATCAGTAACAAGCCTCGCAATACGGCAAATTTTCTTTCCATCCCTAACCGCCGAAGAGAACGGCGTAGAAACATCCAGAACCTTAACATCTTGCGGATGCCAAGTCTCCGAATTCTCATGATTGCACCAATCCTGCGTTGAAACAGACTCAATCAGGATATTCGTGAACATGACGGCTCCAGAACCCCAACCAGGATCTGGACTACCGCCAATTCCCACATGCTCGATCATGAGCAAGATCTGTATATTAACATTAACGTCAACCTTCGACTTTAGAGGTCGCAATAGAAAATGGTGTTTACCTCCCCCATATCTGGAACTTTAGGATCTGATGAAATGTTAGTAACACTGAACGATACCTGGAAAATGACAAACGTTCCAAATTTGGTACCATCGAAAGTGTAGTTTCCACTATAAGGAACTTCTCCTTTTGATGCGCCGATCTTAACGGGTATCACTGACCACGTATCAAGCCATTTATTGGAGCTTTCGTCAAGAGCCCAGATACTTGTTATTTCATCGCCCGGATATACTGTTCATTCGACTATTAGTCTCCATTATTCGACCCCTATTCCAACATCCAACAAGCAAACCTCACAGCGACACACATATCCGCCCACCATCCCACCTTATGAAACTCAACCCTTCAAAATCACAAAGAAAACTCACCCTCCGGCTGCACCTCCTCAAAATAAACCTCAATCCAACTCGGTTTCGTTGCCCCATCATAAAAACTAGGCACATGACTCCAATGACCCAATTCCTCCCCTGCATTCCCAACTACATTCTGCAAAACACAACTTTGATCTGTGGGTTGCATGCCCGCCCATGTGGCTTGGACTTTCCAGTCTGGACTATGGCCTTGAAGTGCGGTTGGGGGTGATGGAACGTGCAGGGTTGCTTCGAACTTTGAGGTGGGAGGTTAGTTATAGGGATGCTTGGGGGCGATGAGAAGAGGAGGGGAGATGGGAAGGGAAGGGAGGATACGTACGCGTGTTATTTTCCCTCCATAAGTGAAGATGAATACTGCCCCTGCAGTTGCGTGCTCGATAAGAGTAAGAGCCAATACAAGCCAAATAAGCGGAGTGATGGAGCAATACATGATGATGAAGACAAAAGTAGTAATGAGTAATTCAAAGATGTAGATAACACACAGTGCGAAAACCCAATAGAACCTTCCTTGCGTAAGTCCGCACGATTTCCGTGTCTTAAGTAACTGATGTGTGATATATCTTACCACTTGCAGCTTGTGCGAAGATCAACTTTACAATCCAAACTTATGAATCCAATATACCTATTGCATATCAATCTGCACACACATAAGCGTTTGTATGTTTGTAACAATGCATGTTGTACAAACAAAGCTCTCAGCACATCCCCAGCCCGCATGAATGTATTGCGCCATCAGCAAGCAATTTATCCACTCCCTAATTTGATTGATTCACTCAACGCTAAATGGTTTCTTTCCCAGTCATGTTCACCGAATAAGATTGCGAATGAGCTCTCAATAAACCAAGCGTCTATCCATACCCCTCTCACTTCTTGCGAGGCAATCAAGCGGGTGTATCAGAAGGTGCGTTGCTAATTGCTAATAAGATGTAGAATAGCTGAATCTTACTGCACTGCACGTTGTGCTGGTCTGAGATTAAAGCATATCCCCACCCTAGGTAATCTCATAAGTGAATACCCTAGCCAACGGACATCTACATCCATTCCCGCAAAGAATGTGAGACTTTGCATCAAGACAGCGTGCGACATGCCCAAGTTAAATAATTGAATGCATCTCAATGCACGGTGCTGTCGTGATCGTGGTTCATGAGTATCCTGGAGTTAGATCTTAGGGAGTAAAGCAGAATGCATTCAAATAAAATGTTAAAACGTCACCCACACCCCTTACTACCATATTCAAAACCGTCGGCGATAAATGAGGAACTTTCTTCATACGCTCAACCGCAGCGCCGAAATCTGACTCAAGAAGCTCAAAGAATATATTCCCACTCGGTATCCCAAACCCTACCCGGTCGCCATGGTATCCGTAACAGTGAAACCTTTGAAGAAGCACGTAGCGCCTCTGGTCGTTGGGAGTAAATCGACGGGTTGCACGTTATTAAGTGTAACGTTGAGGAGAATAAGCTTATCGACACTGCACCAGTCTCTACTCGTACCTTCGATTTGAATCGTAATATTTTGACAATCTATAGGACCCATCTCCCACTTTGCCGCGAGGCTGAGTTCAGTTGCAAGAATAGCCTGGGGCGTGTTAGTTGGTTCGGAAACAAAGTTGAGTTGGAGCATAGAAGAGTGGTAAAGGAGATGCAGACGGTACGTACTTATGTGAAGTCCCCCATGTCGGCTAAAGTTTTTGGTTAACCAAAGTACGCCCGAATTTATCGACGAATAAAAAGGCCAACTTACCATGTGCCGAAAGATCTACCGTAGCATTCCCCCCGCCATCTACCTCACCCTTTGCCAATCCCTCCACACCTCTCCTCACAATCCAATTCACATACCATTTATGAGCGTCTACCGCGCCTGTCCACATTTCGTTTTCATCCGTCGAGATAAAACCATTCGAGATCAAATCCCCCGGTTACACATTAATATTCTTCCCATGAACTCTTTCACCTCCAGTAGATGCAATCCCATCTTGGAAATACTCAAAGAATGACCACTGCCCTAATACCTTCCCCTCATTGGCGAATACTATTTGCAGGATAGCATTGCTGCTCGCAGGTTTGAGCGCGGGCCAGAAGGATTGAATACCAGTGGCTTGAACGACAGTTGGTGCTTTGGGTACGATTACTGTTGCTCGAAACTGGGGCTCCATGTTAATTTGCAAAGTTTGATACTTTTGAATGGAAATCTAGGTGATGCTTACATGGACAATTTTAGAATACGGCTCAATAAATACGGCCCCAGCTGCTACGAAGCGGGCCATTCCAAGCAGCCCAAGAATACCGGCGAAGACGCTAAGCTTATGAGAACGCATTTGCAAGGCTTGGCTACCTTGAGAACGAGCGGCCATTGAATGGTATATTGAAAAGAAAAGCAGCGGGCAGCAGTTCTGAAAGCAACGTAAAATAACTCAAGAATACCATTTTAGATTGTGGTGTAGGAGAGAAAGAGGTAAACTAAAAGATATCGAAGAAGTATCCTGAAATTTGCTATGGAAAGATGGGCAAAAACAACACCCCATCCACATTATTCACTGGGATTCGCGCAGCCAAAAAACAGGCTTGCTATTCGAACCACTGACACCAAGCCAAGATAGGAGGGATAATGTATAATCGATCTTAAAAGTACGGATGGTACCTACATAAACGCCAAGCGAAAACCTACTACAATTACAGAACGAAGCAAGAGATCAAATTGCTCCAGGAATTGTTCTTCGCGCACCTCCATTCACTAATAGGTTAAAGAGACATTGGAACTGGTCAGGTAAGCAAAACCATTCCCTTGAGTGAGTGATAAACATCTTGTCCATTGATCTCGAGGCCCATAAGATTCAAACATGCCAAAAGTAAAAAAATCTATGGAATGACTTTGTGCATTGGATGTATCAAACAAAATAAATGTTCTAAGCGGAAACTTCAAGTATTCCAATTTGTGAAATGAATTTAATTGCCAAACGGATTTGTCGGATGACAGTCCGGAATACCGCGCAAATGATAGCTATTATCAACCCTGCTCAAATCGATGAGATATCTCTCTCTATACATGGCGAGGAAAACCTAGCAGCTTAAAAAATGCCTCAGATCAAACATCATTTTTCTCACCTACCAAAGCCTCAAAATCAACTTTACCCTGCACATCGAATCTCCATTTGACATTTTCCCAACCTTCTCTCCTCTTAATGCTGACTTCAACATCATTCTTTGGTTTCCTAACTGCTGTACCTAACTTTTGAAAGGCTCTCTCTGGCACGCTTGCGCATTCAATCTCAAATCCCATAACAATAGCTGAGACAAGCGAAAGAATTTCAGTTGTGGCAAAATGTCTTCCTGGACATAAATGTTTGCCGCCCTCAAAAGGAAAATATCCCTGTGCTTGCTGTTTCTTCTGCTCCTTGCCTAGCTTTGCCATAGTACTTGGTAGGAACCGATATGGGTCGAATGAATCAACATTTGGTCCCCAGATTGATGGCGAGTTGTGGGTGATGCCAGAAGGAAGTTGAATGACGTTCCCAGCCTTGAGCAAAAATGAAGATTGAGAGGTTGACAATGTGAGAAGGACATCTTGGGTAACAGATCGAACAGAAGTTGCTGCATCAACGAAACGAAGTGTCTCTCGAAAGCAGGACAACAATATAGGACAGCTGGATTGAAATAGGGTAATATCGATGACACATTCTTCTATTCCATTATCCTCTCTTTGTCTTGATATAATATTGGATATTTCGCTTCGAATGGAAGAAACCAAAGACGGATCTGAAAATATGTTCACAAGTACCCAGAAAGATGTTGGCGCTGAATTGGTTGTCGCAAGGAAAAGAGTAGATATTTCGATATTAGCGATTTCCTCAGCTGTAAGACCCCACTTTTGGGAGCAGTCTAGTCGAGAATTGATGAGGGTACTGGCAGTGGTATGATGAGCAGAAGCATAATATGACGTAAAGGCAGTTTGATGGCTGCGCGTCCATGATAGGCTTTAAGGCAAATAAACTTAGGAAGAAACTCAAGCATAAGCATCGTCATACTCTCCTCGAAATCCCTGGTAAGATCAGCACTAATCTTCAAGTTTGGGGCAGGTGTCCAATAGCCCGGAATAGTAGATTTGAGAATGGTACTCGACATGTATTCATGATTCCCAGTGGACTGAGAGTACAAATGAGTGGAATATATGGAATGAATCAACACACGAGAACGCAGTATGTCAGACCAATTAATTGTAGGATTTCAGTCCGGACTATGGGAAACCATGTGTGGAGATATAATTGCTAACCATAGAGAATCTATGAGCCTATGATCGGCACTCATGGGGTCTTGAGGCCCATAGAGAGATGCAGAAGTAGCCAAAGTAAGGGTACCTCTCATCCACTTATAGAGGCTTAATTTCCCAGGGTTTTGACCAAGCCTGTTTAAAAATTCGGCAACGGCACCTAAAACTCCTTTGTTCAATACTAGTAGGGTCTCACCAGGCCCTAGATATTCTATCATCAATCCATGATTTTCGTTCAGGTACGACCTTCCATTATTCCTATTTAAAGGCAGCCCTTTGGGGTCATAATCCGGCGAAGTTTCCCCGCGAATAATTTTCATCCCGTTTTCACCAATATTGAATGCACGTTTCAAAGAATCAACGACGAATGTGGTAAAATCGAAGGCTTTCGTATTTCGATATGCAGCTTGAATTAGAGAAGGTTCGCAAACAACATAAACACGTGCCGGAAATATCTTAAGCATAAATACTGCGTAAAGAGGATGTTTGAAACTGTAGCGGAGATTGTAAGTGAATGCTCGTAGGGTGTGTGGATCACTTCATGTCAAAATCAAGGAGTACAGCAGCAGACTTGATGGCAGCACTTCAATGCTCATACCTTAGAGTCTGAAAATACCCAACTTGCCCTTCAGCATACCAATTAAATGTCCAAATAGTGGAATTCTTGACTTGACTTCAGGAGGTTCAGACCCAGTCGTGCATTCCTCATCCTTACGACCATGCCTATCAAAAAGTATCATCAACCCAACGCCTAGAACCAAAGTGATTGCAATTGGTAACTTGCTGATACCATCACTCTGCAAGCTCGAGAAAGGAGGGAACATTGTCATTGTGGAAGCATCATTGGGTGCCATAGTAAAGACTCAAAAGCAATGACTCGAGACTTGAAATCCTGAACGCATTGTAGCAAGAAAGGTTCATATATGATGCACCGCAATTGACGAGAGGAAACCAAGAAAATGTGGTTAGTACTTGCCCGTAGCTACCATATTGAGGACGACCAAAGCGGGAGACATCCTCTCTGTAGATCACGGAAATGCTCGAAGCCGGGAAAGCTAGCATCAAGTCTCTAAATTATCCTAGATTCTAGGATTGGATGAGCTCGACGATCCCTTAATAATTGAGCAGCTTTTACATGATGCCCCCCTCCTCCGCAGGCAGTGAAAGGATTCAATCGTTGATAGAATCCTTGGAAGTCTCAGTACAGTTCATGATGTGGATAACATTTCATTTCCAATGGCAGGTTGTACGTTATAGGTTGGTTGTGTTGTAGGTTGAATGAAGATGAATGAATGGGCGGCAGAGCTTTGATTGAAGTCAGCGCAGAGCTCCACCGAACCAAAACTTCAACCAATAAGATGAAGAGTAATAGCTGTGGCTGAACATCATGAATCTAGGTTTAAGCCACAATGGCACATTAAAGATACTGACTTGGAAACACTGTTTCGCCCCCGATCGTTTCACTCTGTATTCACATGCAATACATCACACATTAATTACACCACGAACCTTGAAAAAATCTTTCACATCAAATTTTACACTTCTATACCTTCTAAGTTTGTGGATATAAGGGATGCTTATATACCTAGACTTTACCTCTTCCACAAACCCCAATGATGAAATGAATTGGGTGCCTCGCCGGAAGAAAAATCCATTGAATAATACCATGCCGCATCTAGTACCAAATCAAATCACAGCACAGTACACATCAATAGCTCCTTTTGCATCATCTTATCACTCAGGTGTTCAATTATGAAAGAATCACATCTATTCTCAATCTTCTTTTCGTCTATTAATCATAAACTATTAATCATAAACTACCATTACTTTGTTCCAAAAAATCCATTTATCATCACAAGGCCTTGTGGATAACACCACTATCACTATAAATACAAGAGTCATGTATTGATTAATTCCTATTATAAACATTTATGAAATAAGATATCCACGCGCCATTTGATTAGAGCGCAGTCGAATCATTCAACTGCAATCATAGAAGCCATATTTGACCCATGATAACCATGCCAGCGACAGGCGCAATTGTCGAAAATAGGTAGAAAACATTTGAAAGAGCTGGAGTGATGAGTGTAAAGATGCTTTTGTCGATACCACTTGACGCGGCAGATGCTTGACTGGCAATCGGTGGACTGATGCTGGGAGATGATACAGGAGAGGTGTTTTCAGCCGGCTTAGATTTGCTGGTGCTTGAAGGTTTGTTTGCATTGTTGCTTGGTTGAGCGTTACCAGTCGGCCTGGCTTTATATTAGTCTTTGCATTAGCATACTAGACATGGATAACTTACTGTGTAGAGTTGCCTGAGAATAATGAAGCGGCACTAGCCACAGCCCCTGACGCAGATGCAGCACTACCAGCGCCTGAACCGCCAGCGCCTGAACCGCCAGCGCCTGAACCGCCAGAATCTGGACCACCAGAGCTTGAACCACCAGAGTTTGAACCACCAGAGTTTGAACCACCAGAGTTTGAACCACCAGAGTTTGAACCACCAGAGTTTGAACCACCAGAGTTTGAACCACCAGCACCTGTACCACCAGCACCTGAACTACCAGTGCCTGAACCAGCTGGGGCTCCTCCAGAACCAGTTTCTGTACCATTAGAGAAAGGAGGGTTTGGTCTAGAAGGCGACGTTGCATTTGAGTTCTCTGGGGCAGGTGCGGGGTTCTTGGGTCCTGAAGATGTCGAGTTGGATGCAGATGAGGGACTTTCGGGTCCTGATGATGTTGAGTTCGGACTTTCCGGAGCCGATGCAGGACCCTGGGGACCTGTTCCCGTCGAATTTGAAGGCGTTGGCACCAAGTCTGGGCATGCCCTTAGAAAAAGTTAGAATGAGAACATATAATTATATGAGTACAGTTACATACGAGACAGTAACGGTAACAGTTTCGGCTCTAGCCAAGAAAGCTCTGGCCATTAGCTCATGTGTTGGAAGAGGAGGCGCTATTGTTATTGGTACGGGAGTTGCTTGCGAAAAGATGCATGCTGAACAATCACAAGACTCGCCGTGAGAATCGTGGTGAACGTTATATGCAACTGCTTTCCTCAACAATTCTAAAGCAGCCAGAGAATGAAGATCACTAGGTGTGGCGGCTGACGACATTGCTGTGCTTGGGATACTTGGATTGGACTTCGCCATGGCAATGGCAAGTAGCCCTGTGGCATCACGAGCAGTGTTACTAACACTAGTAGGATGTGCCACTAAGCTGTTGATATTCGCCAAGATAACGGAAACCATATCACATCTTCCTTGAAGGGCAAATGAGACTGTATTGGTTCCTTGGGCAAGAATGGCAGAAACCGTGGTAGATTCCTTCTCTGTAGCTTCATTTTCGGACTGTATGTCGTCAATAATGATAGGCGTTGGAGTGTTCAGTGGGTCAGGCGAGCAATAGTTCAATGCCGATATCTCACTTCTTCCAGTGGACGGTGTAAAGATTGTCGTTCTATGGAGTATTGTTAGCTTGAGCAAAGATATGAATGGGAGATCCTTACTGCCAATTCAGACCGAAAGTAAAATCTCTTTTGCCCAAGCTAACACCATCCCTACGGACAAATGCTTTCAACCCCTCTCCAATGAATACAAGTGTGAGAACTGAAAATGCAATTAGTGTAGCAACGACCATCGCCGGTCGCCCGAATCGACGTGAAGGCATTATTTCAACCAGGAAAGAGATTTTGAAAAGAACGAAAATGCTTGAAGCAAGTAAAACGAAGTTAATGGCTGTATCAAAGACCAAAATTGCATCAATGTATGTGCAGAAGTGAAGGGTACAGAGACGGAGACCAAAATTTACCAAAATTGCATCGAGCGAAAGAGTTGTATTGAAGAAGTTGGAAGAGAAAAGGAAGAAGAGAAGATGAATGAGATGGGTTTTCTTATTGTTGGGTTTGAAAGGACGGTTCCTTCCTCAGCTGCCAACTAATGCTGCCTCAATTTCCAGATTCATAGGAACTCCTTCCCAGTTGGTATATACCCAAAGGAATCCTCCATACCTGCTATTCCCACCTTCCTAGTCAAAATTCTTTATTCTGTTTGCGCCTTACTTCCATACTTCATATTATAAAACAATCACAGTAGCATTTCAATCAAAATGAAGGCAATCAGTTCATTGAGACATAGCTATAGACCCTAGCTTTTAACCCCATATAAACCCATATGCATAAACTAAAGAATTCATTTTCACAAGCCTACTAACACACCTAGTAACGCTTGCCAGCACGGAGAGAATCACCGAATTCCTCCAAAGGACTTCTGATGAGCTTGGTCTCCTTCCATAAGTTAGGGGTCAAGTATCCGTATGTGTTGGCGGCAGCGACGAAAGTAGCCTTCAAGGTGTTCTCGAGGGTCTTGGTCGAACCGGAAGAGGAGGTATATGCATCTTCGACACCTGCGAGTTGGAGGAGACGCTTGACAGCTGGGGATGCTACGAGACCGGTACCACGGGGAGCTGGGATAAGCTGGAAAAGAGGAAGAAACTTAGCAAATTATCGAATGAGTGAATTTTAAGAATTTACTTACTCTGACAGAGACGGAACCACACTTTCCACTCTCCTTGGTTGGGAGAGAGTGAGGAGTACCCAAGTTGGTACCCCAGTAACCTCTTCTAATTGGAACAACGGACAACTTTGCGATGATGATAGCGGCACGGATGGCAGTTGCGACTTCCTTGGAGGTCTTGATACCGAGACCGACGTGTCCCTCAGAGTCACCGATGACAACGATGGCCTTGAATCTGGTACGTTGACCGGCACGAGTTTGTTTTTGGACAGGCTTGATCTGCAGGCAAAATTCGTATCAGTATCCATATTTGCCGAATTTTCATAATCGCATAGGAGCAATGTGTAAATTTCGCATACCTTCATGACCTCATCCTTCAACTTTGGCAAAAAGAAGTCAACAATTTGGTACTCCTTGATGGGCAAAGAGTGAAGGTAGATCTCCTCCATGGAATTGATCTTTCCATCCTTCACGAGACGGCCAAGTTTGGTAACTGGTTGCCATTCCTTTGCCTCGTCCTTGTTTCCTCCACGTCCGCGACCACGTCCACGTCCGCGTCCGCGACCACGATCTCCTCCACGGCCTCTGTCGCCGAAACCTCCTCGAGAGCCGCCTCTTGGTGCGTCAGCCATATTGATATCGAATTGATCGTTAGGTGGTGGTTGGCTAAGTCGGTGGGCGTTGAACGATTAGGAGATCAAGAAAGTTCGAAATAATTAGAATTTCGAAGTGTGGGATTGTTCGCTTAAGCAATAATTTTAGTGACCCAAAAGTAGATTAGCGCACGGATTGAGAAAAGTTGATGATGTTGATTCATGCCTGATATCTGGATTAAAGTATTTGTCAGAATTAGGCCAAAATTGAGAGTCGACAGAGATAAGATCACGTGGATTGATCACTTTTCTTCCATGTCATCGATCTACTTGTCTAGTAGGTGCAACAAGTGGTGTGAGTGCGTACCTGCATATGGTGAACATACCTATCTATTTTATATCGTATCTTTTCGTATATGTCGATATAAATTGTTTTCAACCCATCATATATCACATACACACATTATACTCTCATCAACTCATCTAGCTTTTGAAAAGGTTGCCCTGAAGGAGGATTAAGCCAACAAGTCAGGTTCAAACCGGATGTATCTGCTTCGAAATGTGCCATTTTTCGAATCATTTGTGCATAATTCTCAGAAGACATCTTCAAGAAAATTGTCAAGAACAACACTTAGCCTTTCTTGGCCTTTGAAATGAATGATATTGCTGGAAATAAGACTACATGATAGTATACAGAGGCAAATTCGAGTATTTGCTTTCTCCTACCCAATAATAAAGCAGACAATAACTCCATAGCACCATACTGATTTCCGATTCCATAGCTTGTGTTAGATATCATTACCCAAGAAGAGATCCAAAATCACCTCACTCCTTTTTCTCCCGGCGGAGTGTGTGTGACGCAATGTTGTCGGAAGAGGCACCTTTTTTTTGTTCCCACATGCCATAATTTATCAAGCAAAGGTTGGCACTTCCCACCGTACTCAAAGGATGTCTAGTAACATCCGTAACTTCTGTGTCCCCGTACCCTTTCACTACGCCATTGCCAAAATTATGCTGAGGTCCTCGCTATGCCATGAAAATTAACTCCCGAGATCAGACCATCACTTACCAAGAAAATGTTGTTTCTCTGTACCGTGGATTCCCATCCTCGCCATGTTTCGACGTCAATTGCACCGCCAGCCATCTTTCTTCGGAATTCAAATGTAGGTATGAAATTACCCACCTGGATGATTCCGGGATTGGTTGATCATCTTCCTGAATACCTTCCCCCTCTATACTCGAAAGCCATGCGCAGATCCTTGCTACGCTAATCGTGTCAAAGCAGAGTCCTTCTCGTCTCGCTTTAGACCAAAGAAGTGCTATGGCCTGGCGTCGGATTCGTCGATCACGACATTTTACTGCAGTGATCACGAGAGGGAGGATTGTTCCCATATCTAGAGTAAAACGAGATGTATTACTTGCATCATCCGGACTGGAGAGTAAGATCTGAGCCTTACATATAATCTCCGCAAAGAGATGGTTATATTCGTCATATAACATCTCCGTATGGGGAACACTCGATGCGACAAGTATTGTGGCGATGTTGTAGTAGATGCTTAACATATGAGTTGCATCAGCAGAAATACTTCCAGTGTGTCCCTCTACAGTATGGACGGATTGAAAGGCTTTTCGCCATCGAAGTAGTTGTGTGGTGTAGTGAGTATGAAGCCTGTTCCAATATGGGGCAGATAATTCTTCTGGTTCAGTTTGCGATTTCATGACCGATTTTCGATAGAACTGACCAATGGCAGCCATTAGGAAATCCCAAACTTCTCGGGCTTCTTGGACACTTTCAAACTCGTCTGGAATTTCCATATCATCTTGAAGAAGGTTTGGGACAGGATATGGCGGTGGAACAAAAAGACCTTGGACATCAAGACGAGCAAATAGACGCCCCAAGTCATCGACAAGGCTATCTTGGATTTCGGACAATGAATCATGCGACAATCGAGAGCTTCCTCCTCTTCGGGCAATTCTCCAATCAGCCAACAATCGAGAACCCCCTCTGAGATGAGTCAAAGCACCTTCGTAACTTCCCTGAAGGGATTCAAATGTCATAAACAGTACGCATGCTGTAAGGGATGTTCTCAAATGTCTTCTGCCGTCCGAAAGTATTATCCTCAACGAAGCAATGGCTCTGCTGTACTCCCTCAAAGCGAAACGATGGTGTTCATCTAAATGATGGTGATCGATTTGAGGAAATCCCGAAAGTGATAGTCGAGTCGGAGAAGATGTAATCTCCAAGGATTTTGCTAGAGCACCCAATGCAATAGTCGCATATCGGATAGGCGCATCTTGGTGACACAATTGAGGAACCTTTTCTGTCCAGAAGGTAGGATCGAAGGAACCGCAAATCTCGGCAGCTGTTTTATCACAAAATCTTTGGAAATAACGACGTTCGGCTTGATCACCAAGTATAGCGACTGAAGGAGCAAATGGCATCACAGACATCGGTCGTGGGTGGATAGGTACTGGAGCATTTGCATTCTGTTTGGAGACATCTTCAGCGTGCTCCGGAGCGTATCCACCACATTCCCGACCGAGGTTTTGACACCTGATACATTGTGGTTTGGTTTCGTCGCATTTAACACGTCGCTGTCTGTATTGTATTAGTCACTTACGGATATGATGATTGTCCGAAAAAGATTTCCTGGTGGAGAAATCCCAATGGTGTGGATCCACAACTCTAACTCGACTTACTTGCATGTTGAACAGCCCGTCTTTGACCTCGGACCACTTTTTCTGAGTCCTTGACTTCTCGATGTTTGTTCTGGAGACCCTTGATCAGGGGCAGAAAAATTATTGAGAAATTTATAAACGTTTGGATAAGGAAGCTTCAATGACATTGTTTGTTGTCGTGAAGCCGATCTAATTACCGCATCAATTTGCCGACTACCGGAAGAATACTCGTCGTAGTCTCGTCAGGTTTCGTGTGGGTGGTATTGTAATTTTGCCTTCCACTCTTGGGGTCTATCGGGTTCAAACTCCAAAAAGTTTGTTTCTTGGAAAGTTAAGAATGTGCTGGATATTCTAGCAGTTATTGACAGGAGTCGGTCCGTTATTACTCACGAGATTAACTACACAGAGCAGGTTTCGGCTGGGGCTTGTGACTCGGCCAACAATCGACACGACCTTATCGTTTTGATGGGCAATTTATATTAGCGGGACATGGTGCAGGCTTCATGGCAAAATAAATTAAGCAAAAGGTAAGAGAGTTTTACCGACACCCAGATTCAATCGATTATGCGGCATGTATCAGCAAGCTTCTAGTCATACCCGGCAAGCACTGTATATCTGAGTGGACAATCCTCTCACTTTTTAGTGCAGCTTGCAGCTCTTGACGCTCTTTCATATATTGAAGAAAACGGCGAACTGACTATCAAAACTAAGGCATATTATAGCAAGGATCCGCGCCACTAAATGACCAATGACAGGTGCCACGGACAAGGTTCTGTACGGAGGCGCCAAGACTTATATCCAGAAAGGTGGAAGATGGACAGGATCCCATCAACACGTGAGAATGTGCTTCTCTCGAAGCTTTGGAAGGGTTCTACTCTGTAAGCTTGGCTTGCTCCATGTATTGTTATGCGAATCGGCGAGTAAGGAAGGTGTGTGGGCTAAAAAAATAAATGGTTGATTGGCTGCAACAATGTACGCCTCTCCCATACAGGAATTAGCGCTTATTAAGTTACTTTCTTGCGGAGAACCTAACCGAAGAGCCGGAATATCAAAAATCCCCAAATGGTACGATAGTATTGTTTGTAAAGCGTGATATGCTTGAAAACAGGAATTCTCGCGAATAATGCCTGATCTGGACAGGTGGCTTGAGCCACAACAAGGTTCTTCAATCCTTACATCTGAACCATCTGGGAATTCGAATACCACAATTCCCTTGGGAAGCTGAAGACCTTTTAGTTTACTCCATGGGGACGCCACATTTTCGTGGGGTCTACCCTCTTTCATCTTTGGGACCATGATATGCACGTCGTGTGTATTTCCAAAGAGACACCAGAGTTTTCATTGTTCCTGCGTTCAACCAAGGCCGGCAACCGTGGAAGTCCTCGCCAAAATCAGCCTTACCCGTCATCTACTTCCCCATTGGAATACTCAGCATCACGTGGAATACCGCTGTACTTTACATCTTATTCAAGGAAAGGAATAAGCTTGAGAGTAGAGAATGCGGGGTCAAGTGTTTTCTCCACGACATAAATACGATGTGCGAGACAGCGCGGTAGGGGAGTCTCCATCGAAAGGAGCAATACTCGGTCAATCATGCAGAGACTCAATTTTATGATGCCAGTATGATGCAGAAGATCTACAGGCGTATTTTTATACTTCTCTTCTAAGAGATGTGGCTCATATGTGACACAATCTTACTTTGGATACAAGCAAATCTCATCCTCAATGCTTGACTCGGCTGAGCATGCAACATCACACAATCTTATCTGGCCTAGTGGACGGTGAATCGATTTATCCACAAAGCAAAGTTACGCAATGGGAACTTCTAGAAGTAAATACCCCTCGTTTCATAGCTTTAGAGCAAGACTCTATGAGTATTCTAATGATGCCATGCATAATGCATGACAAAATCCCAAAATTTCACATGGACATGATTAATTTACTGCAATATAGAAGCCACGAAATGTCAAATTCCAAATAGTGAACCAAACGGTCGGGACTGAGATTTTGTTGTTTAACTCCTTGTTTAGTGCTTTAGGTTGCAGTAACACCATTTCCTGAAACAGAGGAATAAACGTCTATCTGCGGTGCCATCTTCTCGACATGCGCATATATTGCAGTGGCCAATGAAATTCTTGCCACCTTTTTGTAGGTCGGCAAATACGAATCTCAACATCCTTTCTGTTTAACGTGCTGTCGCATGTACTTGTACTACTCTGAATGTTACACAATTTCATCGGGCCTTTCATATAACGAATGGAATTCGAAATGGACTTGACCCCAAATACACCATATACGATATTGGCTCACTTCCTTCGCTTTACAATATGCCGATCTTGTTTGTCTATTACTAGGCCTCAACCATAACTCATATGATGTTCATCTTGTGTATATCGAGAAGCGTGATGGAGAAGAAATGGTCAAATTAAATTCTGAATATGCATTACAAGGCTTTGAAATCAGACGGGGCAACAATTTTTCCACCAATTGACATCAGCTCCTCGGCTAAGCGTGAAATTAAACCAACATCAAACCACATACCATACCGACTCTCAAAGATACGACATTTTTAGCAATTGCTACCAAATTTATTGATTCTGAACTCGGTCCTTCTTCGCTCACCATTTTTTCACAAATAGTAAAGTTCTTGAAATGCTCCTCATCTTCTCTTCTCTCTTTTTCCAGCTTTTTGTGTAACCATCCCATCATCATCTTGCAGTCTTCTCTTTCCTCGTCTCCTCAAAAATGTAAACGATGCACATTGCTCGGCCGTCATATTCCTCTTGCTACACTCATTGCAAGGCGGAGCCCCCAAACAATCAAATCTCTTCTTCTTTCGTTCGCATGGGGGACATTTTGGTTTGTTCGGTCGCGTGGGGTTGGTTGATGGGTGCCACACTCGTTCGGGAAGTGGAGTTCGGGGCTTGCAAATGTTTGGTTCACTTAGTTGTGCTGATGGTTTTGGTGCAGAGACATCAAGAGCAATCTCAAGTGCGTTCTCTGCCAGTTGGCGAAGTTGCCAATCTCCAAGGACTCGAGTGGTTTTTCCATCGGAACATTCGTTGTCTGCGTCGGATCCGCTGTGATCTTGGAGTCCTTGATTGGGTATCTCGGATAGCTCGGGTGAAGAGTCGGATTGTTCCGGGATGTCAACGTCAATGGGCTCAGGTGAGGGGCTCAAAAGTTGAGGAACCTCAATCTCAATGATTTCAGGTAAATGTTCCGAGAGTTGAGTAACTTCGATTTGAAGGGGCTTGGTTTCCGGAAATTCTGGCTCGGAAGGTTCTGCCTCGGAAATCTCTAGCTCGGAGATATCTGTCGTAGAAAGCTGCAAGTCAAGATCGGGCGCATTGGGCAGCTCTTTCCCCTGAGCTGCATTTTCTGCAGTATCGTCACCTGGATTGTGCTGAGTAACCTCAATGTCATGAGCTTCATTGGATGGAGAGTTTTCGTCCGAGCACATTTCAACGTCTGAAGAATCTTCTTCTGGAGTTACGACTTCTGGAGTAACACTTCCTGAAGTGTTAGGAGCGCTAATCTCGCAAACCTCAATGATTGGGAACTTTTCGTCGAACCTTTCTTCGATAAACCCTTCATGCTCAGAACTTGGAGGTTGTACGTTGGATGCTTCGTTTTCGTCTTCCATCTTTGTGTCACAGAAGAAGGAAAAAGTAGCGAATCAAGAGGATAAGGGGAAACATGCGCGTATTTAAGTATTACACAGCCTTAAAATTCATGTTTCAATGAAATTGTTATGTGGTAGAACTACATAATCGCACCGAAAGGCAGCCTCAATGCGCCTTTCACCAGTGGATATGCTGCCAGCGGCTTATCCAATATTTTTTATGCGAGCTACGTTTTATCCCTTGATAGCTCTTGCAATTTCATTCTGTTGACGCACAAAGTTATTGCGGGCGGGTAGACGCTTGGCGGCGGTTGATAGTAACAAGCGATCCCTTTTTTGTGATAATGCAAACAGTAATCTTTCAAGGCAAAGAAGTTTTCAGGAATACAGTTTGTATGGACCAAGCAAACCTTCTATGAGTAAACAATATGAACATGGTGCCAAAGGCGCTCAGCAATATCCCATGATTTTATGCCTGAAATAATGATACTTCTATTGCAAAGTCTTTGCAGCTTCAAGCTCGCTACGGTGATAGCTATAAAACATTTCCGTATTGCAAACATCTTATTTCTTTCTAGTATCCCTGCCTCATAAGCTAGCTAGAATGATATGACAACGTGAATTAGATTGGAACAATGAAGCATGTTCAACGCTTTGAGGTATAAGGCTCAGCAATCCCTTTGACCCGTGACTACACTCCTCAATTGTTTGGGTATATAAGCCAGTATACAAATATTACAAAGGGACAACTACAATATTATGGGGTCCTTAAGTATATTATGGGTTACAACGGATTTCAACATCCTTCTAAAAAACTTTCCCACTGTAAATCATGCACCCACGAGTGATGGCTTCGCGGATTCCTGCTCATCGTTTGCTTGCTGTCGCTATCCATCCGTCTATGCTTGTCCTTTGATAACAATCATTTCCATTGTTTTATTTAGTGTTTTTGTTGCTTCTGAAAACCATTCATCATCATAAATTGCCATCATTGTATTTTTTTAAGTTCCCTGGGGATATGCATACATAATTGTGAGAACTAATAGAAACCACATGGGAGGCTGTATTTGCATGCTTTCCTTTGTGTTCAATACCCCTACTGTCAAGGCAAGCGCTTAAACGGATAGATCTCTAGCGACTGGGTATTGGGTTCTGTGCGCTATTTATACCGCAGAAATATTTTATTGGTTTCGCAACCTTGATGCTACGATAGGAGGATGCTGCAATGAGAGTAGACTACTGCATCTCCATTTTCTCATGTAAATTACCAGCTTGAGAATTTATGTTCTTTGGTCCGAAATGGAAATTGTTAGAAAACGAGTATATAAATACACAAAGACCGAAATTAAAATGAAACTTCAAGATAATCTATAAGAATGAGGAGGGAAAAATTGACAATTGGTGGCTTGATGGCTTCATCTTCCTCTAACTTGCTGAACTCTCCGCTCTGCAGATTCAGTCCTCTTACTGAGAGGAAGATCATTTCAATGATGCAATAAATTTAGCAGTGCTTGTATATCTCACTATCGCTATATGTTATCTTTATTTAATCCCTTCCACGGTCTTACTATCATTAATTCCGAATCCTTTGCTTAAATCCTATCTATTAAAATTTCGTATTTCTCGGGGTCAAGTTGTGACCTAACATCTCTCTGAGCGGAGTTGTCTTAAACCATCCTAAAGTTTCGAATGATCTTTTGTCGCTATGATTGGTGTGGGAATATCTGGATGATTTTTCAATTTTTGTAATCCATTATTACTTTTCCTATTTGGGAGATGTACGTCATTTATATATGGTATCGAGCGGAGAGGATGGATTGGTTCAGGTAATGGGATTGAAATCTACGAGTCTCGAACCTAAGAAGGACCTTAATATCCTACACTTAATCATGTTGATTGTATTGAGAAATTTGTTACTGATGGAGTATAAATAACAGCTATTTATCGGTCATCGATTTCCTGGACATACTGTGCCCACAACATACGAACGGTTACAAAAATAAGCGAGAGGACGGAAATGTAAATTCTACTCGCCGGCACTTGCGAAAAATGCAGAGAATAAATTGTATTCGCACAAGTGTGAAGTTTCTTCGGAAACTCCGCTGGGAAGGTGGTAAATGAGAGTGGAACTCGCCGTTAATGATGATTAATAGTCAGTGCCCCAGGACTCAACCACCTACTGTCGTAGTTGAAGAAAGCTGTCTTCCTATTGCTTATAAATGTGTCCTATTTTTTCACCTAGTCTCGTCTCACATCCACTGTCTTTTTCCGGATTCTGATAAATGACAGCGAAATGTGCTACGTTGATTGGCGAATGCCGAAATCAGTCAATGCCCCGGACAATGTATCATCATTGCTGACAAATATACACGAGCACTGGTGTCGTCATCTTTTCTAGAAGGTAATCAGACATGTACCAGAATATCCCGTTTTGATTTAACCGGCAAACCACTTTCATGAATATTATACTGTAAGGGCCGTAGAGCGAATACTAGCATTCTATATTATTTCTGAAGTAATTATCCACACTGTAGTGTTTTTGTCCTCATTCTTAACGGTAATGAAGTCAAAAGGCTTGTCAAAGCCTTATAACTTTTTACCCGGGAGTTGGATCCTAGCGTGGGGCTTTGTTCTTCCCCTTATTGTGGATCTGCTAACCTTGCCAAGGACTTACTGGGCAAGGTAATGTAGCGCTGAGGCTAGTGAATTAACATGTGCTTTTGAAGACGGCGTGCTAATTGCAGACATGAATTTTGAGCTGCAAGTGAATGGATCGCAGGCTATTACATAGCCACATACCAAACTCCAGCCCTTCTCTTTCATATCAATACTTATATAAGTTTACTTCCTCGCGAGATATTATTTGCCATTCTATACACAACTCGGAACAATCGCTGCAAAACAGGGTGAAACGTAGAGCCCATCACCAACACCCGCTTCCTTATTTTTTAATCCTCCAGAAATCTAAGCTCTAGACGGACTTGTGTTTTGGCGCAGATGGAAGAAACTCAAGATAAATGGCAACAAGGATATCTCTAAATTATAATACTTGTCTTTTTACTTTTATCCCTTACTTTCATCCAATCTTACAGCCTCGTCTCTGAGCCATGAGAGCTATTAATCATGTCATCTGCTCGAGTCGCATATTAACAAATCCATCGCAATAATCTCCGACTCCTCGAATAGGCACGGAATCCCTATTCATTGTCAATAGTAAACACTTCGAAGGCGCATTGCTAGTGTTGTAGAGTGTCCCCCGTTACAAGTGCTTCTTCTATACTCAGCAGAAAGCTGATTTGTAAATTTCGCCGGCAAAACACCTCCGTGGAGATGAAAACTGACATCCCTATATTCTTGACGTCTTCCCGGCTGTCGTACAATGTTACCTTTTAGTTCCACCGTTTTGTGATATATAGATATAGATCAACACCAGGGAAGGGTGAGTCTGAGATTCACTAGGCAAGCTTTCTGTACCTGGTAAACATGTTATTTTTCCACTTGGAGTGAATTTCAAACCAAGTCCTTTGAATAGGTATATAAGCCACAATTTCACAACTTTCTAGTGGAATATACAGGGGAAAGAGACAAGGTCATTGGATCGCTTCTGAGTATCAAAGCCAAATCCCCCAATCCGAGGCGGTGAAAGTGCTGCTTCATAGACTTGTTGCTAAGATGACATCCATCCTAATATTTGACGACAGTGTCAACTGACATGAAGTTATAAAATCTTTGATATATGGAATGGAAGTAGCTCTCTCAATGTCTATACTATCTTTGAGAAAATGCTTTGGATGGTGCTACCCCTTATCTTCCGTTCTTATCAGGATTACCGACTCGACATTAGTTATCAATGTGCTAGCTTTGTTTGGTCTCATAGATATTATATCATCTAAGAGGTTTATTGACAGACCAGGATGTGGTTACTACTAGCCGTGCCGATGGAGCCCGTTAAAGGGACAGGCGCGACGGAGATAACTTTAACGTCTTTACGGAGCCCGCCTTGAGCAAGCCTCACCACTGAAACTAGACGACCAAGTGTAACAAATACCAGGGAAAGGGGTGCTTTATACAGCTTATCATAAAGAAATCATGCGGGCATTGACCTCGAAATTCACTATACGTTGAAGTACAATACGAACCAAGCCCCAGATCTGTAGCATATCGACTTTTTATGAATCACTCACCAAATACGAAGAGTATTTTGCAACTTGTGCTTATAAAAGAATAGATATTAATCTTCCGAAAATACCCAATCTAGTTTCAGCAAGTCAATATCTACCTGCCACGGGGCCACTTTGAGAAATTGAAAGCAGAATTGTCGATTAAGCAAGTGGAAACCGCTGTGAGGAAAACCATCATTTTATGGCCACAATTAGAAGTTTAGCGAAGAACTAGGACAATAATAAATATTGTTGCTTTTTATTGGACATGAAGTATCACTGCCGTTTCTCTTTGCATCGTAAATTCCGGCTATGATCTCAACAGCAGTAAGGTTTTTCTCAAGTTCGGGCCGGGGCTTCAACCGATCATATAATGCTTCAAAATATGAGAATATACGCAAATAGTCATCAGTCGACTCTGAATTTATTATTAAGATTGCATCCATAAGATGTTATTGTTGGTGTTGTTTTTGGTGACTGAAGGAGCAACAATATGTGAAGAGTGAGTTTTTATATCTTGCACAAAACGAAAAGCTATGCCAAGGCGACTTGGAGTGCGGAATTTTGATATAGGTTGGGAATGGTATGCTGACGGTCAATGAATGGCTTATAAATACAACAATCTTTGTTCAAATGGAGGGGTGAAAGGACAGTCTTCACTGGCTCGACACCAGAGATTCGCAATATTAGGAGTGAACGGATCGGTGTATTATTCTCTACTGCGAATATATACATATGCTACCAGACCATGCTGTAACCTACTCTACAACACGAGAAAAGAACACCAAAAAGCTGTTTTGGAGGAGTCTTTACACAGTTTTGGGTAAAGACAAGGAAAGACTCCGGAGGCATCGGAAGGAATGACCATAACGGGCCACAGCAGGCCAAACATCGGACCGTCGCATACACATACTTAAAGTTTTCATCACCACGCGTCGCCTTACCTTGTAGCGTTTCAATATCGGCGCCGGATTGAAATCGTTTCACAAACCTTAATTTGACGGGTATGTATTGCCTAATATATTCCCCCCGGAAAGAGGAAATAATCCGAGACAACAAGCAAGTACTCAAAAGACTAATCTCTTCCTGCGGGCCATCTATAGGCCGTTAATTCGCTCATAATCCCTCATTTTGCACGCTCTAGAACGGTGTTTTCATTTTTGTCCGCTTTCGTTGCAACTTTGCCCCGATCATAGCACAGCCCAGTTACTCTTCCTCAAGTGTTCTTCGATGTCAGCATTAGGCGTTCCTGGTTTCACTAGCCGAGGGAGGGCTCTTTATACTCTCAAACGGAAGCTTCGTTCCGCGGGCGTGTGGACAATTATGCAGCCGCCATCTAGTCATCTTTCTTCCGGTGATTCGATCACCCAAATAAATCAAGTGCTTGTATTGGGTCCTTATACGAAGAGAACAGTTTAATATGGGAGGAGTTCTACCGTTATACTGCTTCCAGTGCGCTTGTTGATGCTCGCGCAAAAGCTTTGTATGGGCACAGACTTGTAAGAAGTTTATCTCATTTTCTCAAACATATAATCGGCAATACTCCCCACTGCGTTTAGAAAAAAAAAAAGGAGGGGCTAGGTTCTTTAACAAGGAGCAGATAGAGATTTGAGCGTTTGCCAGGACTTTGAGATGAGAATTTAAAAACGACTGATTTTTTTGTCATTTCATGCTTTGCATTGTTGTCCTCCTCGATTTTGTCTCTATCAGACAACAATGCATTGATCCTCTCGAAACTCAAAAGTCAAATAGATGAGCATGCATCGTGGGAAAGTTTCTTCGAAACAGATGAACAAAAGCACAACTCCTTTCGTCTTCTTCCAAATTTCCCTGCCCGAGCGTATAAGCAGGTCGACTGTGCCTCCCTCGCTATATATAGATAAACTCTGAGGGCCTCTGCAACTTGCAAAGGTTATTCAATTCCCTACATCTATTCGGTGATACAGTTATTCACCGCTATTCCAATCATGTGAGTTATTCAACAGAGCAAAGAAGCTTCTCTTTATGGATGCCAAGATCTTATGTGAACACAAGAAGGATGTTGAAGGGGTGCTTAACCAAAAAGAAGACGGCGCAGCATCAGCGTATGCATTTCATAAACATAACATAAGTGAATCATGTGGCGGACCAGTTTGCAAATCGAGCATAAATGAACCACCAAAGTTCAGTGAAGGCGAATGCATCTGGCAAGAGTTAGAAGTAATGATAAGGGATCTGGGCTAAGGAAAGATACCGAACCATTGCTTGATATGGCCTTAATGATTGTGCGGGATTCCGCAAAAATGTAACAGCAGTTTCCTGACCCAGTTTTGAACATAAGCGCTGGTATTTACTGCCCTTTACCATCATTGTAGGGACGAGCGATAAGCACGAAGTACCGACAAGAATTGCTCGGTGATTAACTGTTCCACGACGCCCGCTAATCACCAATACGTAGAGTAGACACTTAGCTGCACATAGAAGAATGGTACCGGCGGATTGTGGTTGCTTGAAGAGGTCACAACGCCCCGAGCGAGGTGATTAGTGATGACTTGGCTCCTCGAAGAGAGGAAAATAGGATATTCAATCCACCGAAGCCCGCCACAGCACGCTGATCCCGAGGTGGCGAGGCAACTCACAGTTTACAGAGGACGAGAAGAAGAAAGTACGTAATAGAATTGAATCTCCTCCCCAAACACAATACTTGCTATCAGCTCCTTTCGTTCCTCCATCCCAATACACCTGCCTCCATAAGACTCCTTCGACCATATACGGGTTGGTCCCAGCCTAGCTAGGATTATTTGTTCATCCAGCTTAAAAGCTTGAACACAAAGTAATGGTGGGCGAATGCGACACGAAAACCTCAGTTTACGCTGTATATTTCGTGTTGGTGACAACGTTGTGCCTGCGTGGCCATCGAAAAGGTCGTCCATCTCACCGCCAACTGGACGGGACAACGATTAACCGTCCCCAATCGAAACGGCCAACCAACACCTCAAAGAAACTCTCGGGTTCGCATTCCTCTCTCGAGAAAAAACAATTATCAGATGACGCAACAACCAGCGCCAAAAAAGTTTAATAAATTAGCTAACCTATCAGCGATGTAGGAAAGACGGTGTACACTCGTGAACACCCATTGAGGTAACATCGTTTCCTCGCCTACACAAAAACTAACGCCCCTTTCCCAATCAGCAACCTATCTCCCCTTCTTTATTCACCGTCATCCGCCTAAATCCTGGTTCCGATGCGCATAATGCACAGAAAAATTTTGGAAGTTTTGAAAAATGCAGCCTACATGGACCGCACTGTCGTATGACATATATACTCGGTGTTTATGCATGTAAGATGATTTGATCTCCAACACATCTACAATTTAAGGGTTGAAGATCCAGGGTAAGGTTAGATAGATATCGCTGTAAGATTTAAATGTCAAAGCGAAGAGTATCCGTAAGGTCACCCTGCCCTGCCCTGCCTTTTGAAGATACCTCGCGATAACGGTAGCGATAGGGTAGGAATCAGAAGTAAAGATAAACATTAATATTAACTAAGATATTATTATAGCCAACAACTAATGTCGCAAATCATGGGGCACTTTAGCCTCTTTGGAAAATTAATTAAATAGACTTTTTGATGTCTGTGTGTTGATATATGATTGACCATTGGTTTGAGGGGTAACGATAATGATAATGTAGTCTACTCTGTAGGGGAATATGTACATGATGCATCCCACTTTCGCAAGGCTCAAGAGTCAAAAGTGGGAGGAGGACTATTTACCCTATTTACACATCGCTAATAATTCTAACTTGCTGTTGTTCAGCTCACATGCCTCGTGGAGATGCGAATTAGAAATGAAAGAATTAAGCAGAATAATCGATAGGGCAAGAGCTAGAAGTAAAAAAAGGAATACCCGAAGCTGACCCGCAATTAAGGAATGGAGATTGGCGAATCTGAGACATTTGTCGAATGTGGTTGGCGAATTATTCCCAGTGGAATTTAGTTGCAGCTCACCAGGTAGACGGGACGCTTACTCCCACATGCCATGCCGCATGCAACTTAATCACAACGAAGAGAAGAATATCTCTCTTTCTCGTCGCAAATCTTCAACTTAGACGATAAAACTATACTACAGCACAGTACAAAATTCTGTATAACGCATGCTTGCATGCTTTTGTTTGTCCATACGCCACCTAATCATGCGAGACTGCAGATGCCCAGGATTTACCCTTTTTTCGGTTGCTTCTCCTTTGCATGCATGTTGTGTTCCCCATGCTCGCGCCTATGCAATGCAATGCAATGCCAGTGTATTGTACACATATCTGTGCTCAATGATCAGAGAAATTTTTGACAACAAATTCACTCGGGCTTTCGACAGGAATTAAACTGCACATCTACACAAACATCCTACCCAATCTAGTAACTTTCGATAGGTAACCTGATTTCATCCTGGGCATCGACGTTGTCCTAAACGTATTGCTCCCCGCTAACCTGTAATCTCAGGCGTGGCACTACTGACCTCCCTTCGTACCATACTCTGATTTCCTCTGGTGTAATCGTCTTATTTTCCTGCCTACCTCTGCAAACCTCCAATCGTCCCCATTTTCATACCTCGCCTGACTTGCACTTGTACTCGGCCTACTTTCCAAAAAGGGCATCCCATGATCTTGAGGGGGTGCTGTTATCAGAAATTGTACTAGGTCTATCGCCAATTCTTCTCACACATGCAAAATTTCCTCTTGCACGCCCAGCATTCGCCTGACCCCTTTGATTCCCAAGGCGGAGATGATTCTCAATTTGCCTCCCTCTCTTCCCCCCTTTTCTCTTCGGTATTGAGGTCGTCCGTGAAGAGCGAACGAAATAGCTCCATGGTTCTGGGGCATGGTCCCGGGGCATGGTCCCCAAGATGGGGTATGAAACTGCAGCAGACACATGTAAGCCAACAAAGTGAAGACTTACAGTAGGTTCAATGGCAACCCCTAAATTCACTGAGAACGCTTGCATTAAAGCCTCTAGCAGGATTCAAAGCACCTTCTGTCCAAGCAATATTCGCCAATCTCCGCAACAAAGAGCGCAAGCACAGTCCCTGCAGATGCCACGAATGTAGCTTTCGTTTTTTTGGCGGCTAACATGGAAATTGTATAATTCTAATCCAACGGTAAAGAACGTTTTGAGGAAAACCCCTAGTGTGATAGAAGTACCGGAGGACAGTGCTCAACGACCGAGTGCATTGTTTCCCTGGGACGAAGCCTCGAACAACGGCGGCGGCGGTGAGGATTAGGTTGATGAGGATGAAAATAGACCTAGATGTTTTGATGTAAGTGATTGAGATTTCTAGAACTCTATAATGAACGTGTGGGACGTTGTAGGTGGATCAAGGACACTGTTACCAGAAGTGCACACGGGAGGACACTAAGTCGTGATGTTTAGTTGGAAACTTACTTGTTAGGACCCACTACGTCCACCAATACATCCACAATGCAAAGAGCAGCTCTGATCTACAAAGATTAGAGCTTGAATTCCCATCTCCCCCATAGTAAATAATTGTCTCCATTCAAAACCCGAACTCCGGAGAACCCTATGCTCGGGCCATTTGCTGATACTCGCTGGCAATGCAATGAAGGTGGAACTGGCATGCCCAAGTCAAGGTGGGGTGGACACACAGCCATAGTGAAAAGTCCCTCATCAACACCAAAAAAGTATCCAGACATTTGAGGCAAGACTGAAGTCAAAATTTAGAAATATGTGAAGTATGAACCAATTGGTTAATTAGAACCGGACTTGCTAATATCAAGGTACTCCCTTGATATCTGATAACCTTAAGCTTAATTAGCGCTTTGAGTTCCGCCATAAGCGAAAAAAAAAAAAGAAGAGAAATGTTCCGACTAATAATTCACCTGAAAAGCAACGGAAATGATTTTAGACCACCAGTATCTTCAAGATTAGCTACCATCTTGATCATCGTAACTTTGCCCGTATCATGCTTGATATTCAATACCGGAGTGAACTGGAGCAAAGGATAGTGTTCCCTAGGACCGAACAATCGATGAAACATAGAGTAGGAGAAATCAAAAAAGTATTGAAGATCTCATCAAAACCGGCAAAACTAGCAGGAAACCTGATTTCTTATCAGATGGTAGAGCTGGATATTGTGTTACTTTTCCATTTGTTGGTGGTTGGGAATCTTGGAAAAGGATGTTTAGCTTGGGCTAGGAGGGCCTGGAGGAAAGGCCTGGAAAGCCTGAAAGTCGGGCAGGTCGTACATTAATTGTTTGTTGTTCAACGAGAAAAGACGAGAGGACAAGTAACAATAATTCCTTTACTGCTCTCTCCGTTTCCATGGAGACTCTCTAAAGCTTTCTCCGTGCGCGCGCTATATCGATGTGATGCATCAATGGATCGACGCCGTAGGCAGATAATGCAAGAAATCATATTAACTTTGCGATCCATAATAAATCGAGATCTTTTTGATTGGCAATAATGAACTCAATTTTCAAACCTTGGACACGATACTTTGTATCATATCGTCCTTTATATTTATTGAGCGCTAGATGGTAATTAGCATTTTGAAGTGATGCGATAAGGGTCTTAAGGGTCTTAAGGGTCTTAAGGGTCTTAAGGGTCTTCGAAAAATAAGTAAATAGCGTTAGACGTCAACACACCCAGAGGAAAAGAAACGCAGGGCTCAAGATCTTCACCGCAACGTGAATTTCCCTATCCAGTCTTGGAACCCGGAGTATAAATTTAAGAGGTAGGATTGAGTTGAGAGTCGCCTTCAAGCGAGCATATAGTTCTTCAAAATGGGCTTTTGTTTTTTCTTGAAGGATTCAATTCATTGATTGAGAATATTTTCAAGAACTTCAAGAAAAGCCGGATGAGAAGGTCTCGACTATTTCATCAGCTTCAACAGTGACAGCTGAGTCGCTAGGATTGAGCACGAGAAAATTGCACAGCTGTTTGTGGCTATAATTGACATAGCACAAGTGGCAAGGTGCTTGAATTGCCTAGACGTTTATAGTACGAGTATGTTTTCCGGCTAAAATATTGTTAACCTTGACAATAACCCTATTTGAATTTTCAAATTGGAATACAATAATGACCAGTAGGCTGAGCATATACCCCTATAATTTGTCCATCAAAAACGACATGCTGAAACGAATTAACTCTAGAATTTCGGATTCGAACTCGATTCCGAACTCTAACATGCAGTTTAGGAAATCCTTGAAGAATTTCAGGCCTGCAAGGAAGAGTGAGATTTGAGGGCTCAGACCATTAATTTTTTGTATTGCGGAGAATACCCTCTTGATAGAAGGATACAAACCCTGACGACGAGGAGAACAATGTTGCATTGTTTCTCTTGACCCGCCCTGTTGCGTCAACTAACTATTAATTCGATGGAATACACTAATTACAATATCAGCCGCCCTGATAGAGCCACGAAAGTCAAAATTCTTCATGAAACGTCCATCACATCGCGCCTTGCCACATGGCTCACATGACTAGTCGGCATCAAAGTATGCGAGAGGTGTGAAGGGAGGGTACTTTAGCACGTTTCTAGGTCTCAAAATTACTCTATCTCCAACATTTGGACTTGCCGTATTAGGGGAAACCGAATAATTAGGAAATTCATGAAATTGGCCATCTCAATCAGCACTTTGACTGGGAAAAAGCATATATATCAGATACCGGATTCGAAGGAAGAGAAACAAGCTCAACTACCTGTTGATCTTTACACGTTTTCGAATTTCTGCACCGAAAATTAGGGCTATATGAAGTGTTAAAGCCAATCACGCGATGGCAATGATATGTAAGTATTTTGCGCAATAAGAAATATGAGGGTGGTGAAGATCTTTAGATTCGTCAGATGCATTCAACCCTGACTGAAGTTGCATATACGTATGTCCCTTGAAAAAAAATTAATCGCATAAGGCGGTTCGGCCAGCCATTCTAATTGGCAACGCCATACTCCGTGTAGAGAAAGGCCATACATCTCGGAGACAGCCTCGGAAAATAATTCTCTCACCCTGTTGTAAGGGTACAACCGCATTATGTTGTGTAACCACTGCTTAAGAAGCCGACGGCCACCGTTCGGGAAATAACTCGCAAATTGTTGCTGAGTCCGTAGTGTATGGCTTTTATTTGCATCTTAGGCTTCATATATTTTCGGTTTATACTTCACGGATACCAGTCCAATTAGATAAGAGATAAATGGGCGGGCCCTTGAGGAAAATAAACTTTATTTAGAGGAAGTAGGAGCCTTTTTCAGCCCCTCTCAACCAATTATTTTCTCAGTTAGGAAGGAAAGACTTCGGCCGAAAGAGTTACTTTCATAGCACATTAGAAGCAGCCGCAGACAACGGTATTTGCTAGATATAATTCATCTTATGAGATGAAGTACGTTTACAATTGTAAACTTGTCTTTATACGTTTAATCGGCAAGGACTTGTTTTGTTTTAGAGTGTTCACCGCAACAGAACTAGACACACCCCTCATCGAAAGATCTACCAACCCACTTATCCACTTAGCCATCCACCAACGACTATAACTATACACGCCATTGAAAACCGAGACTCCATGATCCTTGACCATGGTTTAATCACTTTCGAAAAACTAATTTAGCTTCGATCCACGAATAATTGACAGGGGGACTAAAGCATTCTAGTTTAGTATCGTTATGACTATCTATTTCAACAGAGCAACTCTAGACTCAATTTAAAGAATAGTACTTTAAAGGCACGCTCGCACTTCTCGGAGTACCCTCTCTTCTTGGAGTACTTCCCTTCTCGGTGTTCCCTCTATATCCATCGTTGAAGCTTAACTTTTGCCGGTAGACATACCTGCTTAAAAAAGTATCCTGGACCACAGTTTTATAAGCTAGAGATTCGTGACCCATTCGCCCCGCAACTCAAACCAAGGAAATTATAAGAGCTCGAGTGTCAATATATTGGCTCCATCTTCCCCAGGGAGTTTAAGCACGCACCATTTCGCGATACCCGTCTTCAAGTTCATTCTTACATCTCATTACACAATCGGATCACATTAGTGCACGATTGGGGAAAGCACTTGGGGAACCTTAAAGACCTTTGTGGTATTTGTGGACCATATCTACGACCTTCCTCCTCATCTTCAATCGCCTAATCATAATCAACATTCATCGCACTATAAGCAACAAAAGAAAACGATGACCGATAACTCTGGAACTACGACTCCAGTAACCGCCAAAATGGAGGGCCCCCAACTTCCAGACAACAAACCACAAGGTATGTGAATATCTTCCTTGACTGGTTCAAACCATCTTCAATACCCTATCAAACCATCTCTGACATGAATCGTAGCCACTAAAAGCAGAAGAAGTGTACAAAATATGAACCCAGTTGCGTTGCAGAAAAAGAGAGAAAACGACCGCAACGCCCAAAGAAATATAAGGGAAAAAGCTCGAAACAATTTAGCAGAGATGCAAAGAAAGGTCAAAAATTTAGAAGGACGTCTTTCCCTGGCGGAAAAGGTAATTCAACGTTCGAAAGCGTTGTTGTTGGAACATGGCATTGATCCAGGACAAGCATTGTCAGTAGAGATGGTTGCATTTGAAGAGCAAAATTTGGATTTGCCGCAAGGTATCTCAACTGGAGGCCTTTTGGAGGGGATCGAGATAGATCGGCCCACAGTGGGTTTTCAAAGCCAGCAATATGCTCCAGTCAGCCAACCAATGTATCCCACGATTCCCGCCAACCTTCATCAACCTATGGTACAGCCTCAACCAAATGGACTCGGATCTATGCAATACATGGGATCTCCGCAACATTTTGAATCTCACACTGGATCATCTTCACACGTTGGATCCCCTCTGTCCTTAGAGAATTCCCATCATACCATGTCTCATACTGGATCTCCTCAAATCAGCTCATCCCCACAGTTTCCAGTACCTCAAGGTATGGGTAATATCCCTCGATCAATGAGAGCTTTTGAACAATTGGGACAATCTCACCCGATGGAATTTAATCAATCTATGCTCCCCGGACCCATGGGACCCATCTCACACATGGCGGGATCCCACCCCATGTCACAATCACAATCCATGCCGCTTCTCCAAAATTCTGGATTTCACAATGCTTTCTCGTCGCCCAGTCTGATAGAAAACCCCGCTTATTCTTCTCCAAACACAATGATGTGGGATAATGGTGCCGATGCTGCATATCGACACAATTTATCAGGTTATCCGGCAGTCACGGATCATATGACATTGGTATAACCATCGATTCTTATGTAATACCGTTTTCGGCAGCGATATTTTACAAAACCCCAAAAAAATACACTAGCCAACGATTACAAGTTTTACGCTTTATGGAATTAATTCACGGGGTATAAGGAAAACGGTGGGAAACACGAACATGGAAGGCGTATAAATGAGATTTGGGCCATACAATTAGCTGTTGGCATACAAGGTGGCATAGGATGGAGTAAAGGTCTTAGGATGGAGTAAAGGTCTTAGGATGGAGTAAAGGTCTTAGGATGGATGCCCTATACCCCGACTAGGATACCGCAGAACAGCTTTGTTTTGGCTGTCTTTTCTTTTCTTCATGCTTGATTTTAGGAGTTATTTAGAGTTGAGACTATTCTCCTCTTTGGGATTTGATTTCTGTATATATCGTGTTTTGTTGGTAGACAAGAGACACAACATTCATGATTATATTTTCGTGACGATATTGCAAGTTTTACCGTGGCATAAAATGTGATCAATTCAATGAAATACAATCTTCCCCCCTCACCACCTATCAAACAGAACACATTGCTCGAACTAAACCTCCGTTGTTCCGACAACCCCACGATTTACCCCTCCAAGGTCTGAAGTATGGTGTGATTCTGGTTTGACTTCGTACCTACCTACCTAACATGTTTGAGTCAGTAGAGATAACGGAAGAGAATCAGAGATCGATTTGGTGAATTCAAGATTGTTCAAGTCATGTAACTTCTTGTCAACATTTGAGTTTATGTTGATCACGATGATGAGGAGGAAGTAGTGGACGAGGTGGAGTGTAATGATGTCCATCAAGAAAAAAAAAAAAAAAAAAGGGGGTCCATGTCATGTACTCCTCCCGCCGAGCAAAAGTAGAAAAAGTATAATAAATTACTCAACGTCATTTTCTTATCGTCTGTTCGATCCATTTCAATTTATTCATCCCATTCCCCTTCAATCACTAAATTTCGATTATTCATCCATTGATATCCATCCCATTGATAACACATAACATGACATCGCGAGCTTCCAAAAAAAAAATAAAAACAAATGCAGGGATTAAAAAGGGGCTAGATCGGCTAGTTTCCGTACCACCTCGACTACTCAGTACACTACCAGACTCACACTTCGAGACAGAACTGTAGTCAAACTTACTTTTGCGAAAAACGTGGAAATTTATTTTAGGACGTTAGTGCGCATTTTTAGTTCAGGGGGTAGACAAGGAAATTCCCTGTGGCGATCTGTAGTTTGGAGAGGCCAAAAGTGTCTCTACTTTCGTGCTAAATTGGTTGTCCGGTAGTTTCGGTGATGAATGTTAGTATCGGACTTACGGAGTGGTGGGAGGATAACTGCCGGTAAGTATGCTTTGAGACTAAAGTTTGTATGCATCGACGATGAGGTTTCTGTCCGCGAGTAATGGGTATTTGGTACGGGAAAGTATGAGAGCCGGCATGACTGGTGGCGAGGATGGTGTGCTTGGTGTGAGTTTATCCGCTGATATACTTCAAGAAATGAGAGAATGTGAAAATTTGGTGCAATGTACACTAGTAGAACTTCCAGGGAAATAATTGTAGTGGACTGATGATGGTCTTGACATAATCCGCATCCCTGGATCAATGATCCCAATATTTGCAAAGCTATATATGCGGAACTATCTTAATTTGATATCATTATTTGACATTATTTATACATTTGTGTTTAAGTATTGGCTACTGGGTACCAGCGCCATTTGGCAGTTCATCGTTATGAGCTTGTGGGGAAACCAAAGGTGTATCTGAAAAATATCTGAGGCTTAATAACCAACCTAGCTTCTTCAGATATCATAAAAAGTATAAACCAACACTTCTGAAAGAAATCTGCCTACTCAGAAGAAAAAGATTCTAGACCAAAGCAACACACCAATACAATATAAACTAGAATATCAATCAACAGGCTGGACAATAGATCTAGAAGCTTTTAACTAGAACCCTCCTTGACATATCTCCCAACTCCCTAAAAATGAAAAACTGACTCCAATCCGATACAGCTCCAGACTAATCCAATGCAAGACGACAGTATCCAAAGCAACGCGACAGTATCAAAAAACAAGGCGAGTAATGAGTTTAAACCGAAAAACAAGGAGAATCATGGACTCGGACCAAAGAACAAGAAGAATCATTAGTAGAAGCCAAGCCCTACCAAGTTTATAATCTGAGAAAAACGTGGAAGCCCACATTTATTTTTAACTAATGCCAAAGATTCAACGCCAGATCGGCAGTTAGTAGGTTTAGATAGTTCAGAGAAAAATTGGTGTTGTTTCAGTTACGTTAGTAATATGGCAGAGTAGTAAATCTTATATGATAAAATGACTATATGAGAGGGATTATAATCTTGGACATGACGCCTGATATTGAAGATCAAGATATGTGTCGTTAATGAATTGGGTTCCTGCAAATTTGGAATTTGGAGGATTAATGATGGGTAGAATTATAAGTTATTGTAGAATTGGACTTTGTAGATAAGATAGCAGGTGGGTAGATTAAGATGTGGCGTTTCTGGGGTGCATGAGATAATCTTACTAAGTAATTTCTAAGCAGTTCCTAAGCAAATTCACTCAGAACCCCTGATTGACAAATGAGGCGGAATATGACCTAGGCCACACCAAGAACCTCCAGACTACTCTAAAACACAAAAACCAAGGCTGAAAAATAAAGATCGACAAAAATACATCTTTGACCGCCTCAAAACATTCCTTTCGTATTCTATGGGGTAACTACTCGTATCCATCAATGATCAACTATATCAAATGTTCCCCCACAAAGGGTTTCCTGAACCGTACGGCTCCGGTTACCATCGCAAAATTACTTAACTTCATGTCCGGGGTAAGCTAAGACTTGCACTTGTTGAACAAGGTATATCTTGTACCGATGATCGACAGATGGAATATTGTTCAAAGCTTGATGCTTGATGCTTGTTCACAGACGGACACTGACTCGCGCTAAGAACGGAGCGGAGAAAGCGATGAAAAGAGCAAAGGTGCTTCGGACGAGGAGGTGAATAATATATCGACAAGATTAATAAACGGAACTTTTTCCTGGGTCAACTTAGAGTTGTAGATCCGGGGTTATGGCAAATGTGGTAAATGACTAAGTGCCAGGTTCATGGTAGTTGCTAGTTATTAGTCCTCCGAGAATGGTAGAAACTATGGCAACGGGATGATTACGTGTTTGGGTAATGGTGAAGATATTTGCGGAACGTACATCCAATCTTGGATCCTAGGTTCTGGATCCTTGGTTCTGGCTCCTGGGTATTGGTTACCTGGAAGTTGGATACCGGAGTCCCGGGAAAATCGCAATGTTTCAACTTCCAAGTGGAGAACGGTAGATAGGTACTGGGGAAACACAGACGCGGAGTTGATTACCTGTTTAAGTAATAGTGAATATATTCACAATGCCCACTTTTGCGGTCGGTAGAGGTTCAATCGACCGCTTGTGGGGTCCGTGACCAGGATAATGGTCGTGGTCATGGTCATGGTGTTCTTCAAGTACCGGCATGACTATAGGGGCAGATATGGCTCAGTGCATACGGAGCTGCAAATGTTTGAGATGTGGAGACGGAGTTGATACCTATTTTGATGATGTTGAGTACGGCATATCTACAAGCTCAAATTTGGAGACGGTACAGATATCGGGAGTGGTACCAGATGAAACACGGCAGATGGAAGATGGAGATGAAAGATATACGACGGAGTGGATTACCTATCTAATAATGGTGAATATATCTACGTTTTGAACTGGATGGAGCTTCAATGCCGATGGGAATGTTAGATGTTTCATAGCCTCCGGAGCTATTGATTGATGTTTGCTGGGTACCTACAGGCACTTTTATTGAGCGAGATAGGCATTGGTAATGATACCCAGTTATGTTAATACTTTAATAGATATGTGCGGAGCTTTACCGCTGAAGATTGTTCTCAGCGGAATAAGATATGGCGGCAGTTCATCCCCATCACATCTCTATCTTCATACCCCATTTTTGCAATGGAAATTAGATGAAGATGGATCTACAGTGGATCTACAATGTGGAGAGGGAGATCACATGGTTTATTTTGTTGCTGCAAGGTCTACATATTCCGCAGTTGATAATGCTACGTCTATGGTATGTATATGGAGCATCCTGAAAATGGGGGACGGCACGGTACAGTATGAGATGAACGGGATGGTATGAGATGGAGTGGATATGGCGGTTAGTATAGTATATGCTAATAAAAGAGATGGCTGGATGGATTGGATCTACTGTATAGGATATCCAAGTGGAATGTTCCTGATCTAGATACTAATCTTACAAGTGTGTAATAGGACCGACAGATCAATTTTAATTTCTGATTTCTCTTTGTGCTCTTCGCGAATCAATATTGATAGACACAAAGTTATGAGCACGGAATTAACCGTGTGAATGTAATATTGGTATAGCTATGAGTATTGCTGTGGATATAGATCAAATTTCTGAATTGTTGACATATACATGCGGTAGTCTATAAGAATGTGGGTACGAATACAAGTCCGAGGAACCTCAAGGTTTATATCTGAACGTTAATATAGCTGCAGGTATAGTTATGAATGTAATAGCTAAACTGCACAGAGGCCAAGGAATCTAAATATTAAAAACGCCCAGGATATAAATTACTGTTCTGATCTAGAAAACATGATAAATATAACCTAACCTCCTGTTCGTCTGAAATGCATAGTATATATATACCTATACCCTTTCCCATACCCATAGCCATGTCCATTTTCGATATATATCCCCATACTATTATACTTGATATACTCAATATAATCCCCTCCGCCCCACTTTTATATACTATGTATAAATATATATTAAATCCACAGCTTGAAGTGGTAGAGTTTATATCTTAATTGTTAAAAGGAATGACCTCACACAGGGAATAGTGGGAAGCTGATAGGGCAGAACTGAGGTAATATTGGTCTAGTAGGTTAATCTCTCTTCTAAGTTCTGCGGAAGTGCGAAGCTCTCTTACAGAGAGCTTCTCAATCTAGTCCTAATAGGACTAGTGCCCTGTGCACGTGCTACGCAGGAACCATTCACTTTAACACAAATGAATGATCCTAAAGTTATAATCTATAGATATCACATTTGGAATCTGGTTGTTTGTGCAGACGTGGATGTATACTTGATGGACTGATTTGTGAAATGATATACATGATATACACTATTCGTATTTGTCAAATCTCGAATGTCATATACATACGCGCATGTAAACATACTCCAAGAAGAGAATCACATGGTATGGAATGAAGCAGGCCGGGCACTAGATGATCAGACAGTTTTTCATATGCACATAAACATGACTGGAAATTATGATTCGCAAACAAGGATGAATGTCCCATTAAATTCCATCCACTATTTCATCCCAAACAAATTCTCAAATGGTATACCATGCCACATCTCAATCTCCTACCACATCCTCCTCCAATTATTCATCACCAACTAATCACAATTCATGACCATTACTATGTGGAGCCTCATGACCATGTTTCAAAATCCTTTGCTCATTTTCATTTTCATCTGTTGAATCTACAACTCGTTGTGCTCCTGTCCATCACCATCAGTATCAGCAAGAGCTGTCTTGACAGCCTCTGCGGCTTCAGAAATAGCACTTTTCACACCTCCTTTTGCTGCTTCAGTAGCTTTTTCGGTGGCTTTGTCTGATAGAGATGATGCGCTATCGGTTGCTGTATCAGCGGCATCTGATGAGGAGGTCTTTTCGATAATGGTTTCAGGTTTGGGGACTCCTTCAATGCCCATGAGTTCGGTTTCGAAAACTGGATGGGGAAACGAGGTTAGTATTGTTTAAAAGGTTTAAGTTTGAATAGGAGAGTGATTGGATATTCAATGATGAATTGCACATACTCAATGTACTCTTTGCTGGGATTGGACCCATAGCTCTATCACCATAACCAAATTCAGGAGGAATAGTAAGAACTCTCTTTTCACCGATACACATATCAAGAAGATTATCATCCCATCTGCCGGTAATTGATTAGCATCCCTTGTCCTTCTCATAGCCTCATATCTCCAAGGAATACATACCCTTTAATAACACTACCCTTTCCAACAACAAAGCTTAAAGGTTGACCTCGGTTGTAAGAAGCATCAAACTCTTTACCAACCTTTCCATTCTCTTCAAGGTTTCCTCTGTAATGCACATGAATCTTATCACCCTTTTGAGTCTTGCGCTCACACTCTACAGCCTTTGTAACGTCAATCTTAACTTCAGCTGCGAGAACGCTGGATGCGAGAGCAAGAATGGAAATAGTTGAAAGACGCATATTGAGGGTATTGTTGATTGATCAATTTGTTAGGTTTGAATTGATTTAAATCAAGTTGTGCTAATTCGAGAATTGAATGTTGAGTTTGTATAACAAAGAAGTTTTGGACACGTTTAGTTGAATGGATGAATTGAGGAAGCAACAGCTGTGACAAGGATTAAGATGGTTTATGCGGGACAAGAAGTGGATAAAATAAACATCGAGCAATAACCAATTAAATGCTCGAATGCTCAAAAATGACGGATGACTACAGATCATTCGACTCCACACACTTCATTTTTCAATTCTTATCCTTCATTTCCCCTCTCTCTTTCCTGAACAACAACATCATTGTTACATCAACTCTTTCCTCTTCACGATGATGCGAGTACTTGCTTAATTGTTTGTCTGTTTGTTTTATTCTATTTAAATCCAAATTTAATTGAATTATTCATCAGAATAACCCCCCACTACTTCAATTCCTCATCCTTACACCTATACACCGATAGTAGTCATACGAATCAATTTGACTCATAGCCTCATTCAATCTTTGGAAGCCTTGAAAATTCCAACCTTTCGAACCTGGGAAACGATTAACTCCAGCTGAACAAGCTTCAAACAATCAATCATATCTTTCATTACCTAGGTATTCAACAGTGCCCAGACAAGGCAACAATAATATCATTCAGTCACAATTTTTCTGCACGTTCTCTCACACAATATTTCAAATGTTCTACAGGCAAAACTTTCCGCAAAATCCCCGTCCGTTTGTTAGTCTTTCGAGTCCTTGTTTCAAAAAATGCCCGAAAGGATGCCATGGGGATGGCTGTGCTTCTGTACTGCGCACAATGCCTCCACATTCTTTCTACACTCTATAATTCTCCATGGCTGAGTCAATGAACTTATGGGGAAAGAGTTAGGCCCCTCCCGTTTTCCGCCATCTCTCCAGGAATTCAATGCTTCGCCAGCGGAAGCCTTAAGCTTATTTACTACTCAACTTCCATCTACATCATCATACTTATCCACGGTCGACGTCACCAACTAAGCTCTGATGTTCTTCATCGTATTTGGACGAAAGTACTCACCGATGTTATTTCCCGTTAGTATGGTGACTCACTGCTTCAAAATGATCATTTCGGGTCAGTATAGCACATTCAAAGGCAGCCACCCATTGGGTAGAAGCTCCTATTCAGAAGTACTGGACTGGGCAAATACCCTTCTCGGGCTTTTCCAATCGAATGATTTCGCCTTATTTGAGCAATCGTGAGCACAGTAGGTAACAATTGAATGATTTCATTAGTCAATCTCTCAACTCCTCAGTTTCTCCTTTTCTATAAGTATAACGATTTTCACATCGTTTGCTCTATTCATCAGAAACAGATTAACTATCAGGTTTATCATACATTTAATTTACAGTATTACAAGACTCTATTATACGCCTTACACGTCCTACGAAGCATTAATCGACTTTCGCCTCGCACATCAAAATACATAAATACTCCGAAAGTACTCTTCCGAAGAATCCCAATGTCTTACACTGATTCTCGTGGATTCACAAACACACAAAGAAGTACCATCATACATCGGGAATCTTCCCCCAGGGATTCAGAATACTCGTACGAAACTCGTTCATCCGATTATTATACTGGATCACAAGAAAATATGTCAGCACGTGTATCAAGCAATGGACGTAGTTTTGGAGGAAGTGGTGGAGAACAAAATGTGAAATATAGGGATGCCGCTGCAGGTATATTATACTTTCTGTGTGATTTTTTCTCATCTTGCTAATTTTTATTTTCGAAATAGATAAGAAATATATTGAAGGAAAAACATCAAGAAGCGGAAATGTTCATGTCATCGCCCACGGAGATAGTCACAAACACTACGATCCAGCGGAGCCAAGAGCAAGTGAAGGAAAAGAAAGCGATTATAAAAAGACTTCAGCACGCTACGAAAGAGAGAAATCGCGCCCATTGAATCATCATCGCTAAGAACAAATAGCGGATGGCCATCCAAAGTGAGGCGGAAGAACAGGGCTTAAGGGACGTCACTCTGAATGCCAGAAAGCGGGAATTTTCTTAGTCAGGGTCACATTACGCAGGGGAAATTTTTTATGGTGGGGATTATGTTTAAGCTTATTGAGCCTTGGGTATTGGTAGGACACGGCCTTTTCATTTGGACAGGACATGGGTATGGGTATGGGTATGGGAATCATTTATAAGGAGTTAGTTGGGAACTGTATGGATATATCTTATAAGATTTTGTTCCTCGGGGTATTTACAGTTGGGAGTTTGTGCAGGACAGGACTGAACGGGTTAGATGAGAAGAGATGGGACAATTGAAGGTTGGATATTAGGATGAAAGATTAAGATTAAGAGGGTTGTCATTCAGATGGAGTTGCCTTGTTTAGATAGGATCAGGATTTATTTGTGTATTGTCTTTCCTACAATTATAACCCGTCTTTCAATATCATTGCAAGTTTATGGTTAAATATTTTATTTATTAAAATAACCTAGTTTGTATGATCGTTCGGGAGCTCAGAAAGTACTTTTCGTTTATAATTATTATTTATTTTCTATAATTTTCCCAATACGTTATGATTATGTAATGTGACGGACCTAGGAGTAGGAACAAGAACAGGGTAGCAGGAACAGGGTAATGAATGATAGAGACCCTACTTGCCTTGCTTCTTGGTAGATTGATAGATGAATGAATGGATAGGTAGTTTTTGTGGGTATATTACTATGTTGTGTTATGCTGTCTTATGTTATGTTATGTTGTGTTGTGTTGTGTTGTGTTGTGTATGCTATGAGCTCGAGAGATAAGTGGGTGGATGGATAGATAGAAAGGTTTATGCTGTGGTGATGTTTGGATGGATATAGATTTATGGGTTTGAGGTTTTGAGAGTTTGAGGGTTTTGAGAGTGTGTGGAAAATTAGAAAAAAGTATGGTGGTCTATAATGGTTGGTTTATTGGTTTTGTACTTTATTTATATTTTATTTATATTTTATTTATTTTTTTATTTATTTTTTATTTATTTTTTATTTTTTAGTACCAAATTCAATCACTCAACCACTATCATCATATACAATCCAGGAAGTCCCTCAGAGCTAATCTCGATCATAATATAATCCTAACATCGAATCAGAATCACAATAATCAGATTTCCTACATGCCAACTCACACTAGACTAGACAGTCTTCGAAATCGAGATTACCCCGCAAGATATCGATCTCTCAATTAGTAATGGATCTTTCACCCCCCTCGTTTTCTGTATGTTGTATGTTGTATTGAATAGTGCGTGCTGTATAATGTGGTGTACTAGGTATGTGTTACTCTGTATACGTAAGTTATTTTTGGGTTATTGAATATATTTGGGTTTTAACGGGATAGCTTGTATTGGGATTGGGGAAAGCATCACTAGAATTTTGTTCCCATACCTTATTCTATCTCTTCTTAAAAGAATATCAATCTCGTCGTATAGCCTCAAATTTATCTACGCGGGCGTGGAGTACTAACCGATTGTTTTTCTTCGTATAAACTACTATATATTAAAAGAAGTTCTACATTCCTTCTCCACACCAGCCTTCAAAAAAACTCTATTATGCAAGTACTTTGCGTACACGTAGCACAATGAACTTCAAATTCAATCGTACAAAAACCCCCATATGAATTGTACGACTACCCTTAAAATCCTACTACGTACAGGAGATTTTCTCGGCCTCGGTGTCATATCCGGGTTACTGCATATGTATGTATATGCTGCACAACCATTACTTGAAAAGAAACGATGGGAATACAAGGATATCGATTCCGATTACGGAGTTGGAGTCTAGATTCTCATTTTTGCTTTGCTTTACTTGGATGTAGATATAGATAGATAGATAGATAGATAGATAGATAGATAGATAGATAGGTATGAATGTAAATTTTCTCGGGAAGTATGGCATCCGATAGCTATGATGTGGATGATTTTTTGAGGTTGTTTTTTTGGATGGTCTGGATCGGTGAGTCTGGATGTTCTAGATTGTATGGTGCGAGTTGAGTTCGTTATATATGTGCTTCGTTACATTACATCGCTGTTTATGTTGTATTCTTAAGATAACATATCTTCATTCCGATATAAGCTTAAGGTTAATGAGAATTTGGGGGATTTCCCCAGAAATCCTCATATTTGGGTTAATTTCCTATTGCTGGGTCATTTTTGAGATGTAAAACACGTTATGTGTGTTAGTATATCGTAGCTTAAGATATAAAATAATACTATCGTCTTTACAATTTGTTTGTAAAAGTTTATATTTTAGATACGATATTCATATATATAGCGCGAGGTCTATATTATAACGGGTCGGGTTAAATGCGGTGGAGAAACTCGTGATATTTATACTTGTTTGAGTAATATGTATAAATACTCAATTCTAGATGATAATCTCGAGCTCTGAGTTTGAAGTAACGCATATATCAACTATTTTGAGCTTACGATTGTATATCTTCTTCTGTAATACCACACTCGATTTGTATTCGTACTTCCGATAGCTTTACTAATCTTCGCTTCATTCTTATATTCCACAATTCAAGACCGGGTTCCCCGCACATTCCTTTGCCTCGTTTATTGTTGCGTAGTACCTTCATTTTCAAATTTGCGGCACCTGTTTTCGCAGTTTCTGTATTCCTGTACTTCTACTTTCTCCCTGCATGTCTGTACCCCAGACTATTTCTAGCGCCTCGCTTCCCTTTCGTGTCCCTCGTCCAGGGGTACTGCACTACTACATTGTACAACAGAACGCCTTTAATGTAACGAAAAAGTCTTCTGTTGCACTTCTATGTGCGTGGGTACACTGCATGAAGATTGTACAAAGGTGGATAGAGAACGGGGATGTTTCAGTGGTTTATGTTCGTAGGGTGTTAGATTGTGGGGTTGGCTTTGGAATCGATGAATGGTAAGTGGTGAATAGGGGTCTTGAAGGATGCAGGGTTGTACGACGAGTTTGTGATCGGGCTGGTGAAAATGCGGTTGTGAAGTACAAACTTTTGAGATGGAGGAAGAGTATTGCGTGCTTGTGTTCGGGCGGGTAGATGCATATATAAAATTAAGTGTATGCTAGGGAGCGTGGGAGAGGCGGGGAAACAGGGGTTCTTGAAATGGTAGGGGACGGGTGGGATGGGATTCTTCCTATTGGCTTAGGAGTATGGTTGGGGATTGTTACGTGCATCGATGGAAATAGGGTCTGATAGGGAGCGATGTGATAGTAGTACGAGAGCATTGATCGTGGATGTTTATATGGAAAATAGATAATTAATGAATAGAGTGAATGGCTCTTGACAGGCTCGAGTTCGTGGGCGGTGAAATATTGAAATTCCTGTACTAGGTAAAAGAGCAACAGAGTGGGTTTGAATTGTTCATACTCAACCCAGGTAAATGGACTCTATCTGGAACTGATTGAGTTACATACTGACTTCCATTAATTATAATTTTCCAAAGTAAGAGGTCTATAAAGTTAATTTTTGTCTTTGGTTGTAAGATCTTACAAGTCATATGTATGTGGTATTAGACAAATGTGTAAAAAAGTGATGATAGAGAGTAGCATAACAACAGTAAAAATTCTTAATAATTATTATTTATCATCAAACCATCAATCAGCTTCAGAAAAACAAGAGCAATAAACTGAATGGGGAGACAGCCGTGATAAGATATCACTTCAGAAACGTTAACGTGTAGACTGCCTATATTAAATTTCCCATAATTACAGATTGTTTCTACCTTTTGGTATCCAATACTATACGTTTCATTGCAGCCAAAAATTTGATAAATCAGGGATATATAGAACTTTTTTCTGGATTCACTGCATGGACTTTCTAAGCCTCGAATTGGCTACACTTTGTCTTTTCTCTTCTAATTCGCACATAACCAAACAAGTTTTGATGCGTCTGACTTCAGCTGCGCATGATTCTCTCTCATGGAAAATATCCATGAGATTCGTGAATAGAGACTATAAAGATACGCATTTTCCAGACTGGAGTTCTTTATCCCAACTGCTTAACAGCAACAGCAAAAAGTAATAGGAACGAGTTTAACATCTGAAGTTGGATTTTGCCACTCTTCGCGGTAAAAAAATATCGGTAGGCTGGGATAGAGAACTAGGAGCGTAAATCAGGATAAAATGAGAGCCAGGATGTATATCGAGTGATAGTAGAGATAAGCATTGAGTGAGAAGTAGTGAAAATACATTAGAGCCTCTGATAGTGAAGAGATAGATTGCGTTTCTCTGAAATTGCGAAGGACGTGGTATTATGCTTCATCAAATAAGGGAGCAATGTACTCCTATTCTCCAGATAATCCCTAACTCAGATAGATAATCTGCGAGTATAGTTCTATAAAAAGCTGCAAGTTCGGTGATTTGAACGATGTGAGAGTGCCACCACTAGCGGATAGACCGAATAATGGACAGCAATGTGAGAGTAGATGTTGAATAGGTATAATAACTCAGTGGCAATGAAAGTATGGAGTTGAGAACATTTCACATGAGCCCAAATATCCAGATGAGACGGGGAGCTTCAAAGATAGATCTAGAAGACCTCTCCATAAATAGCTGTGTGGCTTGTACTTAATACTGATTTGAAACTCTATCTATTGCAATACTTTATATAATAACACAAAGATACGCTCCTTAACTAGTACTGTTCTGCAGTACCACTTTTGGTGAATCAAACTGAGTGAAGTGAAGTACAGTGGAGTTAAAACAAGTGAAGGGAAGAGGGGAAGTCCTTATGATTCGGATTCCGAACCTTGTTGGCTTAGTTGACTTCCTAGGTCATTAAGTATATCGATAATCATCAGCACCTTTGATTCGACTGAATCATAAGCCTCTAGAATCGCAAGTTTATTAAATTCATTCCATCTCAGTGAATACTCGCAGGATATATTTCCAAGAGAATTGCGCCACCACACCCCTTAACACATCTTTGCACATAAATAGACCCAACCAGCCCCGACGATGAGACACCAACATATATGACAAACAGATACGAAAATTTTGCATCAATTTCTGTAAAGTCTCATCACGTCAATTATTTTCTAGTACAAGACTTGCATCTCATTGCTCAGTCCTAGAGGTTGTTCTCGCCTGAATGTGATTGTCATCGAAGGTATTTCTGACAATAAAATTATATTTGACGGTAGATATTAGTGTACAAACGGTATTCACTTACTCTTCACTGTTCTCCCCCCGCGAAGAGACCTGTACTCTTCGTCACAAAGTATTCAAAATTTGTCCTTATACTACATGCATATTATTTGATTCTATCATTGATACTTTTTAGTTTTGCTATAATAAAGATATTCATAGCCAGGTCCGAAGGTTAGAAATTGTTTACATGACGTTTTCAGGCCAACTCAAGAAATGCATTCATTCTTTCTCTAGATTCGCGATCAGCTGACCATTTTTCATTTCAGAGTTTTTTTGAGCATATAAACCTCAAGCATTGCTTAAACAAAACACGTTTAGTCTTATAGCTACTAATAAATAAATAAAATGTAATTCCATGTTTCACGGTGTTCTGTCTCTATTTTGCTTTGAGAAAATGACGAATCACCAACGCTGATACTAGAAACATTATTGTCGAGACTAGAGCACAGTTGGACTTTCGTTTGAAAGTTCATGGCAATTGGAACTCGACCATGGAACGTCACCATTTTTAGTGTTCTGTGGTTCCCATGATGTTAAAAAAGAATAGCATGGTACTAAAGCTGCCAATTAAACTGTTTCTTTTAACCTATATACCCTCTGAAGTATACTGCACTAAGCATTGTGGTAATATTCCTCACTTTGCTCTAACTAGCATATCTATTAGATTTTGATTGCTTCCGTCAGGTTTTCAAATAACCTCTCGCATACGGGGTGCACGACACCGACACTGGGACATGATTAAGTGAGATCTAAAAATGCAAGACTTCATACCTACAGAATATAAAGGTTAGTACTTACTAGCGAACTCAGACGTGATCCAGATTTTCCTTTTAAATAAAAAAAAAAGTCTATTATAGCGCAGTCTCTCAGATAAAATATTATGCTGCTATTTCAAATATAAATCGTGTACCTAAATTTGCAGGCATTTCCGAAGAATTCGAATTCACTAAGTAACTGCATTTCTTATCATCACCACTTCCCTTCAGCGAATTCGAGACCGTTTTTAGCGCAATTTTAAAGTTTGCACTTTGTGGTAGTGTTCAAATTCGACGTTGGGAAAACATACACTGGGACAGCTCGGTATATGATAGCTCATATTCCAGCTGCCAGTCCTGTGACAACTAAAAATACTTGGAATAAGTTCTAGCAGTGTCGATCGATACTATCAAATTGAAATTTCTTTGTGTATACAACAAGCTACTCGTGCAGCCAGTAAGTATAAAACTCTCCACTAGTAAGTATATACCATAAGATGATAAACTACAAAGAGATTAATGCCTACCTATAAATGGATATGTTTTATACCTTCTGGCAGTACGAGTAAGTACTCTTGAATTAAAATAAATTAGCAGTAACCTTATATAGTAATATAAAACTTTGTTATTAGCCCACCTTATTTTCGAACTTATCGTCGCCTTTCAATAAACATAAGAATCGATGACGAGGTTGAAAAGAGGGCAATGAGGTTAGGGTTAGGAGCAAGACCAGGCTACCACAATGTAGTTGTTGATCGAAAAGCGCAGTAGTATACGAGTTCCTCAATTGCGGCTTTTGAGATATGCAATAAAATGATTGAATCGTATTCCATTCTTTCTGATTTGAGAATTGTATGACACTTCGACACGCCAAAACAAAATCACTATTGGCATTGTGAAATCTTATCCACACGAATATGCGCTGGAAAATTGGAATCTAACCTGGATTAGATAAGCTAGTGTTCCAGACTTTGCTCTAATGCTATGGGTAAAAGCTGCATCTGCACCGATTGAACTTCTACTGAATCAGTTCACTTAAGATCGTTCATGTCGATCTGCTTTTAGGGAGGTAAACTTTAAGTGGGTATATGTATTGAACTTACCGACGATGTGGAACTTGATGTCGATGATCTACAACACTACTTCATATTGTTGCCAGATAACAGGCGCTTCTGCGCCAAGCTTAAGACAATACTACACATGTACTACACATGTATTTTCGGCTTTGAAGCACACGCTTTGCGTTAAATATCTCCATAGAACCTTAGTACGGCGCCGTGTCACCGTTAAGGTAATTCAAATATGTTTATTGACGCTAAACTACTGTGATCTTACCATAAACGTAGCTGGTGTGTGCCTACTGGGCTTCATCGAGATCAATCTAAAGATAAGGAATCAATCACGCACGATGTATGGTTGCTCATTGAGCATATCACCGCATGGGCACCTGTACCCTACCCAGGGTATTTGACCTCTATAAAATGGTTATCCTACCCCATAAAGATTTTATAGGGTGGTTACCTGGCAATACTCGTGGGTACCAGAGTAAATATTATACAATCGTTCTATATTATCATTCAGAGTTAATATTTAGACTCTAGGGTTCTACGTTGTAGGTATACTAGATGGTATGATTATAATATAAAATTATATAATATGAAAATCATACGATATCATATGATATAGGCATATATAGTGTAATATTGTATGAATATCATAGATATAACCTTATATGATATATACCGTAGGTACTATGGTACTCAAAGCATTTTATAGAATGGTTACCCTACCCTATAGAGATAGAGTAGGGTGGTATACCAACGGGTTTTACCCCGGGTTACCCCACGTTTACCCTACCTTTTGCCCATCCCTACCTCCTCGATATGATCACCACCAACTTCGCATATGACTACTTCAGATTTGGAATAGATGGAACGAAAGACAAGAGGGTCAACAGGTCAATACTAGGTAGGTAGCAATAGTGCGTCCGTGTTCAAGATGTGTTGAAAAACTCATCCAAGTTAGTCACAATGAATGTATGACAGAAATCTGAAATATGCAACAAAAGTTCAGTTGAAGTACACTTGACCAATTTGGGGCACGTCAATAATCTAATACTAGTATTTGATATTTTAGCTCAAACTTATGCCAACAAATGGAGGTCAGCTTAACCCTTTTAGTTATCGCTTCTGCTCGCTAGTAGAAGTAAACTCAAAGCGAACACTAGTTCTTCCAATCATATATATCTATCTTGACTAGTGTACCTTACCCCGCATTAAGAAGATGTTCGGACTCAAGCCCAATTTGATAATTAAATATTGGAGGAAATTTCTACTCACTTAAAGCCCATTCAATGACCGGCTTGTAAGAATACTCTGTACCGTACTAAAGAATCAGCTAGCTGAAAAACGGTAACGAAGCTCTCCATCATCCTTTTAAGTGATAGAGAACCCTTCTTTTGATACCTATACACGAAATCATCAGCACGATGTCCCACACCTTCCACCTAATATAGCCCCGGTATTGAACATCCCTATATCGTCAAGCCAAAAGGGCCAAAGCGTTCTTTCTTTAGTTTACCATTATAAAATTTTACTTAGACTTTTAGAAAGTATGAAAGTTGAACATTAGATAAATCAGATTTTTTTTAAGTTCATCATTTTTCGGTGCAAGGCGGGTTTCCGGAGTTGCGTGCTTTCTGGTTGCATGAGTAGAACAAGTGTGGACAGTAGCCGACCACTTAACCTTGCTCGGCGAGCAGACAGATTTCCTGGCAGTGTAGTTAGTAATTCTATGTCCAGAATGATAGTTCAATTACTTGAATTGATAACCTAGGAGTTTCGATTGGTTAAAGTGGGAAAACTATAGTCTAGTTTATTTACATCATATTGATATGACTTAAGAAACAAAATGCAGATTTGTAAGATACACCAGAGGACTATCTCCCGACCTCTTACCGCTGATATTATTTCACGCCTACTATTTTAATTCAAAGCCCCGCTGAGCAGCTCAAAATGGTAGAGTTGGGCAAAGGGTAGGGTACGCCCGGGTAATGTTACGAGGTTTGCCGTCTAGATCACGTGGAAGTGCTCCAGGCTCTCGAGGTGGTTTATAACTAGGCGTCAAGCAGGGACTTAAGTAATGACAATAATGATATGCAATTCGTAACTAATAGTAGAGTATACTAAATGATTGATCTTGAGCACGAAGCTCTATACAAAGGGAATCCATCTTGATTATATAGACCTTCATGCCTATGGCTAGTCAGGACCGCGCAGCGGTCCTGGACAGCCAGCGTTCCTCAGCGGTCCATAACGTGACTTTAATCACGTTACCTTGGTTTAGTCATGTGACGCGGCATAGAAGATAGCCGTTGTAACAATACAAAGGGAATCCATCTTGGTTATATAAATATTCATGCTCCCTTGGATCCTTTTGGATCCTAAGCTCCAAAGGCTCCATTGGATCCTTTTGGATCCTCAAGCTCCAAAAGCTTCAAGTCACGTGCTTTCTGACAGTGCGTGCACATACGATCTTAAGGTGGCCCAGATCACATATTAATTCGATGAAATCTGATCGCTTTTGCACAAGGCCCAAGCTCTCCTAATTAGTCAGTTGTTACTATCGTAACATCTCTGTAGGAGAGCTTCGCACTTCCGTAGAACTGTTACGAGGGTAGCCGTCTAGATCACGTGGAAGTGCTCTAGGCTCTCGAGGTAGGTTTATAACTAGGCGTCAAGTAGGGACTTAAAGTAATGACAATAATGATATACTATTCGTAACTAATAGTAGAGTATACTAAATGATTGATCTTGAGCACGAAGCTCTATACAAAGGAAATCCATCTTGATTATATAGACCTTCATGCCTATCGTTCCTTCGGTCCCTTCGATCCCTTTACCGAAGGGATCGAAGGGATCACATGACTTCGTACGTGGTCATATGATACGAGGCCAGAAGCCGTCGTAACAAACTTAGATAATGAGTGATTCATATACAAGACCAATATAGCCTCAGTTCTGCCCTATCAGCTTCCCACTATTCCCTGTGTAAGGTCATTCCTTTTAACAATTTATTATATAAGATTTAATCAAAAGATTTTAAAAATTTATAATTCATTTTGAATAATTTTTGTTTAAAAGTTATTCAAGTTTTTAATAATTTTTCAAATTTATACATAAATTCTATATAAATTCAAAATTCAAAATATTTATTTTTCAGATCTCTGTCACGATTCACCATCGCAGGATTAGGGTCATGTGAAAAGTAGAATCACGTGATGTGCTAGCTCTGCTAGCAGTCAGGAAATCGATAGTATATAGTCAGAATAGTTTCATAGTTTAGGAGCTTCGTGCTCAACTTAGTTATCAATTGGTTTACCTACATTCTACTTGATCTAGTAACGAATTCACTTCCAAGTGAATACCAGTGATAAAGCCTTAACCTACAACTACCAACCAGACGAAACCTCAGGCAGCCGCTGCCTCCAGCACAGTATCGTTACAATTATCTCTGAATATCTATGAATATCTGTGGATTATAGATTGTTTTTTGTAATAAGTATAATTTTAGAGTTATTATTCTAGTTCAGAGCCCCTCAGAGCAGCCCGGAATCCAGACCCGTAACAAATTAAGAAAGATCAACTGAAGTTCACGTCATATAGTCAAAAGCACCATAGTAGGCTATTGATTTCTTTGCTAGCTTGAAAACAGAGCACTCTATTTCTTTAATCATAAGATTAATATGATCCTAAGAGAACTTACATACTTTTATTGTAAAAATACAATCAAATTAGCTTTCTGTTATGTTTCCATATAACACTAAATTTCCCATTGGTATTTTCAATACCTATACACTAACCTTAAAAAAATATACATGCATATCCTACAACTCCTTCACATACCTACTAACTCAGACCATTAGACCACACCCCATGGCCCGTCCCGTTTTCAGACCTGCAACAAATCCAGTCCCTACAGAGCTATCTACATAGTCCCCACGAAAACTCGCGTGTTCTGAATTCAGATGTGCAACATAAAGCCATGATATATCATGCTTTTCCCCACCGATATGTTGCTGAAGTTACAAAGACCTTGCATGACTCGAACTGTGCAATAACTGGGGTGGGTTATTTGCGCTAAATATTGTTTGTAGGAAATATTCTGCTTGATGCAGGTGTAGCGAAGACACATTCTATGATGATTTAACTACACCTTTTCAGCCTGGCAAGGAACCATCTGGAATTTGGATACCGGCTGTAGGTGTTTGGAAAGAAGATAATATGTTACGGGTATTAGCCAACATACGGATTGAGCACGTTGATACCGAAATTAGCTAGCTCATTGGCCATTGACCATTGGTCAATAAAAGAGGCTGCTGTATTGACTAATTAGCTCATATACAGATAAATAAATTTGAGACTATTCGCAAATGAATTAAATTCATACCAAAAAATAATACTCAATATCCTAGTTTATTAGACGATAGACTGGTACTGTATATAGACATAATACACGAGTAATGAGAGTGGGAGAGAGGAAGGACGAGACTACAATCTCGTCATGATTATTTGAACCTCGTCATCGCCTTCATTTTTAACCTTGTTATGGTCATTCATTAACATATTTATAATTTAATTAATTAATAAATAATAATAAAATTTTCTTATAAAGACTTCAATATAGACCTTTACTTTTCATAATCATTAACTAATCTATTAAAATAATATAACTGGTAATCCAAAAATGTTTCCGAATAACTTCGCTTTTATCAGAACAGAACGTAATATTACTAGTCAATACACTACATTGATTAGCAAATACAAAAATTGACCAACGCCCCGGAATATATACAACAAAAGCCTTATATACAGAATTCAAGCAAAAAACACATTTACTCAAGAAGAGATTCCTAAAAGTCATTCCTTATTCTCAAAGGCACTTCTGCGCATGCGTCATGACATTGAAACCGACAAGAAATGACAAGTACTAATTACTAGGAAAAGATATTGAGAAAATTGAGATACCGAATCCCAATAGACTTCTCTGAAAGATCTCATTTCATAGAGTTATTCTACTAGGTAGGGATGCTAGAGTCTGGTGCTATGAATGTTGGTGTATAGTGCAGTCACGGTGATTGAGTGTAGTGAGGATGGATTTGAATAATTTCTCCTCCAGCGCTCTCAGAAAAGTAGAAAATCTAGTTTATATATTAGCATATTAGCAAAGAAGATAAATCTTGGTACACAAAAACATCTATGATTCTCTCTGAATATGCATTTCTACAATTTTCAATCACTAAAAATTACACTCAATTACTTTCAATCTATGCCAACTAGCCAGCTAACTAATCAACAACTCCAATCAACTCAACTCAACCCGAAGAATTCCACGACATTATCTCTTCCACCAAAATCAAGAATCGACAAATCTCCACCGCAAGAGAACCAGCACAAAAAAAGGAAAAGAGAAAGAGAAAGAAAAACAACCCACATCGAAGGTCTATTTACAAGACCTGCAACAAACCCCCATCCAAACCTCATTACTCCCAGCCATCAAAAACCTAAACCAGGTTAACCAAAAGCATAATTGCGCGATACGCAGACAGAATTCCGAAACCTAATAAATAAATCTATCTATCTATACATAGTACATACATATTACATACCCACTTTGAAGTGGATAAAAAGGTAATAAGTTCCAAGTTCAAAGGTGTATTTTTCAGAGATGCAACAAAATCGCACCTGCAGATGATATAATTAAAGCTTACAAAGAAAATTAAAAAGTAGTTGAGGCGAAGCATATTTAGAGATATGCAACAAATAGATATTTAGGGCTTGCCATTTGATGAACGTGTGTTCAGGTGCGGCTGAAGTGGATGCGACGCCAAATGTCAATTTTGTAGATATGCAACAGAAGCTGCATGTAATGCTTCGTTTGCTGTACGTCTGGAAGTTAATCTCGGCTGAGTCGAAGCATGTTTTGAGATATGCAACAAATAGATTTTTAAAGCTTTCCATTTTATGAACTTACATCCAGGTGCGGCTGAAGTGGACAATGCCGAATGTCAATTTTGCAGATGTGCAACAGAAGCTACGTATATTGCTTCATTTGCTGTACATTTGAAACTTAATCTCGGCTGACTCGAGACATATTTTGAAGATATGCAACAAGAGATGTTCAGAGTTATTCTCTAGGGTTCATGCGAAAGAGCTAGGCTGGGTTGGCTCACTTGAGTTGAAAAGTATATTCATTAGATGTGCAACACGTCGGCTAGAAGTTCTGCATTACTCGATACAGACGATGACCTAGAAATTCTGCTGGCTAGGTGGGTATAGAGTTGTCTCAAAGTATATTTTTATGATGTGCAACAAAGGGGTGAGAGGTCTATGTGATTCGTCAGTGGGGACAGCATTGTGCTGGCATGGAATATTGTTATACTGGATCGAATGGAAAAATTCCGCGTGTGCGACTATGGCAAGAGGATTGGAATTTATACCAGGATGAGATTTAACAAGTCTTGTTTTCAATCAAAACCGAATATTCTGCCATATGCAATAAAACATCGTTCTAGGTAATGGTAATGGCCGTCCGAGAGACAGAGGTCATAGACTTGTTATTCTTGGGCCATGAGTAGCTAATTCCCGAGGTAAATTTTATGTCTTGGACTAGTCCGGCCTGTAAACTTCAGTGTATGTATACAAGTTTTTCACTTACTACAGGTATCAACAATAACATGACTCCAAGAAGAAGAAGGGGAAAACAGAAGACGCAGGGGATAGCTAAAGTGTATTTTCGAGATGAGCAACAAAAGTCTGAAGAGGCTTGGTAATTGGTGAGTACAGCAACCTTCGCTTGGTTGAAACAATGTAGCCATGCGCTGTAATGTGGAGATGTGCAACGAACTCTCCTGGAAGTATCGATCCCGAGTAATTGGTGACGAAAACGGTTGAGCTTCGGGAACGCTGAACTTTATTTCCATCTTGCAAAAACTTTTCATAGAGTTTCGTAAAAAACGTCACTATTGAAACGCCGAGGCGGTGGAGAAAGGTAAATGAAGTAGAAAATCTATAACAGAAAGCTGGGTTACGAAGGATTACTTTCCGGTAATGCTTCGGCAACAAGGAATAGTGTTTACTCAACAATAACTATGAAGGGACTATGTGGAAATACTCTCGGAAGAAAACCCTCTGCATTGATGATTTTCCCGGCATCGAAGTTTAAAGATTGAGTTTATCCTTACGAAAGGAATTTGATTGGTCTTAATGCACTTCAGGGGCTACCATATAAAAATGAACGAGCTTGACCAAAGTCTTAGGTGGGGAATTTCCGCTTCTACCAGCAAAAGATTGAACATCCTGTGAGATGATCGGCAAATGGCCTACTAGGGCTAATGATATCACTTTTTGAAAGAAACTTCGCGTCAAATTGGAGGAGGTACAACGCATAAATCTTTGTACGGGCATATATTTCTCCACGGATCGTATGATTCACCGGAAACATCTGATCAAGATCAAACGATGATGTACAAGATATCAAACACAGCTGACGTTCTACGAGTACAACAACTCAAAGACAATGTGCAGTCATTGGAACCCTGGGCAGTATCTATGTGGGGGATAGAAACACCTTCAAGGCTTGATTGATATGTTCTACATAAGCACTTACACACTCAGTCGCTTAATGAGATGCTGGATAATTTTAAGGTCCAACTAATGAACAACATCGAATTGCAGCTCACACTTGTGGGAATTGTAGATAGTAGTCTTTGATGCGGTGTCGTATTTTGAGTTCGATATCAACTAAGTTTTCCACGACAATGCTACGGAAATTTCCCACTTGGAGCATCTAGAGCATTAATTCTAACGGAACTCTAGGAGGCCCCCCGAGGACTGAAAAATGACCACATCATACGTTCTGCTTTGATTATTGGATAGCTGCCTTTTAATACATGGAAGCTTTCCACATTACCAAATCAGAAAGATTTGAGTTCACGATTTGCTTTTTAAAGTTATCATAATGCCACATTGAGACTTTAACTACCCAAAATGTGGCCGACAAAGTGGACGATGAGTTGCGTAATCGGAAAGGTGCAAATGTGAGAAGCTTACTATACAAGCCAATGCCCAAACGCAGTCTAGCAATCAACGTAAAGTTTAGACCACTACACTCAAAATTTGAACCATATCCAGCAGGTCACGAGGAGGCCAAATCTCCTAATAACAGGAAGACAAAAATAAGAAACTTTCCCACGTATGATTAATAATGCGACGTTTCACTCGCAGAACTCTGTTCCATAGACTCTTGGCGGACATTGACCGATGAGTCGGCATGAGGTTGATATTTAACAGAAGTTTAACCTAAAGATACCGAGTTGGTGGGGCATAGACACTCACGTGCTAGCAAGGTTGGGCTGTTGATATGTCAAGAGTCAAGACTCACTCAGCGGCGACGTGATTGGTGAAAGTCAACCTCTGTATGAGTCTTATCTTAGTTAAGCAATATAATTACCGCGCCGTACTGCCTATCGCAGAGACTTTGAACGTTCCAGAGATAAGGTTAGCGATAACTAGTTCTTTAAAGTCGCAAGTAAGTCTAGCAAGCTGTAACCCCAAGACACCAAGGATATCGAATACGGTACAGAACGAGCCATGTCGGAAGTCGAGCAATCGAACAAACATCGTAAAACTGTGCAATTGTGTAACTAGTGAAGGTTGAATGGCATGAATGAATGTTGTTAGAAAGTTTAAAAACAATCGCAACAATGAACCTGTGTGCGATTAGCATATCACGTGTATTGTGGGGGTATAGTTGCATTGCCAGACCTTTTCTAGAACTGGTAGCCTTCCATGACAAGGATCAAAAGATCGAAAAATCCCTGTCTGCAAAATAGTGAGATTAGTGATCAGCGCCTTTGCGTCAGAAACTCCAGTCAGTCATCACGCTAGACTATGCAGGGAGATCCAGTCTTAGTATCCTATCACGTGATACACATGCTAAGAATTAGAGAATAACAACATTTCGCAGCATGGGAGAACGGCGTATGACCGATGATTTTGTTCTTGGTATCATAGACTATGATGGACTGCCCAAGACATTGAGGTCAGCGAAAGACCTCTGGACGGAAAAAATGAACCATTGTATACGGGAAATTTCCCAGGATTTGTGAAGATAAATGCTCTCCCATATGTTAACCCACAGCTGGTGTTTTCTGTAGTCACTTGAGCCGACCGGTTTGCGATCACATCGTTAGTTCAATTCCTCGTTTCGTCTCCCGTGTGTTTTTCAATCTTCTCCCCATTCCATCTCATGCGATTTTCCTAAATGTCTATCTCACCACGTCAACTATCCCATCTCCCCAAAAACTTTCGTCTACAAATCTTCTATCAATCACTCCAAGCTGCCCATACACCTGCTCAACAGCACGTCGGATCCAGGTCGCAGGTACCCCTGCAATTGATCGCTATTTCTCTCCAAGAACTGTATATGTCCATTCTCATGTATACTACTCACGAGGTGGTCCTCGTGCCCTCCTCTCTGCTCTCCCTGTCCCTTCTCCACTCCCTCTCTAACTTCATCCACTCCAGCTTGTCTCAGATTTTTCACCGTACATTCATCATGAACTTCATGAGGCTTGCTTCCCCAGTTTCCACTAACACTTTAGTCTCTCTCAGATTCTTAAGTTTCCTCGTCAGCTCCCTTTGCAACCAACATTCCTCTAACTCGTCATCTCCAGCATTCTCATTCCTAACAGGTACTTTCTCCAACACTTTTAGAACTCCCAATCCCGGTTCATATTGCAAAGGAATTTCGATGATCCCGTACTTCCTTGTAAATCCTCCCGGCGTCGTCGAGGAAAAAAGGACGTCTTGGAATGGGGGTCCAGTCAGCTCACCCCCGAGACGATGGCTTTGACTAGTTCCGGAACCTTGTCCACTATAAAACATGGCATAAGACCGGCTTGTGAATGACTCAATGGAATTGCTGGACCAGTACGATTGAGGGGTGCTGCACCTGCGTTTTGCATATTTATCTCTTGGATTAAGGTATCTGACTGGAATTGGACATTTGAACCGTAGAAGGCGTCAAAAATGGGGTCGCCTATTGAGCCATCCTATGGTCACAATCACCCGGATCAGTGTATTCAGTCATTTGCAAGTACTCAATACTCGCTAAAGTATTAAGCAAATATAATAAAGGTAAACCTACGCCAGGTCACCAATTATGCGAGCGCGCTTGAGCCCATAACCCATATTTTTCCGTCACCGTAAATATCTCCATAATTCTCTTCGCCGGAAAACATATCAATGTCATATTGCCACTTGGACTTCAAGCGCTTCTACCTCTTGCCGTCTGGTCTAAAATAAATATTTCGTAGTTACGGGCTAAGAAATCAGTTTCCCATCCTGGTGATCCATCGGGTTTATTAAGCCGATTCTGTTCAAAGTTAGATTTAGATACATACGTATAAAGCTTATGTAATTGAGAAAGTTATGTAGCGAGGACTAAAGGAGGGTACGTACAGTGCCGGTCATTCCCTGACCATGGATAAAAACGATGGGATAAGGCCGTTCGGCCCAATTTGGAACAATGTGTTCCACATATATCTGATTAACGAACAAAATATTATTGATTGAGGTAGTAACATTCCACCACAGCATAACAATAATCTCTCGATGCAAAGGCTTCAGTGGTTTGAGAATCACGGCGATATTGGTAGATTGGGGCGGACACTACATTCCGAAGAGCTATGAAGGATACGAAAAACATGGATGATGCATAGTGGCTTATAAAGGACAATGTTCAGAGCTTCAGCAATGCTATGATGTAACAAATTGAGTATGGCGACTGTGGATAGTATCGCGATGTTGAAAGAAAGTACTCGCTTACAATATCATGCAGCTATACATTGGATCTGCATATATCACTGGATACATAGGAACGCGAACAAGGAATACCATGCCAAGTAGATCGTCGTCTTACATATCCTCAAAGGATTGCTTGCAGTTTTACCCTTGCCTTGCACGACGCGAGACCATCAAGGCATCGCTAGGAAACCTACCCCGCATTATCCTAACACGGGCCCAATATGAAGCCGAGTTTCTCTCTCAATTGAAGATTACGATTGATCAATATCTTTGTGCGAGGATACACGAATGCCTGCATAATGTGGCGTACGTAGGTCGAACGTTGAACGACCTATCTGTCCGACAACTAATAGCACAAAACATTGATGTCGGGCCTACTTTATTGAAGAATTTTGATATACGAAGTCTAGATCACTGTGAAAGAAAACGCAAAGACAAGGCGATGCAATTTCGTCTAATGCTGTGGAAATATTGAATTTATGATGATTGAATCTATTTTGCATACTCTTACGACGCTAAATGAAAGGAAAGATCGAGACAATGCAATAAGTAATCCTGCGGCACCCAATGATGAACTGTTGCTAGAATCCCAAACCCCATGGCTTGCTTGATCAAAGATATCACAAGTAACAGAAGCCAACTTTTACATGTCGTGATTACGACGAAGTCAGAGATAGATCACGCACTTGGCGAATGAACAAGAAACAGCACACATAGTAGTTTGGTAGGACAAGGAAGACTCGGATGCAGGAAGCCTTGTTCCATACAACGGCAGAAGAAACAAGCCCGAGTCCGCCGCCGAACCCAAAGCCTATCAAGGTGGAATAGAAATGTGAACTTCCAGGAGGGAAGGAAGAAGTTTCACTCCACAGTGCCGCAGCAACAGAGCACAGCAAACTCCTCCACCACCAACTATGGGATGTAGGGCGGTGCAGTTCCTTTTTGGGCTTATCTCACTGGGTAGTGTTGCTGGGTAGTGATAAAACTGAAAAATGATGGTAAAAGAAAACAGAGACCTCGAATTGAACGTAGCGAGCGAGCTAAGGTGGTTTGGGTGTATGTTGTGGTTTCGATTTTACCAAACATGGAAGATTCCATCGAGATATCGATAGTTAAGTAGATGATGATGGTGCAATAGAATACTAAAAAGAATGAAAAAAGGTTGAAAAAGGAAAAAACATACGACAGTAGGGATTCGCTGGTGGTCACCCACCCAACTACTAATCTACCGATCTGAGGCTTGTGTATGGCAGAGCGGACGGGATGCCCAATTCTCCTAAGTCTATGGTCGTATGTGCTGAAGATTAGTGTGATTGATAATATATTGTAATGATAAGAGTTTGATGTTGCTTAAAGTTCCAAGGGGCCAGAGCTTATGCACGATGTCGAAGCTGGTCAATCTTGGTGGTTTAGCGGAATGGGATCGAAATGACAGTCGGGTTCGGAGACTGAAGACCGGAAAATATCATGAAGGGCACTCCGAGATGTCAAAAATTGAAGGCATCTTGCGACATTGTTGGGAGAATTGTTCACTATATATAATTAATTTCAGAGACAAAGAATGTGTATTGGAAAGGGGGGTGCGTGTTGAATGCAAATATCAAGCTAGAACCAACATGCAGTGATTAAAGCTAGCACTTTCTTGACAGGAATAGTCAACTTAATCAATCTAAGAACATCCGTAGCCTATGCAATTTGTTCAGGCAAACTCCACAAGCCCTGGAAGCTTGAAAGACCCGTATCCAAGCATGAGCCGTGTCAGCGCTCAACCTTTGAACTTCCGAAGCCAATACATGGGCATCAGACTTGTGCTATATTTTTACAAGTAATAGCTAAGATATAAATGTAAGAATAGGATTGACGGTGATGGTTCGAGTAATTGGTTCGAAGAGGCGGGAGAAGTAGCAAATGAGTCTGTATTAATGCTTGAAATTCTGCCGGTAAATAGGTTGAAGAATCGAGTGATTGATTCGTGAAAAATGACAAGAACATAGAAAGATATGATTCGAGTGTATTCATATTCCGATAAGACATCAAAATTCGATGTAAGAATCCGCACGCGGCGACCAAAAATTCATGTATTCTGCGTATAATCCGAGGGTATCAAATATCACCGTCCAACGCCTGCTCAACTTGCTTTCTTATTTACATGTCCAACGCCGTATAACATAAAATAATTCCCTATTCTCGATTGTAGTGTCCCGGACGTCGTATGTTTTCGCTCGCATACGAGTGTATGTTTGATCATGAAGGTTGAACTGGCTCTGGTGCCGTCGTATTGTCGGTCCATTCAAATTCTGCATAATCAGTCAATATCTTTTGCGATGATCTCCTCGTCTCTCAAATGATCTTACTCTGTCTGCACATAGGACATTGTCCTTTGGAAGAATCTTGTTTAATCCACTCTACTATGCAATGCTGTATCCTTGTCAACGTTTCAATTCCGTCAATCAGTGCGAGGTCAAAACTAACCATGTGGAAATTGTGCCCGCATTTCCCTGATACTATTTTCGACTCAGAGTTAGCTGTGCTGCGAAATCATGAATGCGAAACTGTGAAGAATGAGAAAAATCATACACAAACTACAATCATCGCCAGGATACTTGCAAGTAGGACATGTCCCATCGAAATGTACCTGACAAATACCACAGACATCATCCTCATCAAGATCCCACCTCCAAGTAGCGACGGCATTCCAAGTTTTGATTTTAACTTTCATTTTGTGAAAAGCGCAGGTTTGCCACTCAAATGTTTGCGAAACTTGAGGTTTTCAATGATGGCTGTGTTGCAATGCGTAAGTTCGTGGACTCAATACAGAGTAAATAATTGTTTGTTTTGTCGGGGTTGCGATAGCTCATTTCCAAAAAAGTTATGTTGTAATCTTACCTGGGTAGCGTGGGGGCCAGCTCTGATAAGAACGGCGAATTAAAGCTCCGATAAGCTTTGAGTGCTGGGCTGAACAAAGTTACGTTAGGTTACTCAAGAAACTCCAACACCCAACAACCACAAACCAAAAGCTCATTACATAGGTACATTTTACTCACAAATCCTAATCTTTGTTGCGAAATCAAAACCTTCATTGTTCAGAGCTGAGCTTTCCCTACTCCAACAGATCTCGATATTCCTGATTTAAAAAAGGATTTGAATCTGGGAAATCTCAAGTCAATGATAAACTTTTATTAATCTGCGATAACATCATATCTGCCATAATGGCAGCATCTTTACTTTATCGACGAGCTCCCATTTTGAGCTCTTTCTCTTACTCACGACAACCCCTCACTTCCACCTTTTCCAAATACATCACCATGACATCCCATCGATCATTCTCATCGTATCTCGTCACTCCAGCCGAACTATCCGAGGCCCTCAAAAAGAATCCCCCCTCCAAAATCTCCACTTCTCCCCGCACCGTCGCCCTCTGCTCAACATGGTTCCTACCTACATCTTCCCTAAATGGTCTTCAAACCTACCGCGAAAAGCGCATTCCCTCTAGTCGTTTCTTCGATCTCGATAAAGTATGCGACAAACGTTCTCCTTATCCTCATATGCTCCCAGATGCTACAACATTCGCGTCCGCCATGAGCGCGTTGGGAATTCGTAGAGATGATACAGTCGTAGTATACGATTCACATGAGCAAGGTTTATTCAGCGCACCGAGAGTAGGGTGGACATTAAAGGTTTTTGGACATCCAAGCGTACATATTTTGAACAATTTCAAATTATGGGTGGAAGAGGGGTATCCAACTGAAAGTGGGGAATTCTGGGATGTTGATACTTGCGCATATCCGATTCCACAATTAGATGAAAGCAAAGTTGCGGATTTCGAGGAAGTTAGTGAAATTATTAAGGATACTAGTAAGGAGGGAGCTGAAGGTGTGCAAATATTAGATGCGAGAAGTCATGGGAGGTGGACAGGAAAGGATCCAGAGCCGAGAGAGGGATTGACCAGTGGTCATATGAAGGGTAGTATTAGTCTTCCCATGGGGGAACTGTTGGATCCAACTACCAAGACTTTGTTACCTGCGGACCAGTTAAGAAAGGTGTTTGAGAGTAAGGGTGTTGATCCGTCAAAGCCTATTATTAGCAGTTGTGGTACCGGCGTCACAGCTACGATTATTGATGCTGCACTGGCAGAAGCATATGGAGAGTCTGGTGTGAGAAAGGTATATGATGGAAGTTGGACGTACGTAAATCCCGTCTCCTGCTCGTTCTCTTTTCAACTTAACTAACAGCAACAGCGAATTTGCTCAAAGATCCAAGATCTCTGATGGATTAATCGTCAAGGATGAATAAGTTATTGCATTTTAGCGTTTCCGGAAAATATACCCGCTCTAGTCAGGAAATTTTTACATGATGATATCTATGATGCAGTTCAATTGCGCATGTTTCAGCGATGCAATTTGTTACGGATTTCTAGTTCTGCGAATAATAAGATAGCACACGGTGCAAACTTGATATTAGGGAGGAATAGATGCATATGAGGGTCAGTTGACGAAACATTTTGATGGATGATCGGAGGACGTATATCGGAGTATCAAAAAAAGTCACATCTCTCCTAGCAGTCCATGTTTCTGTGATATCTTCTCTATTAAAGAGTGAGGTCTTGTTTGGAGAGAATTTAAACACGAAAAAGCCAGTTAAACTACCCCAAACGCGCTCTTCGTTACTTATCCTCTTCGCAAAGTTTTCATCGCAGTACTACATACACCAGAAACCACTCATATCTCAACCCTTAACCCTTAACCCCCTTCATTTAACCAACAGCAAAATAGCTGTCATTATCTAATCGTCTAATTGTCAATGTTAAGTGACGTCGACAAATTCCTCTTGGCAATTGCAATTACAATTACATATCTAATATCAATATCAATATCAATATCAATATCAATATCAATATCAATATCAATATCAATATCAATATCAATATCAATAACATCATAATGCAAATCCCCATACTACTCTTATTGTCTTCTCTTCGCCTACCACACCCCCCCCCCCCCCCCCCTCCCCCCGTCCCTACCTCCACCAATTACTCAATCATCTACAGACTCATCTTTTCGAATCATCTGCTTAGTAGCAGTGATGAGGATGAGGTATTTTAGATTCCTGTTGTGAAGGCATGTAGTCTGTAGTCTGTCATTTTTGGGTTGTGGGTTGTGGGTTGGTGGTTGGTAATTGGGGTGGTGGGGGGGAGAATTTTGGTGTAGTAGATTTTTAGTTTTATATCTCAAAAGTTGCTGGAGGTGTTTATTTTATTTATTTTATGTAACAGGTTAGAGTCTCTGGGCTTGGTAAATTGATTTGTTTATTTGAGTCATTATAATATATCAACTCAAGATATCGTATAGAAATGAAGGCAACAGTTTCTATATATTATAAGTTTGGTAACTTCATGAATGGCTGCTGTTACCAAATCCTCCAGCTCTGCGAGACCCAGATTTCTAGGAAATTTAGTATTGTTGTTGTCCATAATCAAGATTTATACATATACCTATACAACTAAACGCAATATCACCTCGTCAAATTTCTGACTGTTAAATGTTTAAAATTATTATCCCGAGAATCTGTTTTCACCAGACTTATAAGTACTCTAGCTACCTAGTAGTCCCTCGCCAATATAAAGTGGTTAGTATAACTTCCAGTCTCTTTCTCAAATGTGCAAGTAGATTTTGGGGAAAGTATATCTGATCGATTTGTTCTTTTATAGATCAGATCAGAGATATTATATTATTACTATAGCTTTTTTTTTGTTTTTTATAGGACTTCCACTACATATCTCTTTGAGAAGAGCTCAGTACCGCGAGTGAGTTCTGCATTTAGTCTTACTTTATGCGTGAGTGTTATTCATGGGTTTCAAGGATGAGCCGGGGAAATGCTAGGTATAGCGAGTTTATTTTTCTTTATTTATTGAATTTGGATGAAGTTGTTGGAAATTGTGATTTTGATATTATTAAAACTGTGAAAGTGAAAGCTAGAGGAGAAGTCATTCTAGGACTAAAACGAGAGTTTAACATCGTGGATAATGATCGCTCTACGATGGGGAAAGTTCCTGGTAAGCGAGGTCTCTCGTTTTTGCTAGCTCTCGAGTATTTTGGTTTGAAACTTTTATTTCGTTGCTAGTTTTGTATCACTACTTAATTATCTTTCCTTTTACTTTGTCCATCTTTAGTATAGTATACTACCAGCGAATGACGCATGAATAAATAACGATACTCAAAATCAAAAACGACGATGGTAGGTAGTATTTGTCTTACGTTGCTAAACTATTCTTCCCTTTCTATTTCTTCCGTAAATTATACCTTCAACGAGAATTATAGATATATCCGTAAAGTCACACATGTCTGCCTACGTCCTAGTAGCAAAAACCATCAGCACCGTTTTGGCTGTGGACTGCATGGATTAAATTCACGCGCCTTCTTCTTCTTGCTAGTCAAAGAGTGAATATATCTCTTCAAGTATCGATGACTGAGCATAAAAGCCGCTGTGCAGGAATTTGAGAGTTTTGATGCTAAATTTGAGCGATCCGAGCTGTGAAATGCTGAGGCGATGGATGATTTTGAGCAATCTTAATTATATGTATAACCAGCGTTATTACAGAGATTTGAAGAGCGGGTTTGAGATTATTGAAATTTCTCGCTGGATTCTTATGGATTCTCGTTTGGTTTTCAGAATGATTGTTAAGTGACAGCAAAAAATCTAGAAGAAAGCAATTGACAGTGAAACTCGACATTCCACGGACAGAATCACATATCTTACGACTTGCTTGAAGCACAATATCCTCGCCAAGGAATTAGAGTATCAAGCATCAGCATTGCACACGTTATTGCCAAATGCAGAAGCATGAGAAACAGTGGTACGAGAAGCGTAATCATTCTTGACATGCTAATATAAACATATGTTGACCTCCTGGGATCTTGGCAGCATATGCATATATATTGCATGATGCATATAAGGAGCAAACAAAACTCAACTTTTAATTCATTCTTTCCTTTTTGGTATACTGTTTGTTTGCTTTCAATATTTTGATTTCAAAGCACTTTAATTCCGAAGGCTGAATACCTAACCTTATTCCTTCATTTTTTTGAATATATACTCGCAGCTTAACTGCTTAGCTAGAGAATCAATCAATTCAATCTGATGCTCTTTCTAGTCTCAATAAACCCAATAACATATGATCTACCGTCTAACTTTTCTCTTTCGTTTGCCACATCCTAGTTAGTTTCTCACAAATTCTTATATACCTATCTACCCTAGAACGCAAAGTAAACTTTTGAAGCTCGGGATACTTTTCAAGACTTGACTGGGCTGACATGCTTCGGATTGTTTATGTTGCAGATTTATTTTTGGGTTGGGATTAGTTTTTATGCACAGAAATGAGAAAAATAAGAAGTTGGAGGGGTCAGATTGAGTGGATGCTAATTCACTGATTTTCTCGGTCTTTCAGTATTCCACTCGCAGTCGGGCATATTTAAGTCTACCAGTACGGGTGAATTTGTGCTCTTTTTGGGATGTAGATCTATAAAAGCATCGGTTAGGTCCTGTGTCATTGTCCTCACACAGTTTCATGACGCAAGAACTCACTCGAAGGGGCGTTGGGTTGTCCTGAATCTTAGTTTATACTGCAGTCCTTAATCGACGTCATAGTAACGAATCTCAGTTCCTTTTATTTATTGAGGTTTCTTCGGGTATATAAGGTTATTATGCAGGAAGCTGTATATTCGCTGTCATATTTCAGATATTGCATCATGGAATGAGACATATATAATGATAGACAGAATGTTTGGTTTGGTGCTGAAAATACTTACCAACAACAAAAACGTTTATTCACAAGAGCCCATTACCTCCAAGCAAAATTCAAGGTATTATCATCACTTTTCGCATCTTAAGAATTATAAAGCAATTACCTGGTGGCCGAAGAATGTACAGTCCCGTTCTTAACTCAAGCCCGAAAGTTGTGGTGCTTATATACGATTGACAAGTTATCTACACGCCTACTTCTATATATATCCACCAAACAAAAAAATAAAACACCGAGTACTTGTATTTGAGCCTTTATTCACCAATCCCATCTACTTCTCTTCTCAAGCTTCTTGGCTCCTTTTCCCCCTCTCCACTGCAAACCCATGGCATGCACCTTGAAGTTTCAGTGGTGAATCTATTCTCCCAGAATAGGATAACATGTCTATAAAAGCATCATCCATATCCACTTGAGTATAATATAGCAAAACCAACTTCTCGACGCTATTCATAGATATGTTGGGAGAAATCTCGTGTCAATGCAATAACTAGCATTTCCAGAATTTACTTACTCGGATGTTTTTCTCGGACTTGATGTAAGCGTGAATTTATATTTAGGAAGGTTTTCGAGCTGAAATATTGCTGTTGTTAAAAGTTCTTATGTTGAAAGTAATTGAAAGACAGCAAGAATTCATAAAATTCACCAATACCAAATGGTTTCCCGTTCCCGCACAACGTTTCCACAATTTCATGGGTAAAATCAGTGCTGTAGCTCACTCGGTGAGTCGGTTCACCAGTTCCCAACATAAGGCTGATCAAATGAATGATGTTTGGACATGCAGTTATAATTAATGGCTTTTCAATATTTATAATGGTACTTTAAAAAGCCTTCCATTACTGCTAAATCCCTATGACTCTCAAAATTTGCACCGTAGCACAATTATCCCAGTCCCCGCATAGTTTTTATTCCTATTCACTTCAACTCCCGTCATATACTGACTTGCAATATCTGAAAATGACCCCATTCACTCTGGTTTAGTCCATGAATCAAATCACAACTGGCTTTTCGGTTCTGTAGTCTCAGAATTTCTTTATGTGTCTATAGATATATGTTGAATTCGTCGTTGCTTGAAATACATTGATTATTTAGATGTCAAAGAAGTCGGTACAAGGACTTTCTCGCAAAAACCACTTCAATAATTCACATATTCCGTGGATCCAATAATTGATATCATAACTAAGAAATTCCCCAATATTTCTCTGCCTAGTAAATAGTCGATATCTCGATAATGAGGTTCGGATGACTATGAAGGTTTTAGGACAAAAGATGGCGAAAATTCAAAGCTTGACAGTAACAAATGTCTTTTACCAAGCATCCAGGAGAACTTCATCTCTCCCCCTTTCATGCTTCTTCCTATGTTACCATGCCATGACAAAATCTAAAGTCAAAAGAATCACAGCACATTCCGCGAGCGTATATATACCAGATTGAGCTCTGCGAAGCTTGTACCCCACCTGATTTGTGAATGAATTGGCAGCTACACGGTGAGTAGCTGCACCTTATACACTACTATGTGACAAAAATTGATAAGACTTCGCAAGGGAGTGCTGGGATAAGGAAATACTCGTATTGATTGAGGTTTGGAGGAAGTCATTCAGTACAAATTTCCTGTATAAAGTATGAATGGTTTCACTCCCTCTAATTTACCGAGTGGTGGTGAGTATCACATACATCCCAGGCAGTTTAGGAGATAAGTTTTTATAAACGTACAACTCACTGCTAATTTAGTGAGCCAGAACCGCGTCTTCAGAAGGAAATCCCACATGTCTGCAGAAAGCACATTTGTGGAGTGATGAGGTTTCCAGTTGCGTGCGGGAGAGTTCTTTTAAGCACCTGGAAGGCTTGTTCAGATTCATTTATTTAGATTTACATACTTGAGACGGCTGTTTTTGTCCCCTAAACAAGCGAGGATGACAGGGAGTAGTAGTCCTTAATTTAATATGTGCTTGAATTGGGATGAAAAATTGATAGTCATGAATACCTGTGATAAAGAAGCTATTTACCTCTTATTTTCCAATTGGCTATGTGATTTATTGCTTATTTTCATTCATCCCAGACTTTGGGTGAGAATATTTAGATTCGATGATGATAAAACAGTAGACTCTACTGACAACGACAACAATAAATTACTTTCGATATCTTCCAGACCTTGCATTGCCACCATAAAACTATCTATATCCTCCCAAAATAAAACAAGCTAAATATACCTACTCAAGTATCATAAATTTAACTCGAAATCATATACCCTTCATTAAATGAATCTTGTTGTAATACGTGTTCAAGCTGTCTGTAGATTTCGAGTCACTTCGATGCTTGTGTTTTTATAACAATAATTACCTACATGAAGACCTTACAGCAAAATGAATAAGGATTTTTGTGTTCCCTTCTATCAATCTATAATTCACTTTGAATCGAAGTATCTGCATCGCATGTATAAGAGTTCATGCTATGCGCCTTTTTTAGTAGGTGGTGAATATTCTCGCATTCTTCCGTTTTATCTGAAGCGTCTCGGTCTATAAAAGTATCTCACTGCTCATCTTTAGAATCTTCAGCTAAGGGTTTAATGAGAGATAGTTACTCTTTTATTCCATGTTTCTGAAAAAGTTAATGTTTCTGCCTATTTAGTCTGCGATTCTGCGTTATCGTATCAGTTTCCGGTCTAGTAATCATACGGTTTATCTCAATTATCATTTGGAATCTTTATGAAAAATCCTAAGAGTACCCGACAACGGGGACCTAATTATCGACAATAAAACCTTTCTACTATCTTCCAACTTAATACTGTCATTCTCAATACTTGTTTCTTATCTGAAAGTCATGCTTAACATATAAGCCGAGTATTATATACCTACTCAAAGGGGTTCTCAGCCTCCAAGCAACACGGTACCCATATACCAAATCCTCATTCTGTCCAAAATCGCCATACCGTATGTTAAAAGAGCAAACCGCATCTTATAACTCTCTATTGATGAAACGTGAAAATTGAAAGACAAGAATGCTTAAGTGAATAAGATGATTAATAACCTCAAATCATAACCTGGTTATTTTACTCTCCCATCAATATGCTTACAGTACATTTATCCCATCCACTCGAGAAGTAAATACCCACTCCTCCCCCCTTCTTCTATCTTAACTCTACAGCCACAAAAGCCAAAGCCTCATAGTATTATAAAAACATCTCATCCATACTATCTTTCAAAATTAACACAAAAAAACCATATCTTAAAATCAGATCTATATATCTACCAGTTTGACTATAATCCATATACTATTTTAAATCTCTCTAGAATTGATAATTCTCAGATCAAAAGTCTTAAAAAACCACCAGAACTCAAAGTAATAAATATTCATCCCAAATTAATTCAAAACCACATACATTGACAACATTTACCAATAAATAACAACAATAAACACATATCAAAATAACAATAAAATAAATATCAGATACTATCTATAATCAACTAAAGAATCCTTTCCATACCTACCTGAATATCAACACAACAGGTAATCTTACATAAAAATATATCAATCAATCTACCTTTCTATCTTTCCCCCTAAACTTGATTCCTGACTTTGATTTCCCACATGCCGAATTCTTGATATCTGTGATGGTTTTTTGGAGTTTTAGGAATAGGGGGTAGGAGGTCTTTATATAGTACACTCGTGCGAGAAATAATTCAATATAGTGGTGAATCTTAATAAAAATGTTAATTCCCTCTTTCCTTTACTACAATACCGAGGTATAAACAGCCAGCCCACTTTTCATACAACCCCTCCCTCATCAATAATCAAATCAAGTCAAAGTCAATAATTAATAATTTATTCACTTTCTTTTGTTCTATTAGAACAATCACTTTTAAATCCTTAATCTTTTTTAAATATTAAAATCTATTTATAAAAACATATATCTAATTTAATTTTATTATTTAAAGAAAAAAAAATCTTGTGACGCCTCACACCTCCGGGTCACGTGGCATGCCCCGTTTGTATTTAATCATAAGAAAACTCTCTACTCTTGTTTTCCTTCTTCTTTTCTCCTTAGCTTAGTATTTTCTAATACAAGATACTTTACCCAGTATTCTTGAGTGTGACATAATACTAAGCTCATCTTACACTCTTTCCCGTACGCTGGGAAGTAAAAATAATTGCGTATAGACTACGAACCTACGAACTTACGAACCTACGAACCTACGAACCTACGAACCTACGAACCTACGAACCTACGAACCTACGAATCTACGAGCCCTGAAATTTACGTATCGATTAAATCGTAATTGATTATCACACTCGAATCCTGGACCGAAAGAAACAGACATAGA